ATGATCATCATAATGAACATCACCATCATCACGAACATATTCATAAAAATGCACATCATCATCATCATGAACATGAAATCAAAGCGGGACACCATCATAAGCATGGTCATAAACATCATAATGAGCATAAACATGAACACAAACATGAAGCTCATCATAAACATGGCCACCATCATAAACATGGTCATCACCATGGTCACAAACATGGTCATCATCATGAACACAAACATGGGCATCATCATAAACATAAACATGGGCATCATCACAAGCACAAACATGGACATCATGAAGAGCATAAGCACGGTCATCATCACGGGCATAAACACGAACATCATCAAGATCATCATCATAAGCACGATCATCATCACAAACATGGCCATCATCATCATCGGGAACATAAGCACCATCATAAACATAAACATGAGCATAAAAATGATCATAAGCATGAACATCATGAAGATCATCATCATAAACATCATGAGGATCACAAACATCATCATAAACAAGAACACAAGCATGAAGAAGAGCACAAAGAAGAACATAAGCATCATCATGGTCATAAACATGAACATAAACATAAGGAACACCATAAACATCATCATAAACATAAACATCATGGCCATCACGGCCATCATGAACATCATAAGCATCATGAAAAGCATGAGCATCATGGGAACCATCATGGTCACCACGTTAGCTTAGCAAATCATGATTATTACGATGCAACCAAAAATCACGGAGAATACATTTTTCCAGACGACGTTCCAGCAGCAGAATCTGTAAGAGCTTTAAGCAAGAAACCAGTTGTTATCGCTATACCTGTAAAGGTTTGAATGGTTATTTAATCTATTGAAAAAATGGTCTGTAATTTATTTATAAAAATTGAAACCAATGTAATTCTTTATCCTTGTACAACTAATTCACGTGAAAATAAAAAACTTTAAAAAAAATTGCCATGAATTAGTTATTTTGTTTCTTTTTCAATTCAATATATGATTAAATGTTTATATTAGTGAGAAATTAAGGCAAAGTACTTTGCGTATAGTAGTTATATTTATCTAAGGCAATTTGTTAAAAAATAGCTTAGAGAAACAATATTTTTGAAAAAGACGCATTGTATACAAGCTAATATTTAGTAAGTTTCAAAATGAGTACAAAGTAAAGGTTATCTACCGTACGGATACCATTTTATTTTTTAAATTAACGTGTCGTAATTAAAACTAAATTTTCCTTTTCTGCAGATAAATTGTCTCGTACCTGGATTTTTATGGCTATTCACAACGACCCATTGTGTTAAATCAGTAACCGTTTCTTCGATACTTGAATCAAGTAGTTTCTTGCGCGGCGCTACTCGAGACGTTCCAGTTCCACATGATAACTTTCATCGAAAACGTCATATCATCAACGAAAAAAGACTTACTTCTCAATTGAGCTCACTTGAATATTATTCATCAACTAGAAGGCCGTTAAAAAAAAATATTTTCAATCATAAAAAACGAAGTAAATCATCCGCTCTTAAAACTGCAATCACATCTTCGATTGAACATCAACCATTTGCAAGTAGAATCCAACGTGATAGTAATCCGGATGCTTCTATTCACCAGATAAACTCTGGAAATATACCGATACTTCATGGGCATCATCACGGTCATATAGGTCAACATTTTCACCATGGAAAACATCATCATGAGCACGGACATAAACATCATCATGGACATCATCATAAACACAAAGAACATCATCATGAGGAACACAAACATAAACACAAACATGATCATAAGCACAAAGAAAAGCACAAACATGGTCATCATCATCATAGGGATCACAAACATAAACATAAAGAAAAACATCATCATCATCATGAGCATAAACACGAACACAGTCATAAACACGATAACAAGCATCATCACGATCACAAACATCATTCCCATCATGAACACAAAGAAAAACACCATCATCATGCTGAACATAAGCATAAGCAAGACCATAAACATAAAGGAGGTCATCATCATCACCATAAGCATGAACATCATAATGAACATCATCATCATCATGATCATCATCATCATAATGAACACCATCATCACCATAAACACAAAGAATCTGAAACTCATCATCACCATCATGGGCACGAACATAAAAATAAACATAAACATGAACATAAACATGAACAGAAACATAAACACGAACATAAACATGAGCAGAAACATAAACACGTACATAAACACAAACATCATCAAGAACACAAACATGGTCATCACCATGAACACAAACATGGGCATCATCATGAGCATAAGCATGGGCATCATCAAGAGCATAAGCATGGACATCATCATGAGCACAAACATGGTCACCATCATGAACATAAAAATGAGCATAAAGAAGAACATAAACACGGACATCATCATGATCATCATCATAAACATGGTCACGAACATAAACACAAACATAAAGAAGAACATAAGCATAAGCATCACGAGGATCATCATCATAAACATCATGAAGAACATAAACATCATCATCATCAAGATCATAAGCATGAGCATCATCATAAAAATAAACATAAACATGGACATCATGAAGATCATAAACATGAGCATCATCAACACCACAAGCATCACGAACACCATAAACATCATAAAGATCATGATCATAAACACGAACACAAACACGAAGAAAAACATAAACATCATGAACACCACAAACATAAACATGGACATCATCATCACCATAAACATCATGAAAAACATCATCATAAAGGCCATGAAGGGCATCACCACAAGCATCATTTTTCGCATCAACCCTACTATGGAGCTTCAAAAATTTTCCAAGCTCTCACCCTTCCAGATGATATTGTTACCCAAGAATCCATTAATCTTAATAAATCGCTTACTCACGAACAGTCAGCAACTGAATATACTGTCTGAATTAATTGAAATTAATATAGTTAAAAAAGTAAAATGGTAGTTGGCCTTAAAGTGACACACTTGTGCTTTTTCCGTGTAATATGAAAACAATGCAAAAAACTATCTTTTCACATATGAAAATGTGCTTCTTAAAAATGAATATTTAAATAGAAGGGCATATAAATAATGATTAAAGATTTCTTAGGGTCGTGGTCGCATGTTACTGACTATATTTTTTTTACAAATCTTGATCTTCGGGTTTTAAAATGTTCGAAATACATTCTTGTTCTACTCAAGTGGAATAGGAAAAAACATGGGTGTGTTCCTTAAACGAAATCAAATGGATTGCTTTTTTTATAATTTCTTTTTCATAAGAAGTTTAGTTGATTCATATATTTGTCAATCATTTTTATGTCATCAAGTTTCCTTAAGATAAATCATGTTACCCTACGAAATACGATTATATTTGATATTCTTTGTAAAATATTTATAAAACTCTAATAAAGATTTATGTTGATTTAATGATATTTAAAGATCATTTTAAAATAACATTCATAGAAGTGCATTTATGATACGTTCTCACATTTCAATTTTGTTGGTTCGTTAGTTGAGTAGCGATGAACTACCGATGAACTAGTGAGCTTATAGGAGTTATTTGTTTTTCACCTTTTACGATGATTTCTACCCACTTTTGTCTTGTATGAATAAGTAATAATATTCTGCTTTTATGATAACTTCTACCCTTTAATTTAAGTCATCTTTTATCCTTGAAGTTAAAACTTAAAGTTTTACGCCGTTATTCTCAAATTTTGAATGATTCATTAGAATACATGAAATTCTAAGGCTTCTTAGAAGTGTCTCAGTGTCCTTATATTATTATGATTATAATGATATTCTGCTTTGTCTATATCAACCTTTGAGGAATCGTAATTGCAATACATATTTCCATAAATTTTGCAATAATTGACAATTTGAGAACTAATTTCAAAATTTCACGAAGTTTAATTTTTTAATTTAAGTTTAGTTACTTTATTATAAACTTTTGTTTTTAATTTTCCTATTAGTAATTTTTTAAGGTGATCATAGTTTGAAAAGTAAAAATATTAGTTTGTCTGTATACTTGACGGAATATATTTGATTTCAATAATATTATAGCTGAGTAACTGATAACTGACAATTTGAGACTAACAGTATGCAAATTTAACAATTAAATTTTTAAGTTATAGACTTAAACTATGAGGGCTAGATAGACTTACGTGATTCTATATAATCTAAAGAAAAGGTTATTACGATAAGAAATTAATTTTATAAAATAGTAATTTATGCAACAGGTGTGAATATGCTTTTCTGCAAAACGAGGGCTCACCCTGGGTTAACGTATAATCTTTACTGTGTATTTTTTATATCCGGATATAGTTAATTATTTCACTGAATTTATAATGTGGTAAAAAATTAAACTTTTATGTGAGCGTACTTCATCATTGATATCTTCAAACTTCATCGTGAACATTTTAAAATAATTCAACAGAATCAGAATGAATATAATTCAACAGAATTTTTTTTGGTACCAGAAAATGTTATCCAACCTTATACTTTCAATCAGATCCACGAGATTTAAGCCCTCTGTTCTTAGATACTTTAATTTTATGTAACGTATGATTTAACTTTATATCAATAATTTTCATTACCGAGTTTAGGGTAGCACAAAAGAAATTTCTCAGTTTTCATCGTTAAAAATGTGTGACTGTATTTTTATGTTTGTAATGTATGAATTTACTTTTATAATATATTAACTATTTTTTACTCGGACAACCATTTACTTGCTCTGAAAATATTTTTCAAATTTCAAGGCACGAACGGAAATCTCGAAGTGGAAATTAAATGATACTTGATAGCTTATTAAAATTTAGAGGTGTCGTTCGCACAAACTAATTAAATACGCCTATTACTTCGAGTTAAAAATAAATATTTAAAACTAGTTCACTTTACACATAGTATTGTAGTCAATGTAGAAATACACGAATATGCATCAGTAGTACATAATTAATCAAAAGAAATAATTAATTAATACAATCAAAATTTATTTGATTTCAGGTCCGCCCTTCAAACATTACACAAAGTGTCGAGCAAAGCCCGAGCACACAACTATTTTCTCGGTGGATTATCACACGATTGGGTTAGCTACTATGAACAGCGTATCGAAAGTGATCGTTCATGTCTCAACGAATGGCACGCGATGGACAATCTTGAATCTCGACGACCTCCCTCACCTGATAGTTTACGAAATAAGTAAGGCAACACTTGAAAAAAGTAATTTATTTTGTCTCACTAAAAGCTATTTCATAAAATGAATTTACACGAAGAAAATGTAACATATCCATAAAAGGTTTCTTACCTTTTGCCAAACTAACTCGTCATTTCGAGTCGAGTACAGATTTAGCTTGGCCACATGCCAGCATTCTGCAACGGTTAGTTAATACTTGAATCTACCGCGTTCTGTCGATTGAAATATCATTGCAGAATGTTCCCAGTTTCCAGTAAAATTTGAAATAAAGTATACACTCAATTCATTTTTCTTGATACCAAAATTAACTTATATTTATATCGAAAATTAAAAAGTGAATTAATGTATTTAACAGAACTAAGTATCAATGTTAATAATTATTGAATATCTCTTATAAATGTCACAAATTATAAAAAAATATTAAAAACGATTTCTATAATGGTCACCTTTGCACAGAAAAAATTCCAAACACACAAGATTGGATTTATTTCCGTCACTTTACTAATAAACAAATTAACGTTTAGTCAACATACCCGTTTACCTTATCAACATGACAATAATGAAGTTCTTATTACGAGTAATCATACAGATTGATGTTCTCAATAACATATTGATTTGACATAAAGTACATTCATTTTTTCGAAGTGTTTATTCAGAGGAAAGTTCGTACACGAAATCCTAGACATTTAGAGTTTTTTGTATGAAACGTAATTTTCTAGAGATCTCTAGGGTTATTTGGAGTTTCGTATACGAAAATGAAAAAGTTCATGTATGCATTTTTCCCTGAATAGACAAACCCTAATTTTTTACTGATATACGCTACTAATAAAAATATTTGTAATTTCAAATTGAGGATTAATAAACTATATGTTGAAAAAAATTATTTATAGGCCAAGCGAGAGAGCTGAAACGGAACGGGTCATAAGATCAACATTAAAAGAAATTATGATGTCGGTGGATCTTGATGAAGTCACCTCCAAATACATTAGAGGTCGTCTCGAAGAAGATCTCGACATGGATTTGGGAGAATTCAAACCGTTTATCGATCAAGAAATGCTCACTATTCTTGGACAAATGGACGCTCCAACTGAAATATTTGAGCATGTTTACCTAGGCAGTGAATGGAATGCCAGTAATTTAGAAGAATTACAGAAAAACGGGTTAGTTAATACAAATTGTAACTTAAAGTTAATAGTTTGTATGATTCTTTCCAATGGGAAATACCTCTTACAAAAATTATTTTACAATAGAATTCGGAAAATAAATTTATAAAATACCAAACGCCGCTAAAGATGTTTCACATTCAATATTACAATTAGTGAACAAACTCGTGTGTTAACTATTTTGACACATATTAGTTAATGTAATTACAAATTCATTGGTAAAAAAATTCTTGGTTCTCTACCAAATTCAAAAAATTATTAGATTTACACCTTAAACTTAAAAACACTATGAAATTGACACGATTAAAAGTAAATTTTGTAAGCTTTCAAATTTCATAATTACTTGAAGATGTTGCCAACTATTTTCAAACGATATCAAGAGTTCCACGCGTTTTCCGTATTTCCGTACGCTATTCGAATTTTACAAGTGTTTGGACTCAACTTACAAGGAGACCTTCTCACCTTCGGGTCACTTTACCAACATTTTTTCGGGGATCTTTACCAACATTTTTTTGGGGTCTCCAGGAAACTTAATAATAAAGCTCCTTATGCTAAGCTTCATTGAATGGTCCTTAGGGCCCATTTCAAAAGGGGTTTTCTATTTTAATTAAAAATCTTTGAGATTTTCTATTTCAAGTTAGCAGCACTTAAACAAAAAATGCACCTATCAAAAGTTTTGTCCATTACCTTTTTTCAGAGACCCTAATTTGATGATTTTCCTTGCAACATTCAGAAACCTCTAAAAAAGTGCAATGGACGATTTGAAAAATTCTGAAAAAATTCAGACAGATTCTTTGAAAAATTTCAAAACTTTTGATCGGTCCATTTTTTTGTTTAAGTGCTGCTAACTTGAAATAGAAAATCTCAAAGATTTTTAATTAAAATAGAAAACCCCTTTTGAAATGGGCCCTAAGGACCATATAATGAAACTAAGCATAGGGAACTTTATTATTAGGTTCCTAGAGACCCCAAAAAAATTTTGGTAAAGATCCGTGACCCGAAGGTAAGAAGGTCTCCTTGTTAGGCATTTCCTGCTACGCACTTGACGTGGCCTGTTTACGAGCAAAAATATCAAATGAAGAAAATCTGATACAAAAATTGCTTCAGTAACGCGATTATAGAAACAGAAGACTTCTGTGTCGTCTAAGTAAAAATAAATATTCTTGAGATAATTGGAATAGTATCAGTTTTAATAACCAAAGACATAGCTATAATTTGAAAGTTATAAAAAAATAATAAAAACATTAAAATTATTTAAATGAAAATTAAATGTTTTTTTTTTCAGTGTTCGACACATACTCAATGTTACTCGAGAAATCGACAATTTTTTTCCTGGTATGTTTAATTATTTGAATGTACGCGTTTACGATGATGAGAAGACCGATCTACTAAAGCACTGGGACGATACATTTAAGTACATAACAAAAGCCAAGAAAGAAGGTTCCAAAGTTCTCGTTCACTGCAAAATGGGTGTATCGCGCTCAGCCTCAGTCGTCATAGCTTATGCCATGAAAGCGTACAATTGGGATTTTTCACAAGCGCTCAGTCACGTGAAAAACAGGAGGAATTGTATCAAACCAAATAGCAACTTTCTTCTACAATTAGAAACTTATCAAGGCATTCTGGACGCTATGAAAAATAAAGAGAAATTGCAGAGGTCAAAATCCGATACGAATCTTAAATCGCCAACCGCCGTAACAAAAGACGCAACAAAAAAGCAAGAAAAACAAGATCTCATTGATAATAATGACGATAAAGTAGTCAATGATCAAACAGGTGTTGAGCTGAAAAGGAGTGGACTAAGACCTAAGAGTTGGTCCCCGAATGTGGAAGACACCGAAGACGTATTATCAAATGGTAACTTGACATTACTATATTTAACAAAGACTTGATAAATTTTTATTCCATTAACTTTTTTTTGTTTCTTTACTCATAGCACCAATGTCACAATCGTTGGAGAGCATTGATAAATCGGCAAATCCAGAAATCGTACGTGAAGACCTTCTAAAGAGTAGTATAATGTCGAAGCCGAGTAACAACTGTCCAATGCAAGATGCTCGTCGTGTGCGAATGCCATGTGGCAACGGCCAATCTTACAGTGTCTCGCAAAATCAAATCGTCCATTTAGATTCAAATTCATCGTCGCCAAATCAAGCAGGGAGAACCAAGACAGGGAGCCAAGGCCAAAAACGGAAGGGACTCGTTTTAAACTTGACAAATCAATTCGAAGCTGCCAGTAGTAAGCCATCGTCACCAAGTTCTGATAGCGAAAATGAAAAAGTGACTGTACAATTACCTATAGTTGTGAGTCCCGTCGAACATCAAAATGGATGTCATGATGACTATAGTGAGTGTGAAGTGTCGGCAAGGCATCAACAACAAGGTACATTAATTTTTTTACGTGTGAATCTCAGATATTATACATCTTTAAGCATTAACTAATAATAAAAATTTTCTCTAGATAAAAATGGTATGTGTCTAGTCTGGACAGCATCTGCTGAAGTTAAATGTGTCCACACAAACGGTTCATCGAATGTTAACGCTGCTGATTCAAACCAAATAACAACACCTACATCTGCAAATTATTTACCAGGTCTTACAATGTACGTAAAGTCAAAAAAAGAGACCGATCCCTTTAATAATCAACTTGATCGAGCCTTCGATCGTGAAGAATCTCGTGGTGAACTATCCATAGAACAAAATCCTCAGCAAGCTCGTAATTCGCCTAGCCGGCAGAGCTCTTGGAGTAGTTACGACAGTGCCGTAGTAATGGATAACAATTCAGTACACAGTTCTTGGACTACTTTGCCATCTCGGAATAGCTCGTGGGGCTCCTACGACATGAGACCGAATGAGACTTTAGGAACTAGTGGTCTTTTTCCTTATGATCGTGAGGAAATACCTTGGCATCCCGGCACAGTTAAACGCACCAAACAAAAACTAGAAGAAAGCTCTGCGACTGGTATGAGTATGTTCATTAATTTTCCCCCCTTTTGAGTTTTTATTATATGTGCAAAACTAAAAATAAAATGCAGTTTCATTAACAAAAAAAGGTGAAATTTTTTTTTCTTGTCCAGGGGCCCGGACCTCCGAAAATTATTCCTAGGGGTCCTAGGGATGAAAAAAATACATGAACATTAAATTTGAAGATAGGTTTTTTCAGTGTCACTTTTGTGTTTTAGAAGCCGAAAAGTCATGTTTTCAAGTAAATGCGATAATTCACTTAATTTCCAAGTGGCTTAAAACGTATCAAACGTCATCTAAGAAAAGTAACTAACTACGCATTCGATAAGAAATTTTCTCAGCTTTCCGATGGTATTATTATATTTTCAAAAATACACAATTTTCACTGAGAAAATCGCCATCAAACATTGATGATGGGCTAAATATCTCGAAAAATTCGGTACGGAAAAAGTGATTTTTTAAGTTAATTCTTGATGTCCCTCTATTAAAAAGAAAATTATCGGAAAATCTGACTGCATCGTAAAGAAGCTGACAAATTTTCCTATAGAAACCATATCTTCATTTATTTTTCAGTCGAATTACGAGCAAATTTCGATTGTAGCGATCCGCGCAACGCTGAAAACCGCGTGACCGCGCTGAAAACAGCTCAGGAACAGAAAACAGCGAACAGAGTAAAAGAAAGTCGCTTTAATAGCATTGTAATTCGACTGAAGAATAAATGAAGATATGGTTTCGATAAGAAATTTATTCAGCTTCTTTATGGTGCAGTCAGATTTTCCGATAATTTTCATTTTAATAGAAAGAAATCAAAAGTAAACCTAAAAAATCACTTTTTCCGTACCGACTTTTTCGAGATATTTAGCCCTCAATGTTTGATGGCGATTTTCTCAGTAAAATTGCATGTTTTTGAAAATATAGTAATAATTTCTTATCGAATGCAATAGCTAGTTACTTTTTTTAGATGACTTTTGATGCGTTTTAAGCTACTTAGAAATTTAGTGAATTATCGCATTTACGTGAAAACATGACTTTTCGGCCTCTAAAACACAAAAGTGACCACAAAAAATTCTTATCTTCAAATTTAATGTTCACGCGTTTATTCTTATCCTAGGACCCCTAGGGCAAGCAAAAAAAATGTTCACCTTTTTTTGTTAACGAAACTGCATTTATTTTTAGATTTACTCATATATTCGTTAAAGTAAAATTTCGTATTTATTTAGTGTAAAAAATTGAGCCATTATTTTACAATTAAAATTCTTAAATTTCAGGTACATCAAAGCGAGTGTGTACCCAATCATCTGAGCCTCTACCTTCGAGTGATTATGTAAAAGGGCAGGAACGTTTAAGTGTTCCTAATCTTGATGGAGTTGAAAATTCTACGGATTCTTATAACCCAATTATTATGCAGTACAACTCTTCACCAACGCCACTAAGAAGGGATAGTTCTCCTATAAAAGAAACTCAAAATCTAGCTATGACAGTTACTAACTCATCGCTCAGTCCCACGTCCGCTACGCCAATTGATATATCTTCCGTTGGATCTCTTCAACTAAATATCGGACGTCTCTCAACTAGTGCTCCTTCTCCATCGTCTTTCACTAATGAGGGCGAAGCAGCAAGTCAGGTGGCTTTACGTAGTTGTAAATCTGAAAGCGAAACAGCTAGTCCATGTGTTGTTAACACATCTCAATGTCCCTCTGTAAAGCATCACAAAATCATGCTTGAAAATTTATGCACCAGTACTAAACCACAGTCTACGTCCCCAGAAACCGCTGAAGGTCCTACTCGTGCTTCCGGTGTATCAGGCATTGTAAAAAATCTTAAAAAAGAATTTGAAGCTAAACAAGCATCATCGAGCAAGCTCGAACGTAGCCCAGAAAATAGTATTGAAGAACAGCAAAATCAGCAAACTCAAAGTTTGACTAGAAACGATAGTGGCCGGCAAAAGAAAGATCCGAAAATTCGAAGTTTGCCTTCGTCACCAGTCATCACTCACAATGAAGCGAAAATCCAATCTTCGACTCATCATCTTTCTAAACGCAGTAGTGAACCAGCTCCAAGTAATTCACCGAGTGAAACCAACTTGGAAGATTTATCGGTTAAAGTATTAGTGGGAAAGTATGAATTTGGCAAGCCGGAATCAAAACGTAATTCAGATCCGCCTCTACAGTATCGACATCGCGATAGAGATCAGCCAGTGGAGCATCCACCCGCTAGATCGAGAATCGCACCTGACTTAGCGCGAAGATCAGCTCCGATAATCGTTAATCATCATGTATCTTCGATATTTGATAATTCAGCCACAGTCGAAGCTCCCGGTAGGCCTCCTTCTGTCCCATCGCCAAGCCAAGTAGTAGCCAGTGTTGTAGCTAAGGCCGCGAGTAAAAAGCAGCAGCAGCAACATGGCAGAACTCACCCTTTGGCAAGGCTTCAGGTTCGACCAAGACACAGCAGTCCTGTTTATAATACTATGTGAGCGGTCACTTAGGAGTGATATAGTCATATACGCATCGCATATTTTGCGATTACAATTATCATAATTCACACTAAAAAAAATACTATAGAAGAAATTACTATGGCCATAGTAACCGAAATACGTACTAAAAATAAGTGGTAAAATTTGCTATAACACAGTAATTTTATTCGATTTTTTTTAGTAAAATTTGTTATAACATAGTAATTTTTCTTATAATATTTTTCTCAGTACATTTGTGTGATCTCCTTTATGGATATTTAGAATATCAAGTACTTTTTGTTTGCGGTCGTCATTACTTCGTATTACTCGTTAGTTCGATAGATGATGTAACTTTGAAGACCGAGTACGAACAAAAAATAAAAAGCGAAATTTTGGAAACTATTTTTATTAGCACGTTGTAAAAAGAATTTAAAAAATTTATAATGACCACTATAAAAATGGTGAAAATACGCCCATTTATATTTGTTTTATTGTTCTCTTTTTAAGTCACGAACAGTTGATAATATCTACTAAATTATATGTTTGTGTTTTTTGTTCATACTTACTGTCAATCCAAACAATTTAACTATTTTAAATGTAAAAAAATTTTTGTATTCGGACGTACATACATTTTTTCATCAAAACTAAAAAAGGCTGGAGAAATATTTAGCTCATGATTTTATATATTAATATATAGAATTGACCAAATATATAAATAATAAGTAAGAATAACCTGCATACAATCATTGAACTTTATTGAAATGGTTATTGTCTCACAAAAATTCTATAACCAACTGAAGAAATTAAAATAGTAAAAAATAAAAATGAATAATTTCAAAGAAGTAAATGTCATTTACGTTCTTTACTAAACATTTACATTGTTAGTTTTCAAGGCCAAAATACATGACACTGCCAATTTATTGATTTTTATTATGGCAGTCCCAAATAATTGATTGTGTCCGTATTGAATATACTAATGTATTGATTTTTCAAAAATTATGCTAAAGTTAATATCCGCAGTGTGTAAACTGTTTTTTTGTGACACCACAACCTAAAGTAACATTTTGCTCCCGCCGAGCGAAATCTAAGCTAGGGGATTCACAAAAAACCGTGCTAAAAAAAATCTTAGAGGCAATTTCAACAAAAGTGGACAGTTGGTCAGAAAAAGATATTTTGCTGACACAGTAAAATTATTGGGTTATATTTCAACGCCAAATTTTGCTAAATGTTTTGCTGAGGCAGCAAAATATCTTTTTCTGATCTAACTGTCCACTTTTGTTGGAATTGCCTCTAAGATTTTTTTCAGTGCGTATTTGCAACTATGTAATGAAACAAAAAATCTTAGAGCCCTTGCAAATGCGCTCTGAGACTTTTCAGATCTTTACTCTGTAGGGGCAAAATATACTATTGATGAAAGAATTGATCTATAAGAAATGAAATAAGCGTTAATTTTTTTTATCGTCAATAATTGTAAGTCTCAAATTGATGTGTACTCTCGTATTGTTATTCAATATCCTTTAAAAAAGGTAAAATCAATTGGATAAAAAAATAACATTGATAGTAATTAAGCGAAAAAATGTGTGAACAAAAAGAAGAGTGGATGCTCAGTCAGGCTGTGAATGTAAGTGTCTGAGTATCGTTGTGATTCGTAAAATAGTGTAAAGTAAATAAATATATAAAACCAAGTGTCGATACAAAATGATATGTATGTTTATTGTCAAAAAAATTGATGCATTAACCATTACGAATTTGTAAAAAAATTGATACAATTAGAATAAAAGCGAAAAGTTGCACGAGCCACTTGTGTAACATTCTGCTTCGTCTGCACTAGTAAAATATCAATGAATGTATGTTTTAGCTTAGTAAAATTGTAGCAAGACTTGAAATACACTAAAGATCGTTCGAAATATTAATTCAATATCTTTTATTTTTCATTATGAATAATAAATATACGTATACGAGCAATGCAATTTTAACTTAAACTTTTCAGTAACATTGACATAAATCTTTAGATTATTAGCATCAAGATTGAAATTTTGCTAAGTACTGTATTTTCCGAATAGATATATTCATTTTAATACGAACAAAATTGAGATATTTTAACCAATAGCTGACCATGCTTAGAGAGTCTAATATTATTTAAATTTTGAATGAGAGCTCGAACGATTTTTAGTGAAAATTAACCGGTCGCTTTATTTGTATAACCAGTTATAAAATTGAAAACATTACGTTACTTTTTGTAATGCAATTAATATAGTAGGATTGTAAAATAAAGAACACATTGTATGATCGATTGAAAATATTAATGTAATGGATGAATGTTCTATTCGTTAGAATTATTTTTGTAAATTCGAACGAATTTTTTCATGCTTAGCGAAAATAAATTAATCTGCGTTGATGTTGCAATTTGCGTCAGCGATCGAATTTTTATCGTGATTATTGAAAGCCAAAAGTACAAGTCTTTTTTATAGTAAATGAATCTGAAGGTGCTTATTAAAAAGAAAAAACGTTGAAACATTTTCTATATACTTTGTACCGTGGAAGATATTTTTCAAAAATACATATCATGCTATAATATCATCTCATTGTTATTCTTAACAAAGAGATTGGATATGTTAAAAAATTTTTTTAAAAATGAAACTTTCCTGCAATTAAAACTGAACTACTCAGAATAAAGTATAAAGTGTTGTAGTTTATCAAATAAAAAATATGCAAAATATTTCGAGGACCATGTCGCAATGGTTTATTCGAGAGCTCTAATACGTGCAATGTACTCACTTGAAGTACATTTTTTTTTGAGCATAAAATGACAAAGAATAATATATTTTACTACTGGAAAAATTTTTGATCAACTTATAAATCTCCGCTGGTAGATGAAAATATTTAAAATTGATGAAAAATTTTTATCATTATGATTAGAAGTTATCATTATGAGTACACGCTTATGAAGCTTGATTTTTTCTTCATTCAAATAGTAGCGTTCGAAAAGTCAACCGATAACATATAATGTACCTACTTATTTGTTGAATAAGACTGTACGCTAACTACACAAGCGGTGTTTTTCTTAATAAAAAACTTTTTATCTTCATTTAACATAAGCAAATAATTTATTTGTTTCCTTCGTTTGAAATTAAAATGATACAATTCAATACACAAATTTAAATATAAATAATTTTAATATATTTAACATTCTTCACAACAAGATATCCAAATTTTTTTATTAGACAAGTTTTGTTGTAATTTTGTCGCAAGGAAAAAAAGGCTTACTTTTTCTCATGATATTATTTACAATAATTATTTACGACTTCTTGTCAAATACTTTAGCAATTGTGATGTATATATATATACCCCGTATCCTTAAATATGCTTCATTTTTATTCATAAAATGACTATTTTCCAATTTTCATATGATGTATTTAGACATGTCTTGAACTTAATGAATATTATCTTAACTAACAGAAGAATATCAAGTACTGAGAATATGATATCAAAATTACGATTTGTGTTTGTATAAATTTTGTACCATAGCCTATATTTAAATAAAGTTGTTTATTGCTTTATAGAATCGTATTTTTTGATTTACTAAATAAAATTAAAATGTTATTAAAAACCTTCATTTTTAACATTTATACGACAAAACTAATAGAGCATAGAAATGACTATAATAGAATATATTATCATTTTCTAAGGGACAAAAAATATATTAATTAAAAAATGCGTACTTCTTAAAATCAAATTAAAATTCAAACCAATTCAACTACTTACCGTTGCTCGTAGAATCAACCGAAATCATAACATTATTTTTATCATTGAAAAGGCTTAACAATTTTCCTTTTGGAAATAATACTTTGAAAACTTTCAATTTACTTCGGTCGATAGTTTCTTTATTAGAAGGTAACATCAAAAGAATGATTGATGAATCGTTTAGATTTATACAATTCTTAAAATTTTTTAATTTGTTTTCAATTTCGGTATTACTTAAATTGATATCAACCATGATAGACCAAGTTTCAACGTTATTTCCTGATATGCTAATAGCGCAAAAACTAGTAGCATTGTACGAAGGTTTTGTACCTGGAGCTAAAGTAAAAATGTCGTTTACAGCCCCTCCCCAAAGGGCATAAGTACTTGGTTTATATCTTGAAAAATTATATGTTGAAATTATATTACAATTATTTCATAAAAATGTTCAAAACTCCATGCTTTTTTTACCTTATTTTAATACTTTCCAAAATTTTATTGAAAAATTTGCGATGATATCGCTCATACAGAGGTTCGTCTTGCCATTTATACATTAAAACTATAAAACAAACTTGATCTTCTTTGAAATCAAATAATTTTTGTGTCATATTTACTAATAAACAGTCATTGCTCGTAAAATGTTGTTGTATAGAATGCGTATTTGTTTCAGTAATTGTATAATTTACTTGAGGTATGACAGGAAAAAATAAAGCTGCAGTTACATTTTTCTCTCCCCCAACCGGATTATCGTCGATATTTACTCCTACTGTTTCAATAGCTATGTAAAAACAATCTTTAGGTCTTGTCCATCTATGAGTTTTGCAAACTAAGGGGCAGGAAAATGAATATATATATATTTATAAATATAATTTTAAGGAAGAACGAGTATAATACTTTCGTAAACCACATTGTCACAATCTGCAGAAGATGGATATTTCCCATCCGTAAAAAAAAGTCCTAGCCTCGGTCTTATTCTTAGTGAAAGTTTAAGGTCTTCAACAATTTGATTCTTTACTCTTGGTCCAACAGCACAAAAGCGTGTTGCAACTAGATCTTCTAAAGCTTGCAAAGTAATAACTTGAGGTCCTCGTTTTAATTTTTCTCGTTTCGCCGTGTAGTACCAAGACCTTCGTGTTATAATATTGAAAAAATATATTAAAACACACTATATGAAAGGCGCAACTTACTTGCAGACTTCTGATGCTGAAGTTAAATCATAAATACTCAAGTGTTTGAAAATATCAGAAAGAACGTCGAATAAAATCAATTCAGTGTCAACCTCTCTTATTTCCATTTTATTAGTTCCATAAAAATTTTGCACGATTAAAATTATCAAATGAAAATTCAATGAATTAAGGAAATTATTGTTATAAAATGAACTTGAAACTATTCAAAATCAGATATAATTCCTTTCGAATCAGAGATCAGAGTGAATGCTTACAAATGTGGCAAAATATTGCTACTAGAGTTGTTGATTCGTTGCTAGTCAGTATTGATTAAGTCAAATACCTTAAAATAACTTACTGTTACAACAAATAGTGAAATTTCAAGTAACTCCGCCTTGTTATCCACCAGTATTATCGATTTTTTCCTATCGTATTTTTATGTCATATCATCTTTGTTTTGTAAGAATTTTTTGCTTACATTGCGTAGAATTTTATATGCAACACATACCCAACTTTTTGAGCATAACATCCTCAAAGAGCCTTTTGAGCCCTTGCTGTATAAATAACTATTAATTTATCTTCAATATGGTCGTTTAAACAATTAATTTGTTTACAACTTTTAAATGGATAATTTTTAAGTAAATCAACCTAGAAAAAGCGATTCGGCGCATTACGTTTAAAAACGTTAAAAAACCGACGCTGTATAGGCAGTTCTACTACCAAAGTTGCGCTCGCTCGGACGGACGGACGGACGGACGGACGGACGCTCGGTTTTTACGGGTTTACCCCTGACACCAAACGCGAATATAGATGTTTCACATCAAAACACTATGGGGTGCAAATTTTTACGAAAGCCCTTTCAGCATCCAGACTATACCTTCTTAATCTATAATTAATAAAGAAGTACGAACAATTTCAAAAGGATCGGTTCAATACTTTTTGATTTACATTGAAATAAAAATGCCATTTCGATAAATCACTGTTTAAAGAAATACTTTTTTATTTTCCGAAATGACATTTTGAACTCGGTAAGAATCGGTGAGAAAATTTTGAATTTTTTTATTGTTTTTATTTACAATTTCAACCAAATCGGAGCCAAATTGACGAAAATATTCAACTTTTAGTTCGATAACTATTATGTATCTAATATATAATGTTATATCTTTGAACTGCTATTTTTCATAATGCCTTTTTTGATAGCTCAGTCCCTAGAGTACCAGCTTCGAAATCAAAAGATCCCGGGTTGAAATCCTGCTTTTGGATGAAATTTTTTTTTCACTTTTTTAATGACCAAAATATCCTCGTGGATCGTCCAAGAAGCTGATCCACAAGGAAATCCATGCAACTATTTATAACTGGAACCTCTTAAGATGCACAAAATGTCCTAAAAACTATGTTGGCAAAACAAAACGGAAGTTGAAAACTTGACTGAGAGAAAAAAACACGGACAGCACCAAGTCTGCAGTTGCCTCGAAAACCCTGGACACGATATGGATTGGTTCAATGTTAAAATTCTAAACAAGGAGCCGAACTACCGACGTTGCTTGGTCTCTGAGATGATTTTTTAACGGCACAAAAAACACGCTTAATATAAACGAAGACACAAAAGATTTAAATAATTTATATTGCAACATCTTGATATACTTAAAATAATGTATAACTTTTGTTTATTCTACGTACACGACACTTATCTGTATGTTTGTTTCAAATTTGTACTGACACTGTTCTTATTGACTAGCTATGAACTAAATTTGTAACCGACTTTTCCTCAGTCCTAAAGAGGCCGACAAAGCGGTCTGCGAAACGTTGACTCATACATGAAAAGTGACACCACACTCACTTCTATGTACTTTTTTAGTTTAATTAAAAATTTGACCTTGGCACCGCCTTTACTACCGTTTCATTTTTCAACCCCAATTATAAACCCGGAAGGTGTTAAGATGTATAAAAAATTAAATCATTTTTTCATAACTCGAATTTTTTCGAATAGTCTAGTTTTTCGAGTACTCGCAATATATTTAAGTTTTAAGTAAATAAATGATGAATTAACAGTCTATAGACCACCTCTCTTTGTGTATACATGCTTATAATGTGATATTCGCAGCGGATTGGATTGGAAGAAGAAAATAATTTAATAGTACCACGCTTCGTCACACTTATAAGCACGTGCATACAAAAGGAGGAGTCTAGAGACTGTTAATTCATCATTTATTTACTTAAAACATAAATATATTGCGAGTACTCAAAAAACTCGATTACTCGACAAAATTCGAGTACCCGAATTTTCCCGACTCGACTCGAAAACTCGGGTACTCGCACAGCCCTAGTAACTTACCTATTATATACGATCTTAATTATTTCAACAATCACATGGTGTGCTTATAGACGAATCATAAATGCAGTGATGTTTTATTCAGATAGGTATATAAATAATTTCTAATAACTCAACAAGATAAATCAACAATAGGTTCAATCATTTTTATTATACAAGTTCTTCAACAGATTTATATGTACATAGTATTTCACGAGTATCAACTTTAACTAGCTATACAAATAACGAAGAAATGATTTACAAATGAATGCAAATCTCATAGTACTTGCATCTTAATAGCCAACATTTAATTATATTTATAAAAAATGTTATTTATTAAATAACAAACATTAGTAACAACAAGAATCATTATTTTCGAATAATTCAAGGTACTTACAAATTCAACAAAAGAGATGTAAAATGCGTCAACCAAATAAGACATATTTTATACCATGTGAAATTAAGAAATTTTATCTTTGTTTAAATTTTTCCAAGTAAAGCTTAAAATTAGTTCAACAGTATGATTGGTTTCTAAAATTTATATACAAAATAACTAATAATTATTATGATTGGACTTCAATTCATAATTAACTATAAAAAATTATAAATTCGTTTCACATTAGTAATTGGATTTGGCTGTTCAGAAGGTAATTTGTACATAAAATTTTTCATTTTCGTACACGAATTCTTCTTCACCCCACCCCCCCCCCTTCCATAGTCTTCGTTATTAATCATATCTTTTTTTCTAGCAATACAATTGATAATAACACAAATCGAAGAAAAGTACTAGGCAATGAAACAATTCTAAATAACCAGATTGGCACGAATTGCATGTAATATTTTAGAGCGCTCTAACCAAAAATAGGTTTCAAAATTAGAGTGTTCTGAAGTTACTTTTGATGGTAAATTACTTGTTGATGTGTTTCTAGATCCATATTTATTTGTATAAAAATATCATACTCATGATCAAAAATATAACTATGATAATTATTATTTTTCATTAATAGCAATTCAGGATTGAAACTATGCAATTTTAGAATGTTTCTGTATCCTCACAGGCAGATGTATCATGACCAAACACTGAAAAAATTTTTTAATAAACTAGTAGTTATAAATAATTTACGTTTTATGAATTTCGAAAAGGACATACTTTCACAAGTTTCACAGTATGGCCTTTGAGCCAAAACTTTTTTAGTTTTAGATGGATTGTGTACTTGCTCGTCAGGATCTTGCGCTTGTTTAGGGCAGTCATCTGTATCGTGCAAGTCGAATTCATCACATATATCACAAAATACTCTTGGTGGAGGTAGTGTTTTCTGAATAAGATGGCTAAAAAAAATATTGGCTTAGATTTTTTCCTGTTATAATGAAAAGTTAATGAAATATGTAATATTTACGAATAATCATCAGCTTCCTGAGGTGGGATTCCCATTTCTAAAACTTCAACTTTACTTTTTAATTTTTCATTTTTATGTTGCATATCAACGATGACTGAATTTAAAAAATTAATTTGCCCCTTAGCTTCTTCATATTCGCTTTTCAACTGTTCTAGTTCCAAGCCATTCGCAGATTTTGATTCGATATTTTTCTTATTTGAACATTCATTTATTGCAAGATCATCCTGAAATACACAGAAGTACTTTATAATTTTAAAAATAATTACTGAACAAAATAATACTTACTTTATCGTTGTTTTTAAACTTTTCATTTTCAATGTTCAATTTCATCATTGCTTCATCGTGTTTCGAAATAAGTTGCTTATTTTCAAATTCTCTGTAAATTAATGTATTTATTAGTTTTAGTTTATTTCTATAGAAATATTATTTCATGTGCAACTTACAATTTTTTTTTGGATTCTTCTAGAGATATAATGTTATTATTCAAAAATTCAATTTGATTCATAGTATTTTGTAATTTTTCATTTAATTCCATTTTTATTTCTGAAAGTTCTGTTATATTTTTATCCTTCGTTTTCATATCTATTCTGTACTTGTCAATTAAATCGTTATTTTTCTGTTGTTTTTCTTCGTAATTTTTTAATACTTGTTTCAATTTTTCTTCTTCCATGCGATTTTTTTCGATAGTTGTTTCTTTTAATTTTAATTCTTCATCATACTTTTGTAATTTTTCTTCCATACCTTTTCGAGTTAGCTCTGATTCATGCACAGACTTTAGTATTTTTTCTTTTTCTTCTGACATTTTTGTGATTATGGCATCCTTGCAAGCTAAATCTTTTGAATATTTTCGATTCAACTCATCAATTTTTTTCTCTTTTTCTTCAGCATTAGCATTTGCTTTTGTTTCACTAGAAGTTTTAATTTTCATTAACTCCTCTTCTAAACTGTTAATTATTTTTAGTTTACTATTGAATTCCTCTTTTAAAGAAACAAAATTTGTCTCTGAAACTTGTAGGCTGTTTTTTAATGAAAATAATTCTTTGTCTTTAAGTTCTATTTCATCATTTCTCATTGCAAAATCTTTTTTTATGCTTTCAAGTTCTCGTTGAATATTTTTACAATCATTTTTTTCAGTTGCTAAATTATCATTCAATAGTTGTATTTGTTTTTCTTGAGTCGCTATCAAACTTTCTAATTCTGTACATTTGGTTGATAATTTACTATTACTCTCTGAGGACAAAATTAATTGTTTCGTTAATTCATCAATTGAATTTTTTGATTCTTTTAAAGCAGTATCTAATGTACTTTTTTCGTCCTCCAACTGTTGTTTCAAATTAGCGATTTCCAAAGTCATATGTGATTCTAAATTAGTATTAGAAGATTTGAGAATGGTAACTTCTAATAAAACTTCATTGTATTTAGTATTAATTTCAGAAGATGATTTTTTTAACTCATCATTTTCTACTTTTAATTTTTCTAAATTTTCGTTAAGTTCTAGAATTTTTCTATTTTTAAGTTCGTTGGTTGATTCCAGTTCAGAAATGTATTGAGTTTTTATATTCAAATCACTTTCCATCTTTTTTAATTGAATGTCTTTTGATTTTTTATCGTCCAAAATCTGTGACTTTTGTTTTTCTAAATCACTAATTTTCTCATTCAAACCCTGTATTTGTTCATTGAAACTTCTCATTTTTTGTTCATGTTTTGTAGTTTTTTCAATTATATCTTTTTCTAATTCAATTTTTTGTTCTTGTGCGGATTCTAAACTTTTTGTTGTTTCTTTTAGATCTAATGATTGCTTTTGTAGTATTTCTTCGAGGGTTTCATATTTATTTGATACATCTTTATGTAATAATTCGCTGGCTGCCAGTTTTTCCGATATGTTCTGACGTTCTCGTAATTCTGAAGATACTTTCAGTTTTAATTCTTCATTTTCTCCTTTTAATTGGTCCACAATCTTATTGACATTACCCAAATCTTGACTTAGAGTTGAAATTTTAGTTTCAGCTACTTTAATATTTTTTTTCAATTCAAACTCTCTCTCACGACTTTCAACTAGCTCTTTTTCTTTTTCTCTTAAATCTTCACTATACTTTGTAAGTTTATCTGAGGAGTCGACGGATGTACTAACTATATTTTTAATTTCTAATTCCTGTAATGAAATATTTATGCAAAATAATTAATAATATTAAGCAATATAATTTGTAAAATTTTTGCAATAACTTATAAATTTTACCAGTTTTTCTTTTTGATTCACTAATTGTGATATTTTCTCTTCCGAACTAGTAAATTTTTCATTCATCTCAGCTATGTTAGTTTCATACATTCGGAGTTCACTTTCTAAATTAGTCTTGGTTTCTTCTGATAAGGTCAATGCGTCACGTAATTCTAAAATTAATCAAAATAGTTACCTTGTTTATAACCAAGAAGAAAAATTATTTTATGTTGAGATTGATTTTTACCTGTTATTTTATCGGACAATTGTTTCGTTTCATCGTCTTTGTTTTGCAGCGATTGTTTCAAATCTTTTTCAACACTACTGAAGTGCACGGTATTTTGTGCGGAATCGTCGATCAATTTTTTTAAATGTTCATCTTTTTCTTTTAATTTGTTTTGCATCTCTTGTTTAGAAATTTCTAACTGCTCCTTCAACTTTTGTATTTCAGTAGTGAGGGCATCATTTCGGTTTTCCTAAAGTTTTGAATCAATAAAAAATTTATTTTAAAATAAGATACTTTAACTCAACCATAAAGTTTCATGGATCTCACTTTAGTTACGTACTCTTATAAGTTCAAGTTAATAAGTTTTAGTTTTATAGTAATTATGTTAACAGATTAATTTTTTTCTCGAGACGGAACTAATATTCTTTTAACCAGGAGACCAACTGAGATACGGGTCATCAAATGCCCTGAAAAATTTTTTGGGTCTACTGATACATAATCATTCATGAAGCACATAGTAGTCTAGATCAGTGAAAACTAGATTTTGGCTAATTTTAGCTCAATTTTTAGTCGAAATTCAAAATTTTGAGTCCGTAAGGGCTCAAGAGTCATGATTGGACCGATAAAGTTATGTTTGGTATTGTTTAAGATATCTTTCAGGCGTATTTACCGATCGAAAATTTAGTCTGTTTTTCACTCGATTTTAAGTACTCCAAGTCAAGTAGGATACGTTTAGATCGCATAGAAATTGTGTAGAATTGAGAAATTTTCAAAAAAAGATTATCTTACAGGTATTTACAGAAAATGCATTTTTATATGAGAAGATTGACCGGATAAGGGAAAAATTGCCTTGAATCTCATCTTTGACCTTCAAAACAATAGGGTTAGAGGTCAGAGAATCTGAAATCATTTAGAAACATTATTGGGACTATGTAATAGTACTTTACCATACAAGGACTATAAGTAACACTGTATGGAATGGCACAGTATAGGCCCGAGCGCAGCAAGAGTCCTTATAGCCGCGCCGGAAAGTGTCTCCTATGGACCGAGTATCGTACTCAATTTTATAGCACTGAGCTAAGTTTACATTTATGTCCCGTAGTGCTATAAAAACATTTTCTATCGATGAAAAATTGGATTCAAAATATTGCAGTCTGACTTGACAAAAAACTACCCACACTTTTTTAATTTATATAATTTTAAGACTCATAGAAATCTATTATACGGTGAAAATGGAAATAGTAACTGTGATTTTGCTCAATTTTATAACAACGATCGATTGATATAATCGTTTAATAACTACCAGTTTATTTTTTTATAAATATGGTTAAAGCATTAAATGAATTCTAATAATTCAAATTATGAGCCAGCTCGTGTCCAAAAATGTTCAAGCTGCCCCAAAATTGGTATTGTGAAGTACTGATTTTAGTTACATACCAAAATAGTTTTTGCTTGTATCAAGTCTTTCATTTGTTTGTCACAGCATGATTTTAGTTCCGTCATTTCTTCTTGGAGCTTAACGTATAAATCGCTTGAATTATTTAATTTTTTTCTTGTATCTGAAAAGTAATTTATATTTCATTAGCAATTTTTTAGAAAAAAATTTAAAATTAAATGTTTTCTAGTAAATAGTTATAAATAATATTATAAATAGTTATTAATACTAATAGTTAATTAATATTATAATAGTTATTAATAATTATTATTATTAATAGTTATTAATACCTTCAAGTTCCGCATAAATTATTTTCTTTTCCTTTTCTTTTTCAGAATGTGCACTTTTTAAATCCTCAAATTCAATCATTATTTTTTTGCTATCTTGAATAGATTTTTCAAGTTGCGCATTGGTTTTTTCGAGATCTTGATTTTTTGTATCTAAAAGTAACTTGAAAGATTCCGAAAGTTCTTTAATTTGACGTGAGTTTTCTTCTTTTAATTTTTCTAAAACTCCCTCTTGCGAAATAAATAAGTTATGATGTTCTTGTTTAAGTTCTAATGTTTTTGATTTTATGAGTTCATCTTTCTCTTTTAGTGTCATTTGATGCTCATCGATAAGATTTTTGATTTCATTCTTACTTTGTTCTTTAAAATTAACTAATGATGTTGCTAAGGTCTGCATACTCACTTCCATTTCGTCTGTTTTTACTTTACATTCATTTTGAATTTTCTCACATTGTATGATTTTTTCATCCAGCATTTTTTTATTATTAGTTAACTTTTCGTGTAAATCTCTATGTAATTGTTCTTGAGCACCAATTTTAGTATTTTGATCATTCAATTGATCATTTAATTTTTGCAGTTGTACTTCATAGTTTTCAATGGCCTTATTTTTTTCATTAATCAATTTCGAAAGTTTTTCATTATCATTTTTTAAGGTTTCATAGCTCATTTGTAATTTTGTAATCTGATGATTTTCCTCGTTTGCTTGTGTTTGATTACTGCTTCGTAGTTTTATTAGTTCTTCTTCAGTTTCAAATAATTTTGTATTTTCTTTTTCAAGTTTAATAATTCGTTCTCGTTCTTCAAAAAGTTTTTTTTCTAGATCTTTGACTTTAGATTCATATCTTGAAATTGTTACCTGTTTGTAGAATTGTTTATCGATCAAACATATTAAAATTACTCAAATTATAACATATTTAAAAATTTCTTAATAAATTTTGGATTGATTCATATATTTAAATAACTTAAAATTATATAAAAGGAATTGTCAGATAACGTTTGAAAATGGCTTGAAAATTTAAAATAATAATATTTTTTTCAAGTACATTTTTATGACACACATTTTCGTCAGTGTTAAGGTATATGAAGTGATAAAAAATGCGGTCACTCATTTCAGAATAAATTTTTTAATAACTGCAAAATAGCGGGAAATAGACGAATAAAAAAATAATTAGTCTAAAATTTTTCCAATTTTGTCATGCTCAGCATCGTTAATCTTCATTATTCAATAAGATAAATTTACATTAAGGATACCTTGTTTGACGAAACGTATGGTTACTATAGCGTTCGAGATAACTCAATTTTTATATACACGAAATTTACCCAATATATAAAAGCTTTTGAGAATTCCTTATATAAAGAAAGTTATTACAAAAATAATGTATTTTTTTAATGTAGTTAAAAAAATTACGTATAATATACGAACTATAAAAAAGACTCGTGTATTATGAGAGGCAGTGCATTTAGGCGAGGATACAGGCCTTGTGAGTATGGTTTCAGATAATGATATAAGCAGAATGACATTTCAGCAATGCAACCACTAAATACTCACATTTTTATGAGATTCTTCTTCCTGGAAATTATTAAAATAGTTAAGCAGGGAAAAAAATTAAAGCAATGTTTTTGTAAAGAAAAAAATAAATAAGTATCAAACGAAATTTCCACCTAGTCATCTGCAAGCAAAAAAGCGTCTATAATGTTTGAATTATTTAATACAGAGGTGTAAGTTAATGAAACTTAAAGGTTCTGATTTACTTAATTTGACTTGACTAGCTAAAATTTGTAAACTTTTCATACCATCACCCAAGTTGTTGATAGGTATACAGTAAAAAATGTATAAACTTGAATATTTTTACCTGAACGTCATCTATTTTTATAGATTCTTCTTCACATCTGAATAACAGATCTTCGCTTTTTCTTCGTTCTTCATCTAATTGTGAAACTAGAGCATTTTTCTCATCAAAAATAATGTCTAATTTTTGTTTTATTTCTTGGTTACTCTTTTCGGTATCTTCTTTATACTAAAATTTACAAAAAATATTTTATCAAATTTAGTACAAAATTGAAATAACTAGGGTAACCAATCCAATAGATGGAAAGTTTGATATTTCAAAATTATATTATGACACTCAGTCATCATCTAGAAACTTCACTGTTATTTAAAAATACATTCCATATAGTTTAAAAATAATGTAAAAATAATCAATCTTCCTTCTACTGAAAACCTGTCGATCTATTGGGTTGGTTATTTTATATTATATTTGAAAACCTTTGCAAATTCTTTCTGTAATATGGCATATTTTTTTTCGGCTTCATCCGCTTGGCTAGCCGCTTTTGTGACCCTTTCACGCTCTATGTCACGTTCTTTTCGCAATATTTCTATTTCCTTTTGTCGTTCTTTTGATAATTCCTACAATATAAGTGTTCATTATTTATTTTTCAGTAAAATTTTTGTCATAAATAATAAAGTGAACTTTTAAGTCATTTCGTTCAAGTATTCAAACATTGTAAGACTCATAAAATAATAATATACGATTATAGTTGATGAATCTAGATAATATATATCTTTTTTGGAGAAGTGTCACAAAGAGAGAGTTTTGTCATAATAGTTTTCATACCACCTAAGCAGAGATAAACTTTTCGGCTCAGTGGTAAAACAAAAAAGTTTTTTTCTGCTGGTGAATTCGTGCAAAATGGTATATAAAGCAAAACATACTATACAAGCTTAAGCTGCGAAAAAATTTCCGAGTTAGTGTTTATTGTCGCGGCCTGGGACAGTAATATACTACACTCCACAACAAAATTATCGCAACAAGAATTTTCGTTGAAATTTTGTTAATTTTCAAATGCTTCTATCTTCGTCTATTTTGATCGTTTCATGACGATGTTTTTTGAGTTTTTGGAAATATTATCTTCTTTAAATCCATATATATTAACAAAATACGGAAAATTCCTTGTTGAACTAAAATCGACTCGATTGTTTGGTATTTTGCGTACACAAATGATACTTTCAAAACGGCCTACAGGACGCAAAAAGTTGTAGAGAACTCTTTTTTTTAATTTATTCCTTAAAAAAGTAGTTAGCGATGCTGCATGTTATATTTTGATAAACAAATTATTTTAGTCCAGATCGATGTCCCCCGCGAAGAGTAACACATTTCCATTTAAATTAACACACAAACGTGTTGATCTTCGTGCGGAGCAAGGAGACACACGTTTAAACAATCGAATTTTTTTCTGTCATTTTAGGTGTTATGCTTAAAAGCGTGTAGCAACTCGATATTGAGTTGAAACTATTCATAAAATACATGGATTTAAAGAAGACAAAATTGCCAAAAATTTAAAAAATTCGTCTCGACATGATCAAAATAGACAAAGATAGAAGCTTTTGAAAATTAACAAAATTTCAATGAAAATTCTTGTTGCGATTATTTTATTGTGGAGTGTATTTCATCCTTACTATTAGCTATTCCGAGAAAAAAGGTTTATAATCTCTTTGTTTCATTTGAAAGAGCATGGCTGCACTTATTGCATAATAAAATATATATTTGAGTACATCTAAAGGTAGACTTTTGAATAATATTGTAATTTTTACAACTACAATTTTTTCGATGTATAAAACTTTTTCATTTATTAGAGATTTAGTTTGTTCAGTACATAATGCATATCTTAAACTGCTAGTCAAAAACTGTCAAAGACGTTGAAAATATTTTACAAAGTCTTTTTAACTTTAATTGATCGCTAAATAATTGGTATTTAGACGGTTATTACACGTGTTCCGGGACTTTACTGTTTTCGCGGCTTAGGGCAGTAATATACTATACATTAGTTCAGCACCTTATAGTAACTACATGAATTTGACCACAATTTTTTAGAAATCATAAATTTTTTGGATTGAAAGTAAATAATAAAAACGAATAAAAAATGTTTGTACAAGGAAAAAGTTATCAAATCCCATCAACTCCTAAACGACTGAATCGATCATTTATCGATAAGTTTTACAGTTTTGTATTATATCAACTTGTAATAATTCAAAAATTTTTTGACATGTCATTTCTTACAGAAAACTTCACGTAATTTTAGAATTCGGTGTCAGAATTAATGAAAAAATTAATAATAAAAAGATCTGAACAATTTTTGGAAAATAACAATAAATTTTAAAAAATCTTGCGTTTAACGTTTATAGGTTAGATTTAGAATTTCTCAAATAAACTAGCAGTAATAAAACCGAAATTAAACATGGGTATAGCATTAATATGGCTTCTGAATACCCGAAGATCATAAAATAATGTTGGCAATTTTTAATTCGATAGCTAAGAATTTTACGAAAAAAAGTACAGAATAAAAATTGTGTAGAATTGATCAAAAAACAGTTTCAACCACTTTTTCAAATCACAGAACTATTTCATAATTTTTGGAAGCGACTTTTGGTTTATGAGATACATCATTCCTTTATCGATAGCGTAGTTCAAGAAACATTGGGTTCTCTGGCAAAAACATTTTTGGTTTTCTTCTATCACTCCAGCTATTTTCTCTTTTATCATTAAGATGCTTTACTTCAAAGGCATTACAATTAATTAACTGATAATGAATAGTCTATTCAGAATCAGCAGTGAAACTTAGGCATGACAGTTATAAAAATAAAAATATATGGTTATATGAATAATTAACATTGTTTACGATTTTAATCAAATATCCGCCAGATTTATAAGAAATGTTAGTAAATTAATAAATATTTTTACATACGAAAAGTATAAAATTAAATTTAAAAAAAGAAATTAATCAAAAACATGGATACTTCGAAAAGTATTGTTCAAATTTTTAACATAGCCAGGCTTTCGTTAAAATTAATCAGCTTTTATAACATTGCTCTTGGGTTAATTTAAACTTAACCTTTCAACTCTACAAATTAAGATTGGGAAAAAATTGCGGTCAGAATTTTGAGGCAGAACCATTGTGAAATTTTAAAGCATTATTTTAAGAAGCTGGAAAAATTAAAATTTCTAAGGTTTTTGAAGCGATTCAATTTTTAGTGTTTTTAAATCATACGAAAAAATATGTGATCACAAAATCGAATGGTAAATTGAATTTTATTCTAATGAAACCTACCTTGCCAAAGGCAATTATCGTATTAAATTGATATTATAGAACATAATTTATTGTTTATTTTTTATAATAAAAATAAAACTTTTTTTGACTTGATACATCAATTTTGTTTTACTAGATTAACATTTTCATAGAAATGTTGAACTCAACTGGACAAGACGTGACAGTTTTTATTGTATAATACAAACAATACATGGACAAATAAGTAAAATTTAACTTATTAACTTATGTAATATAATATATATTTGAACAGACACATTTTTATAAATAGTACTTACACCGCCCATATCTTATAAACTATACTTAAATCAAAAATAAAGAATCTCACCTGCGCTGTTTTTCGAGCAGGTGTTGATGTGCTCATCAAAGTGGATTTTTTTGGTAACTGAAAATCGAATCACAAACTCAAAAAAAAATACAAAAAAGTTATTTTTATTTTAAAGCAAATGTGCATGCACTATAATTGGTATAAAAAATTTCCATACACCATTACCTGAGTATTTCAGGTATAATGTGCGGAAAATGAATATTTCATGTTGAAACTGCAAATATTATGAAATACTTTCACAGACTAGGCTCTTTTTCGAGGATAATATGTACAATTTTTTTTATAATTTTTAGATTCGTCTACTTACAACATAAATTCCTAATTTTTTTGCATGCTACGATTCCTTAATACTTTTATAGGTTAGTAGTTACAATAATGCATTAATTAAGAATTAAGCAATAAAAGTTTTCAAAATTAACTCAATTATTTCTAACAATACTTGAAAAATATAATTGTTGAAACAAACAGCTTGAAAAAAAAATAAATATGCAGCATCAAATCTGTCATACAATCCACCCTCAATCAGCGAACCTTACCCTGGAAGTGGAGGCAGTTGTCATTTTACTGGCGACACTTGTAGCCACACTTGAAATGGATGCGAGAGATTCACGCGATCCTGCTTTACTACGGAGAGATGAGTTTAGAGCAGCACCCGAAGGTTTATGTATTACTCCTGTCGATTTACGGTTGGACGGTGATCGACTAACTTTATTAGGTGGAGCAAACAAACCGTGGTTTGGACGACATTCGAAGTACCTATAGATTAACAAACGTAGATTGAGTATCTATAGATTTATATAAAGTTCTTTAAAGTTCTTTAACAGATTCAGTTTAAAAATAAGTAAATTAAAAAATTATGTTCTAGCTTTATTTTTAGATAATAGAAAATTGCACTCCAAATTCTTTTATCAGCTTCAGAAGAATCGTCGGAAAAACAATAATACTAGTTAATCTCAATAATAGCTAGTAAAAGAAAAAAATGTAAAACTCGTTGCACCTCTTATCATTAATAGAGCCATCATTCTTGCCCACTGGGTCATCTAGCTCTACTCCACACCATTCGCCGGGTGCAAAATCAGTTTGGCCCATGTATCTTAAAACGCCCATTTTGCTACCTTGACTCGATGACACGATGACTCTCTCGCCAAGTTGTAGTTTTTGTGATACAGATGATATAGATGCCAGACTTGTGGTTGACGCATCTTTTAAGGATACAATATATATAAATATTTATGTATAAAAATTCGGTATATTAAAATATAAGTGAAACAAAAAAATTTACATTCGGTGATCTGTATATTAAATGTCAAATTTCAATTAAATAACATGAGACTGAAGTTTAAAATATAAAGTAAGACAATTTTTTTGTAATATTTAAAAATGATATAAACACGTGACCAAACAATACACAGAACGATTTTTTATCCACAAATAAATGACGCAAATATCATAAGAATAATAGATAAGCTGCAGTATATAATATAAATGTCTTATAGTACTTTACAATACAAGGGCTATAAATAACACTTTACGGCATGGCGTGGTTTAAAGTGTCCCCTACGGACAGAGTGTCGTACTCCATTTTATAGCAATGTGGTAAGTTAACATTTATGCTCCTTTTTCCGAGTTATGTGTGATGCGAACGACTCAGTGCCCTAAAGTGCGATTTAAGCCACCGAAAAGCTTGTCTAATATGATTAGGATAGACAGACCACCAATCAATGACCGGGTACCAGTGAATGACCATTTTATAACTATTTTATGACCATGCATAAGTCGCACTTTCTGGTACCGTAGAGTGAGGTTAGCGTACGAGCGTTTGCGAGTGTGATGCGAACGCAGCCAGAACGAACGGTACCAGAAAGTGCGACTTATGCATTGGGGCCCGAGCGCAGCGACGCCGTGCCAAAAAGTGTTACTTATAGCACTTTTATCGTAAATTACTATTATGAAACGAAACGGATGTGGATATAATATTGCATACAATATTTTATAGCATAAGAGCCTAAAACTAGCGTCAAAGTTGTGATTTTTAGGTTAGAGTGCTACTTAATAAATATTGTATGGACTTTGTTCAATTCTTTAGCGAATGAAGCATCTTGTTTTTTACGACCGATTATCGTATAACAAGAAAAAAGAATAGTGGTGGAAAGCGATCAGTCACTGGTCCAAGTACCCTATTGTGTTATAGTAAGCTCAATCTATTCTGGTCTAATGCTTACTTAAAGAAGGCGAAATGTTTTTGTTTAGAGTGCCTCGGCTGCAGTTGGTTGGCGATTCTTGAGCGTTGCTAAGAGGTTTCCGCGTGAGTCTTGTTAATCTGGAAAATATTCCCCGTTTAGGTTCGCATTGGAAATAACGACAACCAGCAACGGAACCATCATTTTTTCCTGAGAATATCACGAGGAAAAATTTTGTATTTTAAAAATTGTTCATAAGTCATCAAATTATCTGGGTAGGATGGAAAATTACCAATTGGCTCATCTAGGACGATACCCGCCCAATCTCCTGGGGCGAATTGTGTTTCACCTATGTAAGCAATAGCGCCGGGTTTGTTACCACCGACCCATACTCTATCTCCAATTATAAAACTGTCTGTATCTTCAGTGAGGACTACACTGTTATCTGAATAAATTTAAATATTTTTTCAATTTGGTTTTATACACTAAAGAGTTGCATTATATGCAACCTTTACAATAATAGATATAACATTGTCAAGAATTGGTTCCGACTGCCGCAAGAATCGCATGGTTCTTATAGGTCCATAAAGTTAGCACCCAGATTTTGAAAAAGTGCACGTTCGTCATTATAATTAATATTATTTGTTTGCGTGTGAAAAGTTTTATAAAACATCCAAATCTCACGTTTGCGCGTTGAAATTTTTCCATCGAAAAGTGAATTTTCAAAATGGGTGCTGAAATTACAGCACCCAGAAGAAAAGGTGCCATATTTTAAATGTCTATTACATTTTATTTAATTTTTTTTTTAATTGATTTCCTATGCATTTCATTACGGGTGCTGGGATTACAGCATTCATTTAAAAAAAACCATTTTTATAAATAATTTCACTACTTAATTATTTTATTATTTATAATTTTTGACGCGCAAACGATTTATATAAGTCCCATAACTGGAAACAGTTTTTCATTTCTGGGGACTAACTTCACTAATCTGAACGTAATTAATATATTTTGGATAAACTTATGTACATTATCTGTCGAGGAGTGCAATTGTAAGCACCCATCGTTTGCGATTTTCACGAACAATCAATTAGTTGCTCTCATCGTTTCTAAATAGTACTTTACTATACAAGGGCAACACATTACGGCACGTCGTGGCTTAAGGCCCGAGCGCAGAGAGGGTCCTAATAGCCGTGCTAAAATGTGTCCCCTATGGCCCGAGGATCGTACTACATTTTATAGCACTGGGCTAAGTTCACAGAAAAGCGCATCATAAATGTGAACTAATGCCCCGCACCTTTTCTTCTGGGTACAGGAATTTCAGCCCCCATTTTGAAAATTCACTTTTTCATGGAAAATTTTCAACGCACAAACGGGAGATTTAAAAGTTTTATAATACTTTTTACGCGCAAACAAATATGAATTATAATAGTGAAAGTGCACTTTTTCAAAATCTGGGTGTCAACTTTATGAACCTGGTTCTTGCCGTTAATTGACCGAATTAGTATCACAAGTCGAAGCGGACAATTATCGTTATACAGTTCAAATACTCTCTGGGGGGTCTAAACTTGTGTACAGTTTAATTATACTCTGCTGGTGTAAACTTGAACTAAATAGCAACTAAGCAAATAGATTCACGGTGCAAGCATTTCCAATATCCCATATATATATATGGGTAAGGCTCAGAATTTTTTAAATAAACCTGCGCTCGTATGTCACCGATCTTGACGCGCTTTTGGTATGTTATAGTACATGGTAAAAAGGTCCCAAAACCCAAATTTTAGACCCCCTCCCTCCTCCTACCCCCCTCCACCCCTATAAACGTCCATTTTCTATCTATATTTTTTCTGAAGGCTTGAAGCAATTAAAAAATCTGAAAAAATATAGATAGAAAATGGACGTTTATACCGGAAGGGGGGAGGGTAGGAGGGGGAGGGGGTCCCAAAATTTGGGTTGGGCACTTTTTTATCATGTACTATAACATACCAAAAGCGCGTCAAGATCGGTGACATACGTGCGGACGAAAATTTTAAAAAGTATTATTTTGACCCATATATACTCCTGAAAATGTGAATGTGCTGACCTGTACATTATAGGGGTGTTTGAGTACTCGAAACAGTTCGACTTGATCGAGTCGAGTTTTTTTCTTGAGTACTCGCCATGTTATCGAGTTTCAGCTACGTAATAATACATTATAGCACTGCGTGGAATAAATGTAACTTTAGCACAGTGCTATAAGATTGCGTACGATACTCATTCCACGGGGGACACATTTTGGTCCTAAACTAGGCCGTGTCAAAAAGTGCTACTGGCGGCATGCACACTGTAATAGTATATTTCAGCCTATTTCACACCAGCAGAGGGATAATTTCGGTAAGCAGCTGATTATGATTAAGATTTAAGCTGTATCAAGATAAAATAATGACAATGACACGTATCAGCTTCGACTTGAGGTAACAATTCGATCTACTAACGCTAAGAATCATTTAATTATGGTGGAAAGTTGAAGCCGATTTTCGGCAATGTTTTTTTCATTACTGTAATGTACATTTATCATAAATAATAAAATATGTATTTTTTAATATGCAAAATATAATTGTTTCATACTCTAAAAAGTTTTTACAGAATAGATACCATTTTTTTACTATTTACATTTAACAAACACATGTACAGGAAAAAGGTAATAGACAAATAGAAATTTTGATGGAATGTGTTTCAATTTATCGAAAACAGAGAATGACTTTTACTTAAGGGGACCGACCTGTGTTAAAAGCTTAAATTCAGCTTCAGCTAAAAATAGCTATATAAATCTAAATAGTGGAAATTTTTTTATGTGATAATAAAATATGTTCATTACACACCTGATTGACAAAAAAACTTTTACCCAAGCTCTGAAATACCAATTACATCACTTTTTTCATAAGATGAAATGTTGTGTTATAAATCACTTGCCGTATGAACTTGAAAAGAGTTTTTCATTAATATTGATCTATGGGGTCTCAAAATCTTCAGAAAAGTACCCTCATCCACCTAAGTGGAGCAGAATTTTGAAAAATTGCGTACAACTTTATATATACGTCAAAATGTGACAATTTTTAAAAAAATTAGTATTTTATCAACACCAAATGCCATATTTAAGCTCTTGTAAGAGAAACAAACTTTTTTTTCAAATTCTGCTCCGCTTAAGTGGATGAGGGTACTTTTCTGCAGATTTTGAGACCCCATAGATCAATATTGATGAAGAGCTCACGTCAGAATCGCGTGGCAAGGAAATCCAATTATAATATTTAGTATTATGAAAAAATAGGCGTAGTTGGAATTTCAAAGCTTGGGTAAAAGTTTTTTTTGGGCAATCAGGTGTCTAATGAACATATTTTACTATCACAAAAAAAAATTTCCACTATTTCGATTTATATAACTATTTTTTGAATTTAAGCTTTCAACACAGGTCGGTCCCCTTGAAATAATTATGTAAAAAATGAATGAATATGATTCAGAGAGTCACAAAATTGCAGTAAAAATAAATATTTCAACATTTTTTTCTGAAATTCTAAAACAATGATTTTTTAAAATACTAAAAATTGGCAGTTCTGATATTTTAACACGGTTTACATAGGAGCCCCTCGCACCCAACCTCTGAGATCCCCGAACTTCTTTAAGAATTTCAAAACAACGGTTTGGAACTTCCAATTTTAGAAATTGTTTATAAATGATAGCAAACATAAAAAATACCAACAAATAAAATACTTGAATTTTAAACTCACAACAAACATTACAATATCAAGCATAAAATGTAAATGAAAACAGTACGAAAATGCAAATCACACTATACCTGATCCTCGACGTCCTGCAGTTTCGTGCAGCCGACGACCGTGCAATTCCGAAATCGATTCCATTACTTTCGAATGGATGAGCCATGCAATACAACAACAAACTTTATATTTACAATCATTTAAATACAAAATACTAGAGTTTTCTAAAAGCATGCAAATTATAAATCAAAAAGCAAGCGAATGGGTTAATATATAATATTCGAACCTATTACAGAGCTTCCTCTCAGAAAAAACTAAACGTATATGTTTGAAAGGCGGCCTTATAATCGCGAAAAATTTTGATTTTTAACTTACAGGACGATTACTGGTTGTAATAAAAAATAAAATAGGCTACATTCATTATTTATTAAGCTCATTTATAATATTTTTGCCGTTTATTGCTCTGATGTTGAGGGTAGAAAAAAGTATTTAAAAACTTTTTTTTTAATTTTTTAAACCTTTTTTCTTTGAATTATCTTCGTAAAAAGTGATTTTTCAATGGCGGACAGTTAATCTCAGAATCTGCTCAGCCGATCTTTACCAAATTTTACATACTTCTTCATTAATGTGGATACAGGACAATACACCAGAAAAAATGAAAATTTAATTAAAAAAACAAAATAGTGGAAGTTTAAAATTTTTTTCCGTTATAACCCTTTTTTAATTTCCTTATCGTCTTATGCTTATTACAATTTTTCTTTTTTCTGTAATTTTCTGGTATATTGTCTTGTCAGATATGTAAAGGAAGACGTGTGTGAAATTGTATAAGGATCGGTCAAGTAAATTCGGAAATTAACTGTCCACCATGTAAAAAAACACCATCTCGAGATAAACGTGATCAAAGTTTTCAAATGCCATTGAACGTCGTGTATACGCTTGTATTCAAGCCTGATTTTGACTAACTTAAAGTCCGAATTTCTGTACCAAATTTTAGGAGGTGATTCTCCAAAATATAAACAATTCGAAAATGCAATAAAAAAAATATTTCAAAAAGTTTAACCGGTAATAGTACCATAAACAAAGTGTTTAAGAAAAACTATTAATTTCCTGATAGAGAAAAATGAGCTGTAGATCAGCGGCTCCAAAAATATGAAGATGTATTTCTATGTGCAAAGCACTATTTTGTGTATGTTATCAATTACCAACAGATTTTTTATTACACCTTGTGAAGTTTGGAATACATTAATTAAACAATTTAATATTGAATCTATTTTTGATTTCAAGTATTTTCATGGCCGATATGATTTCAATAATTCTAATGTAATTGTATGTTTGAAAGAATGTTAAATATTTTTATGATCTAAATTGATAAGAAATAATTTGATATAATTTATTTGTCGGCTACGGAAATATTTTTCAGTTAAATTAAGTATGTAATCATTTTTTAAGGAGTTCATGAACTCGATCTGTTACCCTGTATAATTAAATTGCTCGTGAAATGTTAAAATACAAAGATTTATTATGTGCATCATCGATCAAATTCTACGCTATTAATCTTTAATTTCTTAATTATGTAATATTCTGAGCCTTGAAGAAGATCAACGTGCATATACGTTTAGGAAAAATTGAAGGAAACGTTAATGATCCATGAAGATCATTTGTTACAATTATAGTAGCTATACGCAAACTTATCGTTATTGACGTAATATATCTAAAACAACGTACAGAGTAACAAACCAAAATATTCGGGTGTGTTTCTGTGAGCGAGATCGTCGTACAATTAAGTATTTATGAAGGACGTAGGCGTTCGATAGAGCAATAGGTCGTTCTAAAGGTGGGTGTGGAAACTCCAAGTGCTGTCTTGAATGTATACCTATATAATATATGAACGCACAACGTTAGATTTATCAACATCGGTAGACAGAGAGAGCAAAACGCATTTCTACGTAACAAACCTATGACACCATCATGAAGTTACCGCGTTTAAATGTACGTGCGTGCGTACGCGATCATTTGATATAAGATTTTAATGAATGAGTCTCCTCGTAACAACGTCATAGCTCCATTTTATAAACGAATTAACGAAAAAGTACGAAAATCGTAATTTTATGTGCATTCAAAATTTTAATGCGTAACTACCCTCCCCCCTTCTCTCGGCCCAAAGAGATTAAAAGTTTTTGAACGCAAGATATCTCATTAAAATTATATGCACGTCATGATTTTTATTACTGAAATATCAAAATACTTCGAGTTGTAATTATAGGAAAATTTTGATTTAAAATGTTATGTATTTGTATTTTGACATTATGAAATACTTATAGGTATGTTAATTTATTCTAGGTCTTGCTAGGTTTCTTTTACTTTTTCTACAAATAAGATTTCGTGTACGAAAATTTTTCATATTTGCAAATATTTGCATGCAAATGAATTTTTAGAAAAAGCTAATATTGGTGTTAAGGCGAAATTGCTTAAAATACTATTTGGTAAGATTCTGTTACTATGGGTCATGCACTCAAAGATGATTTATTCAATATTTTACTCATATAATTTTTATTAATCAGAAATTTTAATTGAAATTTTTAAAAAATATAGTTTTTATTTGAATATACAGTTTTTGTCATAAAGTTACGTATATCTGATATGATAATTAAAATATTGAAATTTTACCAGAATTATTGCTATTTGGTTTTATTGTTATTAGAATAACACGATTGACTAAATAAATTTTATAAATGAACTTATTGTCGATTTTTAAAATCTTACTTTTCGATCACTTCTTGTTCGAATTGAAAAAATACTAGGATAAAGATCGGAGCTAAGTTATGTCAAGAGTCGCGATCTTTGATGCGGCACGATCAAGACTTACGGTACCCTCATAGAACAACGAGGTTTTATCTAAGCCTCCAATGACGTTGTGGGTGTTTGCTCGAAAGAAAAACGTTCGTTCTCAGCAGTGGGAGGTTTAGAGTACCATTGTCTTCTTCTCTTTTTAGCATTTGGTAACATTAAGGGGACAAGATGGTGTTTCGAGCTAATATTTAATAATGGCCATTTATAAATCGAAATAATTGGTAATTTTTTTTTATAGTAAAATATGTTCATACTACCTGTGATTGACCATAAAAAAATTCTATTGAAGCTGTTAAATCCCAATTACATTACTTTTTTCATAATACTGAATATTGTGTTATAAATATTGTATTATCATTTACTGCATGATCCTGAAGCGAGTTTTCCATCAATTTTTATCCATTGGGTTTCAAAATCTTTAGAAAATTACTTTCCTTCATATCTAAATGGAGCAGAATTTAGAAAAATTTCTTTCGCTTTTTCAATAAGCTTAAATTTGTCATTTAGCTTTGATATAATATTGGTTTTCTTAAAAATTGTCGTATTTTGAAGTGTACATTAAGTTCTACACAATTTTTCCAATTTCTGCTTTGCTTAGGTAAAGAAGTATATTTTTCTGATAATTTTGAGAGTCCATAGATCAATATTGATGAAAAACACACCTCAGAATCACTTGATCAGTCGATTCAATCACAAAATTGAGTATTATGAAAAAAATAATGTGATTGGGATTTCAAAGCCTGGATAGGAGTTTTTTTGGTTAATCAGTGGTAGTATGAACATATTTTACTATAGAAAAAATTATTTTAACTATTTCAATTTATATGTCTCTTTTTAAAAATCAGTTCGAAACACCATCTTGTTTTCTTTATATGTTTTCTAATTAATTACTTTGTTCTGCAAGGCATTTATTTTTTATCTATGTAAACTTTTGATTTATTGTTAGAAATTAATTACAAAGATTCACATCTTGAAAATTATCCATAAATAGTTAATTAAATTCATTTGTAATAGAAGTATTTATTTTTATCCATTGTCTACAAAAAAAAATGAAAAATTGCGCATTTCTATACAAAATTTCAATAACCTATGTATAAATTTTACTTACAGTGTTAGATATATAAGAAAATTAAGTAAGAAAATATTATAATTACAGCTACCTACTACTACTACTACTACTACTACTACTACTACTACTATTACTGAAACTATTTTTTAAAATTTGTACTCTAATGACAAGGTAATAAAAGTTAATTAAGTTAGCTATTTGATTAAAATAACTGACATGGATGGTCACACCTTTTGTCTTTTTAAAGCATTAAGTAAAATGGTATCAATTCTTATAAGTAAATGATTTATTCAAATATAAAAATAAAATATCTTCAGACGCATACATATTTATCTAATCAATTATTTACTTAATTACAATATAGTATGAGAAATTTTACTAAAAATTTAAGAAGCATAATATTATAAGACCAAAAAAATTTGTTAATATTGATTCTTTCATAACAAATTCTTTCATTAGTAGTATAATAAAAAACTCACTGGTACTCGACAAAGGTGACGATGGAGGTATTGCTGGCTTTGGAGGTTGCAAACATCCTGGACGACCAATTTTTGAAGGTGGTCTCAGTCCTGATGGTTTATCTGCCATTTTTTATTTACCAACAGTTCTACTCACAGTAATTCACTATAAAACATAATTATGCACTTTTTATTTTGGCACAGTGTTGTAATTTTTATTTTTATAACTTCAAAACTTTATAATTTTTAATCCATAAACATTATATGGCTTCTTATTTTTTGTCACTAGCAAGGAACCTTGATTGAATGAGTAATAATTTAAGACTTCACGTTAATATATAACTTTTGTAATAATAATAATAGATATTGGTAAAAATATCAATGCTATAAGTATACATTTTCTTGTCATAGGATATCTCAATAAACATAATGTAAGAATCCTTGGCAAAGAAATAATAATCAGAATATTGCTGCTAGCTTAAATAGATGAATGAGAAAAGTAATAATTTACTTTTTATGTCAAATAATTAAATACAGAAAAATATATAGTATACTTTGAAGTATTTTAAACAGTGTTATTTAATTGAAAAATAATTGATTACAATTTACACATTAAAAATGATGATAGTAAACTGAGAGTTCTGCATTGTTATTTCACATTATTTTATAAATATAGTTAAATTAACTGATCCACTTGTTCTTACAGTTTTTTATTACAAATTCTCCATAAGTATAATTTTACTGGTACATTGAAATTCAGTCTTTATAAAATCATGAATATTTTTTGTGAAAAGTAAAAAAAAGAGGTTATTTTGTGAAGATTTCTTGAAGCTAAGTGATTAAAAAAAATGTAAACAGCCACAGTCGTTTAAATAAGTGTTTGAACACTTCTTTTTATCACTACACTAGCCCTATGAAGTACAGTTAAACTTCATTACCCGTCTGTTTTGGATGGACTTTAAAATCAGTAACGAAAGCTGATTCTATACATACTATCACCAAACTACTCAGTGTATATACGATGTAATAACAGTAAGCAGACACTATACCTATAATATGATTAGCAAGTAGCAAGTAGCAATTGCTAAGATAAATCAACCGAGATGAAACATAACGGCGTGTGAAGTTTTTTTTGGTAAAAAAGTACAATTGAATGATGGTTATTTTATATTACGTTATGTTTGGTATAAGTTTATTTTTAAGTAATGTACTTTAATGTACTTTACATTTTCGAAGTAAAATTAGGTACCTTCAATGATATATTTATACAATACATATTATGAATTATCACAATTCAATTTGAAATCCATACGTTTTACGATTTCTGAAGTTTAATAATCTAAAGTTAAGAGTCGGATTGACTATGACAAGTTGTTTTGAGATAAACCCTAATAGGATTAAAAAACAATTAAAAATTTACAGACGCTTTTTCTTTACAACTGAAACTGAATATTTTTCTAAAAAGCCATGTGAATATCATTAATAACTAAACATTCGTGGTTTTTAGACCTCCAAGTACATTTTTAGAGTAAAATTATCAGAAGATATGGTCGGAAAAACTTTTAAAAAATTATCATTTTTGCCGTATGTTTGATATCACTTTGAATCATAATATTAATTAAATTAAGAGTTTTGTAAGAAATATTGAAAAATTGGTTAGGAAGTGGGAGCGGCGATAGGGGGGCGATTATTATTTTATAAGGAACCTGCAAACAATTTTTATAAATGTTATAAATAATCAGAAGTGAAGAAAAAACTGCATTAAATAGATTTTTGATTAATTTATAAGTGAGGTGATTGTTACATTTGTGTAAGCATTTTCAAGTATACCAAATTTATTGGAAAAAGTTGCTTTACTTTTATAAAACTGCCATGAACATGAATTTTCAACGTTTTTTCTGTATCTGACATTATTTTTGAAATAGAAATTGAGTATCAGTGTTAACTTTGTACTAAAAAAAAATCAGGATTCCAATTACGCGTAAGAGCTTGACCAAATTTTTTACTTTTTTGCATTGTCAGTGATAATAAGTACGCTATAAAAAGCTTTGTATTATTCAAATTTTCTGTTGTACTTATAATATTTGTATAAAGTAAAATTCAATTGCTTTTTATTAGCATCATTAAAGACCAAGTTGATCAGCAATACTTGAGTAACTCCTGTGCGTGAACACGATGCAAACAGGTCATGTTATTGTTTGTAACTATTTTCATCATGCACGCACGCTAAAAAGTAAAGTGCCATTGGATTCCGTGTCACAATTAACTCTACTTTTGCTGAAAAAATTATAGCATGATTCTCGATGGGATTTTTTTATTGGATACATAAGATTTCGTAAAGAATGAAAAAATAGTTATTTATGTAACAAGGGCCCAAAAAGCGTTTTTGGGCACGAGTGTGCGGAAAAAGACACGAGTGCCGGCTAGGCCGGCACGAGTGGGTGTTTTTTCCGCATACTGTGCTCAAAAAGCTGGGCACGTGTTGCATACAAAATTTTATGCAATAGTAGGCGAAAAATACGTACATTTAAATGCGGCGTTTTACCGCACACCCGTGTCCAAAATGAGGCATTTTACCGCACACAAGTGTCCAAAAACGCCGCATTTAAATGAACGTATTTTTCGCCTACTATTGGTACTACCTATATATAAAATTTTGTATGCAACACGTGCACAGCTTTTTGAGCACAGTGTGCGGAAAAAACGCCTTTTGGGCACTTGTTACATAAATAACTATTATACAATATCTTGTGTATGTGTTCTACAGGCTGAGCCACATTATGTCCAAGAAGCAACTGTTGAACATCTATCATGGTTTGTTTCATGGCGTTGCTGAAGTTTTAATTTTGTAGTGTAATTCACTGTCACGTATTTCTGTGCTTTTTTTGTGCTTTGGAATAGCTATAATAAAAAATAAAAAGAAAAAAGAAAAAAGAAAAAAAACATAATAATAATAATAATAATAATAATAATAATAATAATAATAATAATAATAATAATATTTGTTTAGAACATCCTAAGCTTTATCAAGCTTTTAGGGTAGTTCCTAAAATCACAGGCATTTCTGTCTTTGCCAAAACAAATTAGGCCTTCGGCGGTAATATTAATTGGACAAGTATTCGTATAGTCATCCTATATTAAGTCCTATAATATGAAATATTGAAAGCAATCAAGCAAACCATTCCTACACAATAAGTTTGATGAAAGATTTATAAAAAAATTTTACATTTATTTTTTTATTTTTAACGTGTGCCTTTTATTACTCAATTCCAAATTTTCTATTAAACAATCCGTTTATATAGAGTGTAATTGTATGGGTTTGTTAAAAGTTTATATATTTCTCTTCCTGCGTTTCCTGGGACAAACCTTGAATTGAGCTTTATATTTTTTAATTTTTATTGTGCTGAACTTCTGGAAAAATTATCTAGTGACAAGTATTCGATATAGGCTACAATCAACGAAGTTAAATAAAATGTACAATGTAGATTCTACATAACTCTTGCCCCATTGTATAGACGACGGGAAAAATCTAAAAATGAAACAATAATTGCGATCAATTGTAAAAGCAATAATAACTATGACTCAAAGTTTAATGATTAAAAGTAAATTGTTTCATCAAAATTCATTTGTAGTTCTATAGGAATAAATGTCTTTTCTTGGATTGATTTGAATGCGAAAGTTATTGAAATTAAATCAATTAAATCTAGACATTATAAGTGTCGACAATTTCTTAGCCTGTGATGTGCATGCATGTAGCATGAAAAAGCCCTTGTTTTATAAACACAATATGTTGAGCTTATAGTTAAGACAATCTTCGAGTTAGGTTCTATAAATATTTCACTGACTTTCTGGTTCTCGTAAAATCATGTACTGCTCGTCGATAGAAAATTACAAAAATTTTGAAAATTTTCAATATACCATGCAGCTAACACGGTATTTGTTGGTACCATTTGGGTTGTGGCCTTTGGATACCAATAAAATATATTCGGCTTACGGACGGGTTCTTTTACAATTTTTGTGCGTACTTGTCCTTCTGACTACAATTGTTCCATTTTTCATGCAAGTTGTTGTCATTGAACAAAACATCGAGGTAATGTGCACAAAAGTATTAAATATATATTATCTGGGAAATCTCAAAGAACTATAACACAAACAGATAAAGGTTGAATCAACAGGAGCGCTTGTGTTTGGTATAGTTAATTGCATAAAATACGTTGTTTTTGTTAGACGTATTAAAAAAGTAGCTCCGTGTATAATAATAATGGCCAAAGATTGGCACAGAATCAGTAACGAAGAAGAAAAAAAAATCCTTTTGGAAAATGTCAAGTTTGCTCGATCGATGACGATCTTCTGTTTGATATTCATGTTTGGAGGTGGAATTACTTACAATACTTTTTTACCTTACAGCAAGGGTGAATACTTAGTTGATAATGTGACACATCGATATTTAGCTTATCCGAGCTACGTTGGCTTTTTCAATCCAAATGTCCGTGAGTCTTGTTGCCGTGGTCAATATTTTTTGCTACATAAAATATCTTTTTTACAGGTCATGCCAGCATATCACTTTGTATTTTTTCTACAACTAATTTTTAGTATAATTGCATTGTCATTGACCTGTGCTGTTTGCTCCATCACTAGTTTGTGCGTATCTCATATTGCTGGCAGATGCTCCATTATAAATTCAATATTTTCAAATATCAGCGAGGATTTTGAAAATAAAAAACTAGCAAAAACAATCAAAGAACATTGGCAATGCTTGAAGTATAATTTTTTTTTATATTTAACAGCACAGCTTCAAATGAAAAATATTTAATACGTTGTGAAATCTAGATTTGCATCAATTTTAGAAGAATTTTCGAATGAAATATACTTAGTGGAATTTGGTGGAAGTACCATTGTAATCTGTTTACTTGGCTATTATTTGATCGTTGTGAGTTTCTCTACTAATCTATCGAAGAAATTGTGAAAATACAGAATTTAACTTAGTTTTGAAAATATTTAATAAACCTCGTACTACTTACCGTGTATAGAGTTCACTCGAATCTACAATAATGAGTAATGTAATAATAAATTTTAGGACATTGAACGGATGGATACTTTTGGATTGCTTACTCATTCGTGCTTATTTGTTTCAATAACATTTAATATTTTTATATTCTGCTATGTTGGAGAAATTCTAACTGATAAGGTATGCATTTGTAATTCTATTGTAAACTTGACTATTTTGAATGGCATTTACTGACATTTCAATTGAATTACAATTTTTTATGAAGTTTCGCGGACCTTTTTTTACCATGGTTCTAAAATTAATATATCTGTGTAATCTTAGTTTTTATTAGTTTAGAACTTTAATTATTTAACGAACGGTTATTGATTAACACGATTGGGGATTTGTTCATTAATTTGTAGTGCAACAAAATAGGACAGGCCGTATTTGAATCGTCTTGGTCCGAACTTCCCCCTGCAGATGTAAAAAAGTTTATTTTGGTATTGGCGGTAGCACAAAAACCTGTATTTTTAACTGCTGGAAAAATGATCACATTATCAATACGATCATTCACAAACGTAAGATTATATTTTTTTCTACTAATCTTGTTTTACGGATTTGATTAATCAAATTTAGATAAAATGATAGATATAAGTAATTCCTCTATACTTTGAAAATAAGAGTTCTAAAAAAATTAACACAAAAATTTGGGCAAACCCTGTGAAAAATGAATTTTTCCTGTTATTTATGAAAAATATTGTCTGAACAAAGCCGTTGCTTCTTTTTATGCGTAGTTTGTTTTGGAATTTTGGTTTTTTAATTTTGAACGAGTAAAAAAAGTAAATTTTTCATCAGAATTTGCTTGATGAGTTATGACTCCGCTAACAAATGTTAAATTACGTGCAGGATTGTCAATTTCAAAGACACATATTTCTAGTTGGGATCATTTTTTTCGTTATCACAACGACTTTTTTTGCGTGTCAATTATATACAAAAAAATTAATCGTCTTTTACAAGAAATACGTAAAATGTGTCAGAAACTATTTTTTGAAAATATCGAGTTTATTCAAAAACGTCCTGAAAAGGTTTCAAAAATAAGTACTCTACCAAACTCGGAAGACTTAGCTTGAAATTCTTTGATACAAAAATTACATGCCGTAAATGTAATAAAGATTTGGGTAAATTTTTAAGGGTGTCCGACTTAAATAATCCATGTTGTTCGTCAGATTTTAAAAGTAAGAAGGAATTACAGTTTTCTTTTTTTTTTTTTATTAATTCTTAAATCTACATTCACAAATAAGCATTTTCAAATAGATTCAGTTTTTTTGGGTCAATGACGTTTTTTGTTATTATGTTTTAATTAATTGTATGTTCATATTTTTCAGGTATTGAAAGCTTCTGCAACTTACTTGAATATGCTTCGAACATTACTCGTCAATAACAATTAAATTATTTTTATCAGACTAAACATGTTGCAAATAATTGTTAAATAAATAAGTTGTTAATATGAAGCAGAAATTTCAAGTGTTTTGGCATTTTAGGCAATTCTGAAAACTTTGGTTTAATAATATAATATTTTATTATTTGGTGTAATCAAAAAGACAGCATGCGTGAGATTTATGATGTATGCAACGATCTTCTGCTTGTTTCTACTTTTGTAGACTCCGTAAAATGATAACATAAAAATTAACACATTATATTCAAATTAAATTCAACTGTAATTGAACATGTTTGTTGACTAATTTGTATGCGATTGTTTTGCGCCTACTGCACGTCTGCGGTCTATGCAGCTGTTTGCAGTACGTCCATCTTTTTATATCCTTGGTTCTTGCCAGTTTAAGTAGATAGTTGGCGCTCGCGCACTCCGCGCCATTGGCTCGTTTAAAACTGTCGAAACGTGTTTTGTTTGAAATTTGAACGTCTGAGTAAGTGTAGTACAGACGTCGCTGCTGAGGCCGGCTAAACCAAGTCTGTAGTCGTAGAATAACGCGCGCGATCACATTTTTCGCCTTGTTGCAGGATTTTTTTGTGAACCCTTTGCTTCGAGACAATTTTTTGCTTTAATTTGTTCCACTTTTGAAGATAGTTTGGTGCATTGTTCTGATTGAGTTTTCAAAAGCGATTTTAATGTAAAATAAAATGGGTGACAAACAATCGGACAAATTCCAATACTTGCGAGGATATATTTCAGCTGCAACTGAATATGCCAAACACCAAAATGAAACAGATGCAGCAGCTATACAAAGAAATCTTGCTGTAACTTATTTTTCATTAATAACATTTCAGAACGAATTAACTTTGAATTAAAATTTTTTTTCTTTTTGGACAGGCAATCAGTGCAACAAGTGACCTAAGCATATTTGAACCAGGAAGCAGTATAGTTGCTATTTTTTATGTCAGTCTACATGAATTAATGAATTCTATAGGATCAAGATCTAGTTTAATTTGGAGTTTAGTTGACGTATTACAAACAGCCTGTAAAAATAGTAACGCTAGATTTGCCCTTGTGCACACTTACAAATTTGCACCTTTGCTGGCAAAATTGTTAGAGGTAATTTAAGAAGTTCATTTAATATTAAAATTTTCAATGATTATTAAATTTTAAAGCATAGATTAATGAAACTTTTTTTTTTAATATTGCAGGCCAATTTGACTTCAGAAAAAAGAATAAGAGCCTTGAAGTTAATGCAAGACTTAACTTATGGTATAAATATTTCTTGGCAAGAGGCTCACTTACCATATTTAATTAAAACTTTATCTAACTGGGTGACACAATCCAATGAGGAAGAAGTTATTACACTCTCATTAGGCGTTCTTGTTAATTTATGCTACAAAAACCTACCAGCTGTATATGCTCTGATGCGAAGTGTGAACACAAAAACATTTTTGCAAAGTGTAGTACGTACTCGAGGTCAAAATATTAATGTCAGAGTTCAATGTTGCAAGCTGCTTATAATTCTGGAACATTCCAACAGTGAAATTTTAGAATCGTATATTTTGGATGTAGCAGCTGTTACTTTTACTAATATCATACCTACATTAAAGTCAGAGGATGTTCTATTGCTACGACACATTGTTGACTTTTTTGATGATATCAGACAAAATGAACGTTTTAGAACAGTTTTATTGACATATTCAAAGTAAATTTTTTTGTTAACTTTTATTTTTCATAACATATTATTTAACAAGATAAATACACAAAGTTTGATTTTGTTAATTTTAGATACAATCTAGATGTAAAAAATATTATAGAAACTGTAACAAGTGTATCTAATCAAGAATGCATTGGGCTTATTATAGATTTCCTTCTTTCTTTGGTAAAACTCAAAGTGCCTCATTTGATGGAGTTATATCCTGTAATAGTTAAGGCAGCTATTTCTAAAGTATCCTTAAAAAATGTAAGTTTAATCATTTTTATTTCAATACATTCATTCAGAAAATACTAAATTTAAATAATTTTAATTGATTTGATTTAAAAGGTTGGTTCCAAAGCTTTAGCTTTGATTAAAGCTATCATAGTGGATTCAAGAAGAACCAAAATCAATGTTGATGTCTTGGAGGAGTTGGACTTTTCATTATTGAATCTGTTAATAAACGAAGAAGAAATGGAAGTTGATTCAGATGAGAATTATGCAAATAATGAAAAAACTTTATCAGAGCTTATGCAGCTTTTACAAGAATTAGTAAAGACTCCAGCAATAAGAACAAAAGTTTTAGAAATTTTCACTGTACAAAAAGTTAGGTTTTTATTGAAATCAGTATTAGAGTACAACAATGATACCCAACTCCTTGATAAGCCTACAGATTTGTTCAATGTAAGTTACTAGTGCCTGTTTATTTTAGTTAAAAAAATTAGTTAATTTAAAAAATATAATTTTTGCAGGATACATCAACTGATTTTCATATTCATGCTTTAGCATTTATAGCAGATTTAGCAATTAACAATACTCATTGGTTAACATTATATACAGAGTTATTACAGAAAAAACAAATGCAGATAATAATGGCTGTTGCATTGTTTAGTGGAGACAGTGAAGTAAAACAAAAAGTTTTACAACTAACATCAACAGTTGGATTCCCTCAAGAATGGTATTGAAATATTAACATTTTTATTTTTAAATATAACATTAGCATTTTTAAATTACGTTTTTCATGATTTTCATGTTTAGTATATCAGCAGTTGCACGTTGTATGTCTGAATTAGAACCATTAATGTTAGTTCGAGAAAAAAATGTCACAAAAATACCAGAAAGTTTGATAAACAATCATGATTCTTTACCATTAATTACAATGGTCCAAGAAGGAAGGCTTGATGCATTTTTAGATAGACTTCGAGAAGCTTTTGAAAATAATAAATTATCAGATATTATGACATCTTCTATAATGGAGCTTTATGAGTATAAGGTTTTTATTCAATTTCATTCAATTTTTTCTGTACTATTTGATAAAAATTTAATTTCTATATTCAATAGATGGCTGCTATGAAGCACGCTGAAAGGTCCATGCAATCCAGTTTAGAAGCTTCAACTAATCATGCTACAAGATTGCAACACAGATTAGCACAAGTCATTGCTCAATCTAGCCAATTGCATCAACTTTTATTCAATACACAACAATGTTTAGAAGGTTCACAGATAGAGAAAGCTGCCTTGATGAAAAAAATCATAGAAACAGAAGAAAATACCAAGAAAACTCATTCCACCCAAAATCAGGTTAAAAATTCTCACAACATAATATATTCTATCAAATGACACACACATTTTAAAATATATAATATTCAACAGGAGATTTGTAGTTTGAAGAAAATCGTAGTGGAGAAAGATCACCAAATTAGCCGCTTCAGTGCACATATAAAAGAATTAGAAAGTAAAAATGAAGAGATACCAATATTAATTGCCAAAACTAATGATTTGGAGTCTACTGTTGAAAAAATGAAAAATCAACTCAAGCAAGCTACATCTAAAAATCAAGAGCTTACTAAATTACTACAAAAATTACAAGAAAGTTTGAGTCGAAAAGACCAGGTACAGTTTTATTGTAGTTAAAGTTTTTGAAGAATATGAAATAGGTATTATTTTTTATTTATTATCAAAAATATTATTTAGGTCATAGAAGAAAAAAACAGAGAAATTTTATCAAATCAAAACGACATTGCAGCTTTAAATCAAGAAATTAAAGCTCAAGTTCAACAATGCCATAGTTATCAAATGACAATCGCAGAAAAAGAAGAATCTGTGCAGAAATTGCAATCCGAACTGCATAATTTGAGCCGTATGCGTGATATGATATTTGAGTTGACTGCAAAGAAAAAAGATGATTTATAGTATATATAAGACTTTATCTAAATTATAGAACAAATATAAAATTGCAAAGATATTGTGAATCGTTTTTATGCGTTGAAAGTAAACAAGTATTTTTACAAAACATCGATATTACATAAATATAAGATTTCTTTATATATATAATATATATAAAGGTTAAACCTATTTTTCAACATTTCAATATAAATCCATTTATTTGATTACATCATTATCCATCTAGGCACATTAATTTACAATAAATTGAATCTAACTGAACCTCTCATTGTAAGGCGAAAAACGTTTATATTTCTTTCAATTCTAGACATTATAAAAATTTATAAGAAAAATAGTTTTTTCAGTCTCTTTTTGGTAGCAATAAGCAACTTCTACATTTCATTCAGAATAATTAATGAGAATTTTCCTTACAGGTTTATCAATGTCTACTGTCTTTAGAAAATTTTCTAAAAATCTATATAGAAAAAATCGTTAGAGATTTTTAAAATAAATGATGAATCGTTAATCTTGATCCAGCAAGACATTCTCTGCTTAAATATTGTGCTATTTTCAAGACAACTGGTGGATTTCATTCACTTTTTTCCCAACATGAATGTGAAGCATAACAGTTAATTACTATTTATTCCATACTTGGAGATCTTGGTAAATTTTGTAATTTCCTATATATTTATATATAGTCAGATATGTATATCTTGGCAGATATATATATGTACATATTTATATATGCCTATGTTTTAAAATATACATTAACCCATTAAGTCCCAAGAGGACGTTTTTTCAACCCTTTATTCGTCCACTGTATTTTTGGTAAAAACGGGGTCAAAAAATATGCGAGTAACAAATTCTAATGTAAAATTTAATGCCCTTTCAGAATCTGATCTCAAATTTTTGAAAAAATGATTAGGTCAAAAGTTAAACTTGATTTCATAAAAAAAAACGTGATTTTGAAAAAAAAATTTTTTTATTTTTCGAATTTCCAAATCGAAACCATTTGAAATCTCAAGAGTTTCGTGCAAATATCGCGTCCTCGATATCTAAACTGAAAGTTAGCGGAGTACCGATTGAAAAAATTAATGTTTAAACACAAAAAATGGCGGTCGAAACTCGCAAAATTGAATGAAAACTTATAGAATTTTTACTCAAAAACGAAGGACTTGAGAAAAAAGTGTATTTCTTAACTTTATTTTCTTCAATCTAAACCCTACTAACTTTTAGTTTAGGTATCGAGGACGCGATATTTGCACGAAACCCCTAAGATTTTTAATGGTTTTCATTTGGAAATTCGAAAAAAAAAAATTTTTTTTAAAAATCATGTTTTTTTGGGTAAAATCAAGTGTAACTTTTGACCTGATCACTTTTTCAAAAATCTGAGATCAGATTCTGAAAGAGCATTTAATGTTACATTAGAATTAGTTACTCGCATATTTTTTTGACCCCATTTACACCAAAAATACAGTGGCTGAATTAAGTGTTAAAAAACGTCCTCTTGGGACTTAATGGGTTAACTGATAACTCGATTGTAAAATGTTGCTTATCTATAAAGTGTCATCATTTTGATAGAATATCAAAATAAATTTTCAAAAGATATAATTACCAATAAGAAATATTTTTAGAACATTTGTTTTAACTTTTACGCGACATGCGATGAACTATTATACTTAAACATGCATTTCATAACGTTTACTAAAAGTCGTTTTAAAATTTATTTCAAGATCAAACTCAAGTACATAAGATAATCGCATGCTAGAGTCATTGAAAATACGTCAAGCTTTTACTCAAAAATTAAACTTTTTGAGTAAAATCAACTTTTTGAGTTGAAATCAACAGACATAAGCTTTCATTAATCGAGTGATTTTTGATATTTTTTTTCTTCTACTTAGGCTAAAACACGCATTATTTATTTATTAGTCATTTATTAATTTACACTGGATTTATAATTACAAAGCGTTATATCTCTCAACAGTAAATAAAAAATAGTTAATTGAGTAATTTTTATAACAATTTGACAAGTTCAACGAGTATCTTCATATTTTAGGCGCCATAGTGTAATGTTAATTTTTTCCACGAGGCTTCGCCACTGTAGACTGCACACGGGTTTGTTTGCACTTTGCAGTGCACTGTCGTGAATAAAATAGCAGCCGATGTTTTGATTATCAAAACTCGAGATTACGCTCGGATGTCAGAATGACGATCAGCGATCGTCGCTCGCGGAATAATTGACACATACAAAAAAATAAATAAAACATAAAATATAAAACACATCGATAGTCATGGCCGAACGAGGTGCCCACTTGACCGGAACTCTGTTCGCCAAACCTTCGATTTTTGAAATCGCAGCGCACAAGTCCCTCGCTGCGACTCTGGAACCTGCGGCGAGGAAGCTGATTACGGTAAAATTAATAACTTTTGCAACAATGCTTGGACGGTGATGCTATGATTTTTTATACAGTTTATAGCGTCTGCCAATCCTGACAAATACTCCTGGGTGTACAAATGGTCGGATGAGATACATCTCATTTTCATTGCAGCTTTGCAAAATTATTATTTGAAAAATTACTGTGAGTACTTTTCGTATTTTTTCGCACTTACCGATGATAACCGGATTAAAGTGATGATAAATTGCAATTTCAGCTGCATCCTTTTCAGAAACGTTCTATGGTTTAAAAAGGATTGTGTTGAAGGATTCCAATGTTCAATTGAATCTCGATAAAAAACGATTGAACACCTCTCTCATTATTCTAGTTATTTTTCCTTATTTGCAAAAGAAAATTGATAACTGGGCAAATGAGAATAATAATTTAGTTCAGGTTGGTAGAGAAGAAAATTATACAGAGTTCTTCTTCAGATCAATCATAAATGAATTTATTATAAATTTCAGAATCAAAAGAGTTTAGTATATTATTTGTACAAAGCCTATAGAATACTTTGCTCTTTGAAAGAATTGGCTACTTTTTACCAGTATCTATTGTACTTATCAAATCGCTCAAAATTTCCAACCATTTCCTTGAGGTTACTCTCCATATCGTTAACTTATGGTGATGACCGCGAAGACATTGGTTTGATTGATTTATTAAAAAAGCTACCACAAGGAAATTTCAGCACAAGCGATGGTATGGATTTTGTTAGGCTGTCTATTGTTCGTTCCATCGAAGTTGGTGCTTTTTTCCTGCAATTTTTACAATGGTGGAATCAAGAACACTATTACAACTTGAGCCTGATGGCTTTGCCAGTTCCACCACCTCCACAGGTTTAGTATCAATTGATATACACCTCATTTTCATTGATGACCATTTTTAAACCTGAAAAATGTTTCAGATACCTGAATATGCCAAGAGATATAAAGGAATATGTCCAATTTGTTATAGATCACCACGAATTCATACTGTTTTAGCTACTTCTGGCTTTATTTACTGTTACTCGTGTATTATAACAGAATTGAGAAAAAACAAAAAATGTCCTGTTACTGGTTATCCAGCAAAAGAAGACCAGCTTGTTAGACTTTACTTACAAGAGTGAGTTGTTAGGTTTTATACTTATTTTCTTTAAAAAGATGAGTTTAACACAGGTTTTTTGTTTATAAATATTGTGATATTGTGATAGAGAAAAGTTATTAAAGGTGTAGGAAATTTTTGTACAAAAATTAAGAAAAAAAGCAATATATATAAAAATTGTATACATACTGTACATAACTTGAAAGGTTTATTCAATAAAATTGACTGAAGTAAATAATAATTACAAGGCATGATATAAGGCACTTTTTTCAATTGCATTTTGTCTTAACAAAGACTGTAAAATCTGTTTGTTGCATTCGTACAAAAATCTCAATCATTCTCTCAAAAATATAACAAAATATATTGTCAAAATTGATATGTAAATATAGAACGACACAACGTTACTATTATTTGTTACAAAGTCTTACCATTCGTTCATCCTCTCACCTATTCAACAATTGTAATTTAAAAAGGCACAAAAAAAACTTGTTTCGTCAAAAAACTATTGGTCCTAATATAACAAACTATCATTATAAAGTTTACATATAATATAAAACCTAATGTAACCAACAAGAATTTTTATCATGACTAACGATCGCGTAACACACAATATCTTACACTTTGTAAGATTTCCAAAATTAAACGTATAAAAGCTGGTAGTTAGTACAAAATATCTTAGAATTCTAAATAGCATAACAATGGTCTGTTAATTATAGTTTGTGGTTGTTTTTTGTGTGCGAATCATGTGCATCAAAATCACATACCACAGCCTAAATCATGCATAATTTAACAACGAATGATATGCAGATAATACAATTATAATACATATTTAGACATTTTTTGGAATATTATTGTATTACTTTTTTTATCGTATAACGGAAAAATAGCAATATACTTATTCTTTTCTTGGGCTGATATTGAGTAATAAATTTAAGTAAAAACAGATCACTTTGTATTTATATTCAATTTAAAAAAAAATGTGAATTAAAATACAATTTCAGTCCATGCTTTAAATTTTCACCCGATATCGGCCCAATTTTGCAGTTAATTTTTTTTTGTACAATTACAATTCTTCAAAAAAGGCTACTCTAGCTTTTGTAGAACCCGATTTTACTTTCTTCAAAGTACTATACTTATTTTCTCCTAATCGAACTTGTTCCTCATGCAGTTGATCCAATTCACATTGTTTTTCACCAACTTTAAGCACCTCTATTTCCGATCTCAAATCTCGTAACTGTTCCTGCAAGTGTTTGCTTTTTTCATAATAATCTACACGTTCTTTTTCTATTTCTAATGAGAGCTGATCAACATCCCCGTCGGCAATGAGATCATAACAATTTACGTCTGGAGATAGTTGCTCCGAGTCCAATTGTAACGTTTGTAAATCGGCTTGTAAGTCGGATGGAAGAACTTGGGTCGAAGGGAAAAGATTTGGAACCGGCTGTAGATTGAAAATCTCATTATTACCCCGAAAAGATCTTTCCGTAAGATCTGCCAAAACCACTACTTTACCTACCGTGATTGTCGTAGTATATGCGTTTCTACTTAAAAATTCCAACAGCTTTTCCTTAGCCTCCTTCTCAGCAACTCGCGCTTTAAGAAGTTCATCCTTCAATTTTTTTTCTTCTATCGCTCTCTTTTCCGATTCTTGCACCAACATCTCCGTAAGACGTACAGCATCTCTCGTTTTTTGTTCTAAGTGAACTTTTTCTTCTTCCGTTTTCATATTGTTCAATCTTATCCTCGTAATTTCCTGCTCAGCTTCATTAGCTTTTTGACTTAAAAGCATAGCTTCTTCCTCTGCGACTCGGCTTTTTTCAGCAAGTAAATCTGCCGTTTCTTCAGATCGTCTCTGGAAATAGACATTAATGGTCAGTAGATTATAAACAAAAAGCACAAAAAATGTTGTTCATTAGAAAAAGAAACTTTACAAGAGCCTCGTTTGCAAGCCGAATTTCTTCTTGGTACTGCATTAATCTTTGCTCCATAGCGGCTTTTTCTCTCTCAGCAGCTTCTCTCAACTGTTTTTCTCTGGCCAATTTATTACGTTCTATTTGACGCCTAAAATAAAATACATTACCGTTATCTATTTTTATGAAAAGTTGTAAATAATACATTACCTTGATCTTTCTTCTTTGGCTTGTGCCTTCATTTGTTGCACTTCCATGGAATCAGGTTTCCTTCTTCGCATGAATAAATCATGATTTCCAATGCACAGATCTAATATCTAAGGATAAAAAAATTTGATCATTAAGAAAACTTAATATGAAATTTTTAATTTTGATTCTGAAAAAAGTTGATTAATTTACTCTTTGAAACATACCAGTTTATTCATTCGCACTTTCTGTGAAAAGAAGACAAAATTTGGCGACGTTTTGTCAACTGGTTTAATGATAAATTTTTTATCATCAAAACTTATATGCCTAATCTCTGACCAAGCAAAAGTTGTCTTTGGTGCCAATTTATTTTCCTTTTCATAGATATTTAAACCCAAAGCTGTCACGCCCAGCCAAAGATTAGTTTCTTTTTTATTCTATATGGGAAAAAAATCAAAACATTGATGTGCTGTTTACAAAACATCAAAAATTAAAGAATTTTATATACTCACACTTATATCAAAATAATTAACACCATACATATCTAAGTCTTGTGCAACTTTCAAATATTCCATCTCTGCTTCATCCCTGGACATTGTCTTATGATCTGCATACCAGATCTTAATTCGATCTTCCCACATTTCAGGAGTCATTTGGTATTGGTCAATGACTCTTTGGGGCAACAGATCTTCGCTTGCGAGCAAACCAGGTTGATACGAGGTTTCATCGTAGTCACCATACTAGGAGGCACAACATGTAATAGATGTTTTTACAAAAATGCTATCAGAAATTAGTAAACTTACCTTTGCCTGCACAGCGTAAGATGCTAGTAGTACAGATGCTTCAGGTGGACAGTAAATATCCATTCGTAAAATGGCTTGTTTAACCTGGAGGTAGAAAAGATGCTGGGTAACTTCTTGCACCAGTTCCTCCGATACATCTTCTGGATAAAACTTGACAAGAAAGTTGAAGGTTGTGGGAATCTGTTGAGGAATTCCTTGATCGTGAACTGTTGATCATTTTGCATAAGAGCATTAGTCGAATGATTTAGATGATAAAAGGACGATGCACAAAAATAAAATAACAAGTAAGCTACCTTTCTTGTCTAACTTTAGCCATGACATGAAGCCTTTGGAATCTTGGTACTGAAGGCCGAAATACCATGTTTCCCGGAGACCGATAGTCCGACAAACCAAGTCAAACAGATCTCGTCCCGTAGCCCGCCACTGAAAAGTCAAAATTCACAAAAATTCCAAAATTCGAAAGCGAGAGAAATGTCATAACAATCAGCGCGCTGAGTAGTAGCAGTGAAATAACTAACCTCCAAATTGAATTCCAATTCAGCATCTAGAGTGATGACTTTGACGGGGAACGATTTCGTCGACTTTTTCCTGCGGAGAGTCGGCATGGTTTTTTTGTTAATAACTTTTCATTAAAGAGTCTCTTATCCGAAAGTCTTGTTTTTTCTTTACCTTATGAGAAAGCTAAAAGCCATAACAAAGAGCGATAATCATTAAAAATTTATGTTTTCTTTGCAATTTTTTCTTCGACGAAATGTGGGGGCTATCTCCTCGAGCAGTACATTATGTATTATCGCGATTCTCTTGCTCTCTCGAGTTGCAACCGCGAGATTCTAATAATAAAGTCGCACAGCACACAAACTCGTAAAACGCGAATCGAGCTTTTAATTAATGCCAAAAAACACTACTGCACCCGCGAGCACAACGCACATACACCGCCGCACGCCTCTCTCTAATGCTATATATGCTTACAGTAGACTGACTATTATACTTGTTGATCCTTCGCAGCACGACGACGGCACATTTCGCGCTCTCTCGCGCGTATTATGAGACGAGAGAGATCACAACACAGACTCGCTCACACACGCGCTTACGTTTTCGTGGGCGGTTTTGCAAGCCCTGCATGTGGATCGCGCGGATTCGGCACTTTTTTTACTTCAACGATAAAAAAGAACTCGATGTTTCGAAAGCTACAGCTTATTGATCAAATTTGCGTGTTCCCGGAGTTCCCCGCGCGCGCGAGAGATCTCGCGATTCAATCGATCGAAATCGTTATTAAAATAATGAGCAAACAAATTTTTTGTTTCCAAAGAATGCGCGACTCGCGCGGCTGATATTCGATATCGAAGTAGGTTGCGACGCCAAATTTTTGTTTCTCTCTTTTTTTTTTCGAAAACAGACGTTATAAAAAAAATTTCGAGTATTTCGTACACTTATCAAAATTAATCACCTGATGATTCGATCGATCTCTCGAGGTCGTGCAGCAGCGAAGAGAACTCGCGTATTATTATTGATACACACGCGTGCCTACAATTCATAATACGATGATGTAAAAATAGACAAGAGTTGCTCGGGGATGTAAATATAAACTTGGTCGGAATTGAATTGGCTTTTGGTACAATGCGCACGAGACTAAATAGACGAGCGATCTATGTACGATTTTCGCATATACTTAGACGTGTGCTGGGCATTTGGAAAAAATTGATATAGTCATAATTGTGAATTAGCAATGTATCGATTTATTGACATTGATTAGTTGTTTTTGTATTTTCTTAAGTATTAAATTAGGTATTATAAGTTATTATTATTTTTTAATAATTGCATTACTTTTGAAAAAGTACGATATTACAAAGAGCTATTTTGTACAGTTTTTTACGTAAACATTTACGGGAAGTGTGACAATTGTCTTACTCATTCGTTCCGTGAATATTTACAACGCTTCTTGTTTTTACATAATCGCCCGAGCGCGGGCGCGATGGAAATGATTTGTTTTTTTCTCTTCTTTGTTTTTTTCTAATTACTTACACAAATGCTTTATTAATATTTTTGTAAAAAATATGGAATTCTTGAAATAGAGATATATAATAAATATATATAAAGTAGAAAACAAATTTATACTGAGTAGGTGGAAGAATTGCACATCCCACTTTAAATAATTTCTTACAATTAACAATCATAACATCTCCGTATATGATATGAATTGCATGGATGAGGAAAGGCACACAAACTCGCGGATTTCGAGTCGTACAAAAACTTATTCGCATTGTTATAAACTCGTCCAACTGCTACCAGTTTGATTGTGAGCTGCTTGGTCTTTGGCCCTGCGCTTTATGGTTTGCCTCTGATGTTCGTATTCAAAGTCTTCTTCGCTTACATTGAGTTTTAATATCTGCAATTGAAGCGTAAATCAACAATAATTTTAGGATAAAATAATTCATCTTAGTGTTTTTTTTTTGTATTCACTCACATGATATACAAGATATTCTTCTTCCATAACTTCTGGAGGTGGATTTTTTAATACTTGCAGAGTTTCATACATGGTAGGACACTTTTTCACCTGCCATGATTTTCCTATACTTCCTTTGATTAGTACTAAAGCTACTTTAAAGATTATTTTAACTCCTTCGCACAAAAACATGTCCCAAATTCTCAAAATACTTTCCCATGGAAGGGTTCTTGTATACACACATAAAAACCATTCTGTCATATACAGAATAGGCTCCATTTTTTGTTTTTTCTGAAACAACAAACAAATCAAAGTTATTCAAGAAATTTCTTTTCTACCAATTAAAAAGTAAAATTTTTTTTAGACCTTACCAATTGCTTGTAAGCTGTGGGAGATACTTTTTTTAGTAAAGCAAACAGGATGTCTCCATCACGCTGCAAAGTTTCCATTCCAGCGCTGTAATATCCAACTAGATATTTATCGCAGATTGCCACTAGACACCAGAAAGCCTGAACAGCTGGCATGTGCATCAAAAGAAATGCCGCAATTGGAGCTTGCGCTTGGCAATAGCCAACCTTACTATTTAATATTGAATAGGCTTTGAGAATTTGAAAGAGCTCTTGCTGCCCGGGGGCATTTTCCACAAACATTTCATGGTGCGGAAATTGCCTGTGCAGATCTTTTTTGATATCATCAATGTATTTGGGATCACCTGGCTGCTTAATCAACTCTTGGTACAAATTTGGATTCTCCTTCAGCAGCAGCGCACCGCCGCATAAATTTAGCCAAGCTCTAGGTCGCACCGACGGCGGTATGCCTTTTCTGCATCTTTCTCGAACCTTTCTATAATTTGTGCTCATAAATGTGCTCCACTTGTTCAGCATTCTTATCCATTTTCTCTCTCTCCTGAGAATGACTTCGGGTGGTTTCGCTTGCTTTCTGCAATGAATCAAAATGGAAAAGTTATAGAAAAAAATCTGCAAAGTCTACGCGGTTGAGCAATCGATAACGACACCATACCTTTCAGGACTGTACTGCGTACCTCCCAGAAAGCCATGTCTGTCCGGCACGGTGGATATCACAGAACTGCACTGATAAATACTGCTCGCCTCGGACTCGGACTCTACGTTATTGGCATTGTTGTCCTCGTCGTTTGCGTTGTGCGAAGGATTCTGTGCGTTGTTCGAGGCAGCCATGGCATCTTACACTTTAAAAAAAAACAAAAAAAAAAAAACAAAACTATCACCACACGAAAAAAATCGACTCAATTTATTCGCGCACGCATGATCGTGTCAACAACACGTATGTGAAATTCTTGACACACGCACGCACGGGCACACACGATTGAATCACGTCCCAAAATCGGTATAGGTAATATTTATAATATATACGAAAAGAGGAGAAACTTTTTTTTTGCTGCTGCTGTATACACTGCTGCTGCTGATCTCTTGTACAAGTATATGTGCGTAAACAAAAGTTGACGTATCGCTGCTGCTGCTTGTGCGCTACATGTAGTACGCAATATGTAGGTAAAGTGTACAGTTCGTACAATATACAATACGTACGGACGATTTATGTATTTTAATAGCTGCTCCGTACGTGCTGCTGCTTTCGTCAACGTCGTCGTCGTGCGTTTGCGTGCCGTGTGCCCGATTAAATAACTGTTAAGGGCCCGCAGCAGCAGCAGCAGAAGTGGAGAGAGAAAGAGAGCTCGAGAGCTGACTACTACTATCTATATGGCATATGTGCCTGACTCTGTAGTATGTGTTGTCCTTATTACAACGAGCTGCTGCCTCGCGCGCTACTCCGAATATATAGCGAGGCAGAGAGAGAGGAGAAATAGAGAGAGAAAGAATATACTTAATGTTGTGCTATATAGTACATTTAATGCAGGTCGGCAAAATTGTACAAATATGTTGTTGCTGCTGCCGTTGATGCTAATTCTTCTGTTTCCTCTATTATAGTTACGTATAATATTGTTCTGTGCTGCACACAGGCACAGCTCACACTTCTTGGCTCGTTGTCTCGTCTTGTCTCTCTCTCTCTGGCGTTAGATGCAAATTACACTTATAGCAGTAGACCTTATTAGGCAGAGCAGCAGCTACATAATTTATTTATATTATACTATATAGGCGCGGACGTCGAATAAAAACAGTCGACTATCTTGGTTAATAGGCCGCCTCACTCGCGCACTTTACGCGAAAAGAAAAAAAAAATCACCACTTATACTGGAAGCTCACACAGCCAGGAACCGAGGGCACAGTCTACTGCACTGCTGCTGCCGCTGCATTGTTTACTCGCGGCCGCTCTCCGCGGTGACTGCTAATGTAAACAAAACGTCGGATTGTGCGCAGCAGCGAATTCTCTTCTTTTTGCGTTTTTGGGTTAACTCCTCCCGATTGATATCGATAACGACCACCACCTCCCGCGGTCAACTGTCACGCGTTTGATGTACGTTGAATGAACTTTTGCGCGGATCGGTGTATAATATATGCAGAACTTTAAAATTTTACACTTTGGTATTATATACTGTATATATATGTAGAATGGGTGTGCTCTCGTGCTGCAGCGACTTGCAGCGCACTATATACTACATATATCTTTACGAATGGAGTAACGAGTGTATAAAATTTTTGTTATCGCCGCACGATAATCGTAACGCGTTAATACGTTATAGCTGCCTGCTGCTTCTGCTTCTTCCGCTTTCGTCACGTTTTTTTTTTATAATAAACACGCGCACGCACGTATACAACACATGCACATAAATATAACACACGAGTGCGGGCTTGTTCGCGATAACTTATATATATACAGTAGTATATCAGTCGCTACTGCTGCTGCTGCTGCTGCTCGCGAAGCTTTCGTAGAATTATCATCGTTACATTATGTACGCGCGTGTGTGCTATATATACGTATGTACGATTATGCGAATTCTGCAATATTTGACACTGTCTGCTCGCTCGCCTCGCTCCGAAATGTGTATATATAAAACCAAACGACGCGCTGTGCTGCACGAGACGCGTCTTGTGATCTTGAACCGCGGCACGTCACTCCGTCCGCGCGCGCCGCGAAGCTGCGAATATTACGCAGCTGCGACGCTCCCCGCGCTCCTATATAGGCTTTGCGCTTTCTTACGACTCGATGTATAACATAGCATACGTATGTAGAGAGAGAGAGAGAGAGAGAGAGAGACATTAAATATATATATAACACGCGCGCTCGGTGTATAATCGCAGGTGCCGTCTCTTCATCGTCATATATATAAATGAGAACGACGATATATTTTGGGAGATTTCGCCATTGATCGGAGGCGCAGCTCGTGCGCCTAAAGTCGAACCATAATATAAACTTGGGGAAAAGTAGAGGGGGGAGGGGGGCGAAGAAAATCTCGACTATTTTTCGTCAGACGTTTCACGGCCGGTTAGATTCAGTTCAAGTTCTTCTTCGTTTCTAGTACACGTATAACGCGCGCGAGTGGAGGATATATAACATTTTTGGCGACCGATCAAAAACTCTCTGTTGGGTACGTGTGTTTCGCTCAGTGTTTCAAATGGATATACATTTATCTCTCCTTTATTATGCAAAGCCTTAATCAGAGAGAGAGAGAGAGCGAGAGGCGCGGACGACCCATATTTCGCGGTGCGCGCTTTTAAATAGCAGACTATACCAATTTTTAACCAACGATAAAAGCCTCGAGCGAGCTTTTAGTTTTCACCTTTGTGCACGGATAATAAATGAAATCATTTAAGAAAAATAACGTTATATATTTTCGTACGTGCGAGTGGCGTATCGCCGAGCTTCGGTGCCACGTACGCGTGGGAGGTCTTGCGAATAGATGAATAATAGAAAATACACGCGCGGATGCAGTGCCGAGCCACAAGTTCGAGAACTACTAACATGCATATAGGTGTAACGACGCGACAATTATAAAACAGACCGGCTATTATGAACGACCACGTCTCCCGCTGCCTTTTATATTCTCTTTGATATATCTCTGTGTTGCGCGAGACACTGTCCAATACCATAACTATACATATTCTACATACGTATATACGTACGTTCGAATTGTCATGCAATGTAATCACACGTATACACACGTGCGTATGTGTGTGTGTGTGCAACGTCTCCCAAGTGAGTGGGCGGAAGCAACAAAAAAAAAATCCATACATCGCAAGCTTAGCAACTACTATAAACGCGTACATTATGATTCTCGATTGTTCCGATTCCCCTTGACTTTTTCGCTCGTTCAATATTAAAGTTTATGAATCATACTTACCGAGCGTTTATTTTATTATTGCTACCTCGTCCGGCACGCGGAAAAATTGATCAAGAGATACGTCGCTGCAATTTTCGGCTGATATGCTCCTGCAGTTCTTTTATGTTTGCCGATTGCAGATAGATATACTGCACTTCCTGTTCTTATTTTATGTTTTATTTCAAGGATGTACTATAGCGATTTTTTGATTTTTATTAAAAAGAGGCGTTGTCTTGATCGATTTATTGTAAGTACACTGTAAACCAAAAAGTATTACTATTTCACGGCGAATTGTATGCTTTTTAGTTTTCAGTGTACAGAAATGTATTTGTGGATAAAATTTACAGCATGAAATCGAAGATATTAGATGTCAAAAATCAATAGTTAAACGTGTATGTTATCGCGCGGAATCGAAGATATCAATGTCCAAAATCAATCATTTTAGGGCAATACCACGAAATAGGCAGTTTTGGAATCGTAGTAAAAATTTGACTTACGAAGACTTTGATAAAAACCTGATAGAAGATGTATCATATTATATTATTGTTGATTTGAAGATTTGATATCATTAACCATGCAGTTGTTGAAAAATGTTGATGTAGAAACATTGCAAAAACAAAAATGTGAATTTTTCGCTTGAAAATATATTTTTCAAGCATTCTTGAATCATTTCAAATGAAAAACTCTTGCAATATCGCATTAAAATCGATTGTTCTCAATAAGTATACAAAAATTTCAAACAATGAATCTTAGTAATTCAATTTTTCATCCCATTAAGTATGAAGTCTATATTGAAAAGTAGAAAAAAAAAACAAGTCTGAGAATTTGTCAAAAAAAGCATATGAATTCTTCCAGATTTTTTCTAAACTATTTATACCCAGCTGGTACATCCTCGGTCGAGGATGTAAATTGACATTGAATGGAACGAATCATTTCCTCTCATGACTTTTATTAAAAATTCAAGTAATTTATATTGTATAAGGACAATTCTTCGATAAATTATTTCACAATAATTATACACTTACGCAAAAGAATCAAATTTTCATAGTAATTCTCATAATTATTTTCATAAATTTAAATCACCGGCTCATCGGTTCACGCGTTCCAATAACACTCATTAACCCGCGTACAAGTTAACTTTCAAAAATTTGTCAACAACAACATTAGCAGCCTACACAGAAGCGAGAAAATTGCGCGCGTCTATTACAGAAGGTCTCGATCGAGACGACAGTTGACTTTAAGCGAGATCACATGTTAGGCCAGGCTCGATCCGATCTGTGTACACCATCGACTTTCAATAAATTCAATTATTTTGATTCTCGCTTAATAGCCGATTCCATCCTCGTCCAAAAAAAAAACACCATGGCTGATCAACAAGAGCCGACCACCCCGGCTGAACTTGCCAAGGACGTGGCCAGCCTCACGATCGACGCCGATAACAAGGCCGAGCTGACCGCCGCCGCCGCCGCCACAACAGCACAGGTAAAAGTGTCATCATCGCCGCGCATTCATCGCGTGTGTATGGAAAACGAGATTACCGATTTTTTTTTTTTTTTTTTTTTTTTTGTAATTTTCCCATAGGACGAGGCCGTGATAGATCCCGTGACGCGGATGCAAGAGTGGAGAGACGAGATCCTCGCCAATCAGGGGTGGAAAGACCTGCAGGGCCCGGCGCTCAACGAGTGGGCAGCGAAACAGGCCGAAGTCATCACGAGCATCACCAGGAGCATGCTGAAAACTCGCCAGCCCAGGCAGCTGAAAGATCTGACCGTCAAGTGGCCAGAGAAGGAGCTCGATCCGGAACTCGAGGCGAGAAAGAATCTACGAATGGCGGAGCTCAAAGAGATCTGGAAAAGGGAGGACTCTTTGATGCCCGAGAGGTAAACGAGATAATTTTTTGTTGTTGTTGTTGTTAAGCGAACGATATTTTGATAAATTTATTTTATTCCAGGGACGAGAATCAAGAGGAATTCAAGTGGGATACAAACAGTATCGAGTATAAGAAAATTATGGATGCGAGACGCGAGTTCTTGCGGAAGAGTGATACGGAACGGTCGGAGGACCAAAGGTGATATGTTTTTTTTTTTTTCAACGATATAGAGTTTTGATCGTCATTGACTCGAATAAACTAAACTTTTGTGCGACCTTGTTTCCAGGAGGTTCCTCGAAGTGAAAGAGAAAGAGGACTTGGAAAGTAACGAAGCAGCGGGGTGAGCACTTTTCGGTATCATCATCCAAGTTCTTATCGCGATCGCGAGTAAAAATATTTACTTTTTTTTCTCCGCTCCGCTCTCTTATCGGACTCGGGGCTGGGGGCTTGAGGAAATTTTTCGAATTCGCGAATCGATAATAAAAAAAAAAATATTTCAATCAACGAACTTCGGGCTGTTTTAATGCTGCACGCCGCGCTGCTCGTGCCGCTACAATTTTTTTCTCTCTCGTCGCAATTAAAAATCGCCAACGAAGCGCAACGACGGGGCGTCGAGTGCATTGCACGACGCTCTATATATGCACACAACGCTTAAATTGCGAGCTCTAGATTTAGTCGAGTTTTCGAGCCCCGAGGTCATTGCCTTCGCGGGCGCACGATATAGAAGCTAAAATATATAACGTCGCCTGCACGGAGTCGAGTCCGAGAGTCGCCTCGGACAACACGCCGATGCGTACAAGCTTTATTTAAATGTCACAAGCGAAAAATCGCTCCGAAAATCGAGTTTCAGTATAGCGCCTGTAAATACCGCAACCCTATCGACCTCGCGTGTGTGTTTCTTGACTCCTCGAATTCAGACTCTCAGTTGCGCGCGGATCTCGGGCTTTATACGCTTACAAGGTGGCGCTTGTCGTCGTAAGACATCGTCCCAGAGTCAGAACCAACACATATATACATTTGTGTAGTATATACGCGTTCTCGTCTGCGTTCATAACCCGCGAAATAGACGGGACGAGTGTGTATATTCCCTACTACCCGCTATAATACTGTTTGTATACATAAAACTTGTTGGCGTGTATAAACAGAACGTAATCTCTCGCGTATATGTATAGTCCTTTCCGTAAAGGAGGTGAACAATTTTTTCTGTTCGCGTCGGTGCGTGTCGTCCGTCGTCGTTGTCATTGGAACTTTGCGCGTTTATGCAACAACCTTAATTCCTCTTCTGCGTGTGTGCCCGAGTGTTGAGAGTCGAGTTGAGAGTCGGAAATTCGAGAAATTTTTTGTTTGCGTAATGGCGTCGACTGCTGGTAAGTTTTTTTTTCGGGTTGTCTGTGCGTGTGCTTCCGTGTGTGTGTGCCTTTTTTTCTGCCAAAGAATGGGCATTAATTGTTTTTCCTTTGATTGAAAACAGAAACTCCCCCGTCGACGACGGACATCAATGCTGAAACCAACAACGCCGCCAATATTTTGCCGGAAGCCACACAAGTAAATATACCTTATAACCTTAAATACGTATATTTGTTGTAATCAAGCTCTCTAATCGATTGAAAAAAATTTATATTGTCGTTGCAGAAGGCCGCGACTGTGACAGAAGAACCGACTCCGGCACCAAAAAAGTCGCGCGTCGAAATACAATCCCTGCCAGCCAGACAGTACTTGGACCTGACCGTGGTACCGATATTATTGCAAGCGCTGTCCAGTTTGGCCAAAGAGAGACCACCGGATCCCATCAATTATTTGGCCTCGTATCTGTTGAAAAACAAAAGCCAGTACGAAGTCAGTGGAACTCCGTCGAATAATACTCAGTGATGATAGGATACCAAGAGTTGTCTGATTGTGCATATAAATAAATTTAAAAAAGAAACTTTGTGTGGCAGATCATATCTGTGTGTTCGTGTGAGAGTGTGTGTTCTTGCCTTTTGACAAAATTCGATTCGGTTCGTTAAGCTACGAGAGATGTGATTTTATAATCGAGCAATTTAACTAATTTTTTAATGCCCAAAGGCAATATCTCTTACTAATTCATGTATTGATATAAGTAGACATAAATAAATTTTGAAAAATTATTGAATTTATGCTCACGATTCTTTGTGTATCATGGGAAATGCATCATACTGTTTGTTGAAATATGTCATACACTTTTAATTACGACAATGATCGATTACACATTTTTATATTACAATATTTCATAGAATTTTTTAATTATTAAATAAAATATATTTATATATAACATCATCTGGACGCAATATCAATGATATCACAAATATTACAAAAGTTTTGGTTTGTCGACGTACTGCTTGCCATGATGAATGATGGTTGCAAATGTACCACCAACCATTGCACCCCAAAATAGCATGTAGAGAAGAATCTCTGTAGTGTACCTTGACGGCAATATCATATGAGCAATCAACATTGATGTAGCTACTAAAAGTACTAAGGGGAATGTAGCATATCGCCAGTTTCTCTCTGTTTCCAAAGGACATGTTACAGCTGCGCACTCTCCATCTCTTACTGTATATCTACCCAAAAATAGATTGATTGCATCCTGAAAAACATTTATAATGTTTTACTTAATGTCAATTACTATTGGAAATATTCTTTTTGTAATAATCATTACCTGACGAAAACCATCAGCAAAGTTATTTTTGTAGTATCTTGTGAGAGAATTGACACCGTCTTTCAATACACCATATTTAGTTCTTTTACCAGTTCTTGTGAAATCGGTTTTTAAAGCACTAGTTCCTGAGTATTGAGTACTTATTATATCAGCATTATCAGCCCAAATCTATAGTTAAAATATGATATAATTATAATTTATTTATATTTATATATAAAAATATTCAATAAAATCAAGATTAAATTTATTCTAAACTCATTGTCTTTAAATAAAAATAATCATTTGTTAAATAATTATAAAAAAACTGACCTGCTTAAATAAGTATTCAAAAGAAGGATGCTCATCCACATTTCTTGCAATTTCCAACTTGGATAAAGCATCTGAAAGAACTCTCTTTGCCAGCATACTTTGTACAACATTTGTTCTATCTAAACAATCGATACAGTTTGTTCGAAATACACCATCCTGAACTGAAACCAGAACACCATCTCTGGTTAAAAGGAAGTAACCCATTAATTCTTGATCTTGGGCAAGACGAGCCATTAAAATGTCTAGCCGATGCCATTGCATTTTACGACATTCTGCATGGAAATCAAAAGCTTCGTATCTTATGTTTTGATTTCTCAATTCTTGCACTGTTTCTTTATATGCTCTCTCTAAATTGGCTTCTGCTCCTTTTTGATCAATCAGATTGACTAGAATTTGCTTGCCATAGAGAAATATTTGACTTTCAAAATGCCTTGCAGCTGACACTAAATGATTTTCATTGGGTATCAAAGCAGGTTTGGGCTTTAATTTTAAATTAGGAGCTTGCTGCCAGTAAAGGGGAATGGAACCACGAGTTTGAACAAATGAGCTTTTACTGCCATTGGCTTCAATAATCTGTTCTGTTTCGACAAAATTTGCCACGTTGCCATTGGCATCAATTCCCCTGCAGAACAATCTTGTTCCTGCTCTTTGAATTGATCGTCTTGATACGATTCCCCAATTGAAGGAAATGCCATTGATAACAATAGTATTTAAAGATATGAAGCCATGAATAATAGGAAGGCAGAACTTTTGGAATTCAGATCTGCTTGACAATTCATGAAGTAAATGTGAGTTCCAGATAAATCTCGAGTCCGCTCTTTCATGCAGTGGACTCTGCAACAATCATTAATTTCTTAACAATTGCTATATACTAATTGAAATGCTTTAAAATTATTGATAAGTACCTGGAGGAAATCTGGTGTTGTATTATGAAGCCTCTGCATGGTATGACTCAAGTCGTACGTGTAACTAAAGTAAAAATGTGGCGTACTCAGCACCAGCTTGATCATGTCCAAGTACGACGAGTTGTGACGCTGCTGCTTCTCGTCCAGATGATACATGGATCTGGAGAACGGTATGACATTGGTGGACACGATCTTGTAGACGTCCTGATTGGCGATCGTTCCGACTTTCTGGGCATTGTCTATGACTATCAAGTACGGACAGGCGAGCAAGCGAACGATCCCGACGATTCCCCAGATCTTGCGTCGGCTCGCCGTTTGTGGAATTTGGCTTGGATTGGCAACTGCAATAATTGGTTACGATCAAAGGTCATCGGTTGACGTTCGCGTAAAAAAAGTGTTTTTTTTCCTTCGTAATTACCTTGGGAATGAATAGAGTGCGATACCCTATCAATGACCAGCAAAACTTTTGTTCTCACTGGCTCGATGTAAAACTTATCGGGTGTTGCGTATCTATCGAGGAAAAAAAGCGAGATTCATGTTTATTGTACACAGCCATTATTAACGTAAGAGATCCGAGTCATTCATTAATGTTCCTTAAATGTCTGCATGTTCTGCGTAAAAATACTCACAAATAAAGTTCATCGTAAACGTCGACGTTCGAAGCCATATTTTCTTCTTATAAGTACTATTTTTCCGTGAATCCACTCGATGTTTTATCACTAAAAAAAGAAATGCGTCTCGGCCGCAGATCAGTGGTTAAGAGAGTGAGAGAGAGAAGAGAGAGATGTCCAGTGGTTCTCGCGAATCCGCTCTGATCGATGAAACAAAACTCTTTTCTGCCTTATTTTGCTGAAGCCAACACTGCACCAAATGTTTCGTTGCAACTCTAATGACAATATTTTAATTTAACGAGACTCGTGTCAGACACAGCAGAAGCTACTACACATCCATGCACAGGAGGCCTCTTTTGACGCGCGTCGTGTATAACATACGCCCGCGTCGTACAACACGGAGCAAGTAAGTATCTACGTGTATTCCGCGTAGTAGCAGCAGCTAAGCAGGCAAGTTCTGCAGCGACGATGATGTCACTCCGCTATAGCGCAGCTCGTCGCACGCATATACACACCGACACTATCACAAACGCCTGCCGCATTAATAAGAGAGAGAGAGAGAGAGAGAGAGAGAGAGATTACGATTACGGAGTTGTAAGTACACCTTCTGCGGCTCGTGATATAACCAGTCATTAGATGTCACTTTCGAGTACAGGTATGTAATGGCATTACAATTTACAAACCAAGTTTTAGACTAGACCTTTATCTTAGAGCGCCCGCCAACGCGTATGAAGAATTTAAATCGCCGCAGTACAATCGATTCTATCTTATAACGCGACGTACGTGCGTGTCTCTTATACATCTGCTCTTAATTGGAAAATTAATTACCGTGAATTTTGATGAATTTAGAAAGTAAGCATTATTGATAACCTCAAGCCTAAAGTGACCCCCCCCCCTCCAACCACTCCGTTATTTGACTATGTAAAATAAAATAAAATCAACGCGTACTTATATACACGCATCGCAATTTTCGGAGTCGGATTTTTGCAAAGCGCGAAACTATCGACGGTTGGTAAAATCACCGCGGCAATTTATCCGTATGATACATTATATACGAATTATCGGGCTTTTAGCGCACGCACGAGTGGCCGCGTGTGCGTCATGAATTTATATACAAAAGTTCAACAATTCACGAGGGAGATGCTACCTACTCGGTTTATGATTTTTATTGGGCCCACACTTTTAGCTCTGTGTGTATCTTATTCATAGTCTAGTCCCGTACATTTCGACATGTGCGCTGCGTATAGAATTCAAAAGTAGTGGGTCAAACTCTTTCTCTTCGTTCAAAATACGTATAAATAGTACGTAAGAAAGAAAAAGGACAGTTACGGTAAGTCGAAAAAAGACAATAGAGTCGTTTTGTATACACGGGTAAAATTCGATACGCGATATAATTTATGAATACTCGTATATGTGAGCCAAGAGTCGCGATCGCGTGTCACCGAGCAATCCACTCTGATTTTTGAAATAATATAAATTATGAAAAAAAAGTACACGCGCGATCGATACACTTTTTTTCATTCCGTAATAATCGCACAAGGTGAAGAGTAAAAAACAGTCAACTCCATAATAGATGTGCGGGACAAGATCATCGTCACCTGCACATGTGTCTTTCGCTATCCTATACGTGTATTTGTGCAAAAACCGTGGCAAAGCATAGCTGCTGCTGCCGTTTATTATAAGGCTCGTATATATATAGGGGGCTTTCTCTCTTTTGCGCGATGCGTTGTATACAATAATAACACACGTACAAGTATATAGGAGTCTCTGTATATAAAAAAAGGTGTAATATAGAGGTGTTGCGCTCGCCTACGCAAGGAGCTCCGATCGACGAATGAGTTTAAGGCGAAAAAAAGTAAAAAGTAAAGAAAATAATAGATACGGCATCGCGCGCGCACGCGTAACGTTCTGAAGGTACCTATAATATCGATGCGCGATGTCCTCTGTGCTGTGCATGGCTCTGCAGTGCAAACTGCAAACACATCGTCGTGCACACGAATGTATAGATCGCTTATAGTTATATTCTTTTACTGCTATATGTATATATATCTTGCACGAGCAAGAGTAGCAGCAGCGGGTATATATAACGGCAGAGAGAAGTTAAGAGTAGGGGTAGATATATGTATATATGGCTATATAGCAATAATGGTACGACCTCGCTAGCGCGCGGCGCTTCTATGTAGCATTGCAGCCGCGATTCGCCGCGCAAGCTTGGCTTTGGCTCTGGCTCGAGTCTGGCTCTGACTCTCGTCGGGTCCGCACGCACGTATCGCGTCGTGTTAAAAGAGTTTGGAGTCGTGTGCAGCAGTGGCCGAGTCGTCGTCGTCGTCGTCGTGCACTCGGTGCATGTGTGCAGTGAGTGTGTGCGAGAACCTCGTGACTGTGTGTGTGCGTGTGTGCATGCGTGGTGCGGACACCCAAGTACATAGTGCCTTTGATATATATATATATATATATATATATATATATATAACACACACACAGGCGCACAAGAGAAGAAAATTCATATAACACACACACTCACACACACACAATTATTATAGATCCAATATATCTATACAGTATGTGTACCTAGAAGAGCCAGAGCAGAGCATACAACACAACACCGAGCAATCGTCGTCGTCGTCGTCGTCGTCGATGACGACGTCCATTATTGTGTTGCTGCGTCGCGTTGTAGTTTTATGGCACGGGCTACTGGTCGCAAGGAACGCATGTAAGTAATAAAAGAAAAGTTTGTTAGTCTTGAAGAAAGGCTGATGTTAACCCCTAGACGCGTCGTGTGTGCGAGTGTTTGCGTCTACCCACACAGAGACACACGATCGCAAGTGCAAAAGAAATAGATGATACTTCTCCCTCGTCGTCGTCCAAGTTGTATTTTATATATTGCGACTTATTAAAGTGTAGCTGCATACGTGTAGAAGTGAGAACGAAACTTTGTGTGCATTTTAGAATATACTAGTTGTAGCCTGTAGCTTTTCAATTTCGTCGTCGTCGTCGTCGTCGTCGTCGCCGTATCTCATCGTCGTGTGTGTGTCTCTGTGTGTGCGTGTATAATCTCATGGCTGCTGCTGTTGCTGCACGTTGTGTGTTACATGATTGAACGCGAGCTGCTGCTGCTATGCGCGTGTGTATATGTGTTGTTAGCTATATAATAGAGAGTGAATGAGCCTTTGCGCTATAATTGTTTCTCGTCGTCGTCGTCGTCGTCGTATTCGTCGTCGTTTGTGCGAATGTAATATTAGTCTCTATTGCATGCACCGTGTGTCTCTTATGTGTGTGTATGTGTGACTGTATGTGAATGTTGCCTGCGAAATCATCATCAACTCGACGTTCTCAACGTCGCCGTCGTCGTCGTCTTTCGTATTATACATAATCTTGCATATTATTCCCACATCGACTATGTATGCATGACAAGATAGATACAATACGAAGAAAAAACTGCAACTGCAAAAAGTGTAATAATAATAATAATAATAATGTAGGTATAAGCTATCCGATTCGATCTAGATAAACGTTTAATCGTTATGTGCTGCGTGAAAATTGGCAAAACTCTCGGACGTACGTCATCATTATGTACCTGCAACCCGTGCGCGCGCGATCGTTGTATCATGTGCTGCAGTTTTATTATTATATATCGCACTTGATAATGCATAACGCGCGCGCCTTAATGGTGGATATCATTATAATCATCGACGACGAGTAGAACAGCTGCAAAGCCAGCTAATCTACATATTCGTAGTTTACTGTATAAGACTTTGTGTCAGCAGCAAAAAAATAACAGTTCGAAAAAACACAAAGAGAACCAGCAGCAGCAGCAGAAGAGAGAGAGATAGATAGAGAGAGAGAGAGAGACCCAGTAGTGTAAAAGGTGCTCGTGTTACTTGTGTATATTATACGGTGTGCGTGTGTGTATGTGTGTGTTTGTACCACCGCGAGAGAGCTTTGTAATATACAGGCAAAATATACACATACACATATAGATACAGAGTGAGTGAGAGAGAGAGAGGAAGAGAGAGAAGCGAGAGAAAGAGACAGAGTGAAGCCAACAGTTAACTCTCGGCCCCGTTTTTCGCGATAAAGAAAACGCTCTCCCCGTGCTTCTCTCTCTTTCACTCGTGCGCGCGAGCTCTCCGTGTGACTGTGTATGTGTCTGTGTGCCTCTGCTCCAACCGAGAGTAAGTGTATTGCATACACACAGACAGACACAAGTCGAGTACGGATACATATATACGTAACACGAATACACACACAGACAGACAGACTTAGTACACTCACTCACGGGAGAAAGACTTCACTTCCACGGGAGAGAAAAAGTCAGCAGCCGCCAAGTTTACATGCTATTATCATTATCATTATTATTATGTATAATACAGACAGACAGACACAGACAGACGCAAACATTGTGTTTCGAGAGAGCCTATGTATTGGCCAAGGAGAGAGAAGCAGAAAAAAAACCCAAGTTAGCACGAAAATATACCCGCGTGCGAGTGCGAAAATTCGCATGCCCATAAGCGGGAGCGAGAGAGAGAAAGAGAGAGAGATGTATATGTTATTTCACTCTCTTTAACACTCGTATATCGCGCGCCAAGCGGGCGAGCGAAGGATAGGATACGTTGTTTATTGGTTTTTTTTTTAAAGACACCCGTGTACGAGCACGATGAAAAAAAAGTCGATATCGCGTGCTGCTGCTGCTCAAACCGATTCGAGTTTTCTATATCATCGCGCGCACACATGTGTCCATATCATTTTGCCTTTTATTTCATATACATGCGTGTTGCAGTAGTATCGATGAGTGCCAGCACACGAGTGAAAACGCACTTTGCGTTGTATCAACGCCGTATTATGTAGACTGCCTGCCACTCGGACGGCCTCGACATAGCAACGTATATAGCGACTCCGACTACTTTAATAATGTGCGTAACATCATTCATGCGAGGCAGGCGTAATATAGAGAATTTGCGCGTATAGAGATTGATGTTGGTGACGCGATAACGCGCACGACTACGACGATCGCGATGAGCAGCGAATTTCAGCAGCGGACGACGCAGTCTCCATAATAGTTTAGTTTGTTCGCGCGCGACGCTGGAGTTCGAAGGTATTACCTCTATATACGCGTTCCGGAAAAAGGCAGACTTTCGAAAGCCAAAAAAAAAAGAAAGAAAAAGTAACGAAGGAAAAAAAGAACGGCGTGCGAACTGTGCTGCGCGAGTCGAGCGAGTGTTGTTGTGTATACACATGTGCAATCGTACCTCGCTCGTCGCGTATCTATAAAATGCGGTGGTGTATATACAGAGTGCTGACTGATTGCGAGTGAAACACTATCTCGGCGGCGCGGTTGGTGCTTATGTGTATATATGTAGGTATAAGCAGTGTTGTGCCATGCGACGACGACGATAGATCGTCAGTCGGTCGGTCGCTGCTCGTCGGTGTGTTGTTAGTTGAACATTTGCGTATTGTACACGCACGTGCGTGTGTGTGCTGTGCCGTGTCGTCGTGTATGAGAAAGAATCGCGTCGCGCGCGTGCGGTTCTTTCGTTGCTTCTCCCATCGTCGATAGAGCTCGGATTACAAATCTTGATAAATATTATTTACTCGTTTATAATACGAGAGATCTCGTAAGACGCGCGATATTTTAATGTCGATTGGCATTCAATTTATACCGATCCGCTGTAATTTTTTTTTCTGCATTTCGTTTTTCGCAGATTGAACGAGCGCAGCTCGCTCTCGCCGACTGCTAGCAGGAGAAAGAAAAAGCGCCCAGCAACAACAACGGGGAGGGAGTATATAGAGCCGTCGTCGTCGTCATTGCACACTGCTGGAAAAACACTGCTCGTCCTAGAGCAGCGACACACGATCTACCCAATGTTTTCGGTAGATTCAAGCGATACCGCATCGATAGCGCAGTTATAGTGAAGAGCCCCCAAGGAGTGCAGCAATTTTCTTATTGAAATCTCACTGAACGCAGCAAGAAGATGGCAGAGGTCGATCCCGAGACTCTGCTCGAGTGGCTGAGTATAGGCCAAGGGGACGAGAGGGACATGCAGCTCATCGCGTTGGAACAGCTGTGCATGCTGCTGCTCATGTCCGACAACGTTGATCGTTGTTTCGAAAGGTACGTTAAATGACCGAACCCGAGATTTTATGCTCGATTCCATGTACGAATGATGAATGTGAAAATTCTCCTCACAAACAGTTGTCCTCCGAGAACGTTTTTGCCAGCGCTGTGCAGGATATTTTTGGATAAAGAGGCACCGGACAACGTATTGGAGGTAACTGCCCGAGCCATAACGTACTATCTCGACGTCTCGGCCGAATGCACAAGAAGAATCGTCGCTATGGAGGGCGCCATCAAGGCCATATGCAGTCGACTCGCGTTGGCGGGTCTGGACTCGAGGGCCAGCCGTGATCTTGCCGAGCAATGCATAAAGGTACATGCGTCAAAATGAGCGACGAACAATGACATCTTAAATTTAGATTCCGATTGCGATCCTGATGCGTAGAAAACCTCCGTACGATGCACTTGCGTCAAGTAAACGTGCGAGTGCGAGTCTCTCGTACTGCCAAAAGCAATTCTATATTAATCTGCCGCCGGTCGCGGAAGAAATCTCTGCCGAGTTCAGTTCCAAAGCTTTGTGTGTCGCTCGATTCAGCGAACGTGTCTCGACAGGCTCGCACGCGCGCGCGCTCTCGGCTGCAGTTTTAAAGTTATGTAGACTCTTTTTTGGCACACACGTGTGAGTCACAACACACGCTACACGCACACAGTCAGAGTATACCCTGTGACTCAGAAGTACTTTCCAGATCTTCTTTTTTACCTCGTTGCGTTTTAACTTTATTGCGTGTTTATATTTAACAATACGTATATATTTCTTGTAGATTAACATACGGATCGCATTCGCGAAATATAAAGATTATATAAAAAGATATTTACATGCGCCTCCGCGGAGAGGCTTGAATATTCATGACGCGCAAGCCAGCGGACGGGTATCCGATAATTAGATTTTGTTTTTCAATTTTATTTTTGCGCTCCTCTGTTTATCGAGCACACGTGCGCAATATAATTTATACCTTACGATGTCACGAGTTGCACGTTTTCGCTTTTCTCGTTAAAACAGTAATTTTCAATTTTAATTATCTGCGAATTTCGTTAAAGACAAAATTCGATGAGCGCCAACAGCTGCAGCAGCAACGCGATGATGATGGTTCGTCAACGTTTACAATCTATATCGCCATCGAATTTCTATCGGCGAGAGAAAAGTTCCCGTTTCTCGCGTAGCGCGCACGCAGCCTCATCCATAATTCAATGGAAAAGAAAAAAAAGAAAAAAAATTCCGCATTATTCCAACGAGTCTATTAACTCTACCCGCGGCGCGATTACAATCGCGTATATACTACCTTACACGCGGTGGCGAGCAAGTAGTAGAGAAAAGCAAACATTAATTGGTCTGCCTCTAAATAATTTTTCTAATCTTCCCCCCGCTCTCGCTGTTATCGATCGCAGGTACTGGAATTGGTCTGCGCACGGGAGGCCGGAGCCGTCTTCGAAGCCGGGGGCTTGTCGTCGTCCCTGCAGTTCATCCGCGAGCACGGCGCCCAGGTGCACCGCGACACCCTGCACTCGGCGATGGCGGTGGTGTCTCGGCTCTGCGGCAAGGTCGAGCCGCAGGACAAATCGCTGCCCGACTGCGTCGAGGCACTGTCGACCCTGCTGCGTCACGAGGACGCCCACGTGGCGGACGGCGCGCTGCGCTGCTTCGCCTCGCTGGCCGACAGGTTTTCCAGGCGCGGTACCGATCCCGCGCCCCTGGCCAGCAACGGACTGGTCTCCGAATTGCTGTACAGGTGAGTGAGAGAGAGAGAGAGAGAGTTATAATATTATATAGTCACGCGCGCGCATACTCGTGCATAATCAATGTCGGATTATCGATTTTCAAGTTATACATGAAAATAATATGCAAATCCACCTGTCAAACCTTTTCAAGATCACCCACCACCTCCCACCTCTCGTTCGCGCACACCTACCTCTCCCTCCCTCATTATCCGAGTACTCCATTATTGTTTTCGTGCGTGACCTCATCGTACAATGCAATGAAATGAATTTTTGTCGTTTCAGATTGTCGAACGCCGCAGGACCCATATCGTCGGTGAACACGACCGGCAACCTGAAAACACCATCCACACCGGGTGTCACGTCGTCCACGGTGCCGGCGACCGAGGCCAAATCCTGCGCCTCCGTGTCGACCATCATCAGTCTGCTATCGACCCTGTGTCGCGGCTCCGCGTCCATCACTCACGACCTGCTTCGATCCGGACTGCCCGACGCCATCGAGAAGGCCCTGAAGGGCGACGAGCGATGCGCGCTCGATTCCATGCGCCTGGTCGATCTGCTCTTTGTTTTGCTGTTCGAGGGCAGATCCGCGCTGGGGCGCACGAACGCGAGCAGCGCCTCGGGTCCCCTGCTGCCTCGATTGCGCCGACTGGACAGCGTCGGCGAGAAGACTCATCGTCAGTTGATAGATTGCATACGCTCGAAGGACACCGATGCCCTGATAGAGGCCATAGAGTCGGGCGGGGTCGAGGTCAACTTCATGGACGACGTTGGCCAAACGCTGTTGAACTGGGCGTCGGCGTTCGGTACCCAGGAAATGGTAGAGTTCCTCTGTGATAAAGGCGCCGATGTGAACAAAGGCCAGCGCTCGTCGAGCCTGCACTACGCCGCCTGCTTCGGTCGGCCGGCGATAGCCAAAGTGCTGCTGCGCCACGGCGCGAATCCCGATCTGCGCGACGAGGACGGCAAAACTCCTCTGGACAAGGCTCGCGAGCGCATAGACGAGGGCCACCGCGAGGTGGCGGCGATTCTCCAGTCGCCCGGGGAATGGATGCTGCTCCCGGCAGGCAACAGTCCCGACGAGCGCAACAAGCTCGAGGCCAACGACGTTAAAGAATTCACCGAGCCCAAGGGCGATCCGGAAATGGCCCCGGTATACCTGAAACGACTGCTACCGGTGTTTTGCGCCACCTTCCAGTCGACCATGCTGCCGAGCGTGCGCAAGTCCAGTCTGAATCTCATTCGCAAGATGGTGCACTACATTCAACCGGAATTATTAGCAGAAACTTGCGGCGCCAATGTAACCAACGGCTGCGGCGCTATGCTCGTCGAGGTCATAGCCAATGTACTGGACAACGAGGTAAGCGTCATGCCCCCAGGACATTCTCCCTGTCATTTTTGTTCTTTAGTAAACGTTGTTGAGAGAATCAAAGTGAAAACTTGTTTAGTAGTTGCTTTATTGGCACGAATTTTATTTTTTATATGTCACCGCTGCTGATGTGCTCGGTTCTCTAGGAGGGACTACATGAAAAAAAATGTCTTTTTGTTTTCAAAAAAGCACCGCGATATCTACTCAATTTTTACCTAGCTGCAGGCAGTCTGTGTTATATAATTTATATTTATGAGAAAGTGGTGTGTTTGATGATTATTAAAAGATTTATTATTCTGATGAAACTAAAAAAAAAAAAACAAAAAAAAATGACTTGACTTATTCCCGCGCGAATGTGCTCTTTTTCTTTTCTCTTCTCGGCAGGAATACGATATAAAAGCGAGCTCCCCATGGTCGATGATGCCGTCAACATCACCGTGTGCGCCTCCGCCACCCTGTTATCTCAATAGCTTTATCGGCCCGAAAATGCCGATTGCCTCCTCGCGCATCAAGTCCATTTCCCAGTACTACATACTCGCCAATAAGACGGTAACGTCTTCGTCCCAGATTTTATTTCTTCTTTTACAAATTAATTTATAATTTTATGGTATTATTACGAATTATTGTTTATGTTATTACTATTTTTTAATTATTATTATTATTATGTACATTTTTTAACTTAATTGCGCTCTATTGTTGACATAATTTTTTGATTTTACTTGTTTACCTTGTATTTGACATTACATTATACTATTGATACTACTGTATATTCTTTAACCAACTGCTAACTTGAACAGACTTCCATTTTTGATCTCATTACACTTACTATTATATTTTTGACATTTGCATTATTATTATTATATATCTACTTGCTTTCTCGAATTCTAGAGGAACGAGCCGTTAATGTTATAATCAGATTGAGATCTTGTTGCTACTACTTTGATTTTTTTTGTTATGCTGCGTATTATACCATATATATGCCACAGCTGCCACTACTGAGTTATATACCATTTGACCACCACCGTCACTTGCAACCCATATATATCTCTCTTTTTCTTTGTACTTATGCGTGATGATTTTTCTATCGAGTGTACTTAACTCTCCACCGTATCGTTTTTCTCTCTCTCTTACGCTCCTCAAGACATTTTTTGTTTTCTCATATGGTTATACCTGCCATTTTTGCCGTCTGCGTAAATAATATGAAAAGTATACGCATTGAGAAAAGAAAATATTGCTAAAAAACAGCTTGTCGCTAAAATCCACATTTTGAGAAAAAGTCGTACATGTACATATCTTTTTTGACATGTATAATTGTGTATGTAATACACCCTTTTTCATAGCATTGATCCATTAAATTATTAGGTGCATATTATAATATTCCTCATGTATAAAGGATCAGACGCGATCCTGTTAATATTATTATCTTTTTAACTATCCTTATAATTTCACGTAAACACTATTCGTCAAAAATTCATGTCTAATAAAAAGAATGACCATCAGTACACACAAGAGTATTATTTATTGATGTCGTTTCTATTCTAGATTTTTTGCTTACGACTGCATATTACCTAAAATTTTAGAAAAACAATTAAACTCGAAGCAATAAAAATCTTTTTCTGTGCAACAGGAGGATGAGGATGGACACTTGGTAGTTCTACAGATGATCCAAGACTTAATGGCCAAAGGAAAGGACGAGTTTTTGGAGCATTTCGCTCGGCTGGGCGTCTTCTCCAAAGTCAGTTCTCTGGCTGGCCCGCAAGAATCCACGCAGGATCAGAACAACGAAGCGAGCGGAAATTCGAATGCTCAGCAACAAACGCAACAGCAGCAGCAGCCGCAAACAGCCGGTGGCGGCGGTGACGAGCAAAAAATGGAAGATGCCAAAGAATTGCAGATAGGAAAGGCTTACCACTGGCGCGACTGGTGCATCTGCCGGGGTCGCGACTGCCTTTACGTCTGGTCGGACGCCGCCGCGCTCGAGCTGTCGAACGGCAGCAACGGCTGGTTTAGATTCATCCTGGATGGCAAGCTGGCTACCATGTACTCGAGCGGCAGTCCCGAGGGTGGCACCGATACCACAGGTGCGTTTGTTGCACATCACGAGTTGATCGCGATTGATTCTGTTTTGTAGTGTAGTAGTAGTAGTAGTAGAAAACTTTTTATTATTCTTTTTTTGTCTCTTTCTCTTTATCTTACTCGTATCATTTGTGTCGTGGTCTGTCCTGTCTATCGTTCGCATTCACATCATCCCAACGTCATTTTTTTGATTAACTTTCGCTCTTAGCCGCCACTTTTTACCTCACCATTTTTTACACTTACAATTACGTGGAAAGAGGGTAATCATGATGTAACTCATTTTTTTTACTAAATGTGTCTACAGGCAAGGGAGGTCGTAATACCGAGTCCCTCACCACCGAAGGTTGGTACCATCGATTTCTCAGTGGTCTGTTTGTATATCTATTTGTTGTGTATGTTAATAACAAAACAAAAATTAGTAGTTTGAAAATTGTTATCATCGTTCCCATCAAAATCATCAAGTTCTTTTTAATGTTTTTCATTTTAATAATAAAAAAAAGAAAAAGAAGTTCATAAAAAGTATATTAACGCTGTTCAAACTTCAGTAAAATAATAACATCAAAACATAAATATGCAAAACAGACGTATTCTAATTTTTTATATCAGCTCGCCAGCTGATATTATATCAAAATATATTATATCCAGAGAATCGGGGCGAATTTTTGGAGAAGCTGCAGCGCGCCCGTAGCCAAGTGAAACCGAACTCCGTGAGCCAACCCATACTATCGAGACCGGGTTCCACCAGGCTCGTCATTGGAAATTGGGCACTGTCGAGCAAGAAGGACGGCGAACTGTGCATTTTGAACAGCGACGGACAGCAGCAAGCGACGATATTGCGCGAGGATCTGCCGGGATTCATTTTTGAATCGAATCGTGGAACAAAACACTCGTTTACGGCTGAGACGAGCTTAGGTAAACATTCGCGTCGTGTTAATTTATCTGAGTAATATACTCGATTCAATAATCATTCATTTTTCTTCAGGTCCTGAATTTGCTGCTGGCTGGGCCGGTAAACGAGGTAAGCGCCTACGCTCAAAGATGGAGGCCATCAAGCAGAAGGTCAAAACTCAAGCTCAAGAAATCTACGAATCCCACTTCAAAGCCGCGCAAGCACAGCCACGCGGCGTTGTAGCCAAACTCGCGGACATCGTCATACAGATCGACAAGGCTTGTCACAAGCAATCGCAGCAGCCGAGCAGTCGGGAATGGCGCACAATACTGCAGGGTGCCTTGGACGAGCTCAAACTGCTGCTCAACGAGGACGGCAAGGTTTCGGCTTACGAGCTGCACTCCAGTGGCCTGATCAGAGCTCTGCTGGGCCTGCTCGCGGCTCCATCGAACGCGCAGCATCTCTCGCCTCGCATGAACAAGCACAGACTGCAGCGAGTCGCCGTTTTCAAGAGCAGCTTTCAGTCGCATAACTCGTCCAAGGGAGATAACTTCGCCAAGGTTCTGGTGCAGAAGCTCGTTTCGGTACTGGAATCCATAGAAAAGTTGCCGGTATATCTCTACGATACGCCCGGTTCCGGCTCAGGTTTGCAAATCCTCACGAGACGTTTGAGATTCCAATTGGAGAAAGCTGCGAGCGAAAGTGCACTTATCGACAGGAGTGGTCGAAATTTAAAAATGGAGCCACTCAGTACGGTACAGCAACTAGAGAATCATTTGTTAAAGATGGTCGCCAAACAATGGCACGATCACGAAAGGTCTACCTTTACTTTTGTTAAAAAATTGAAAGAAGGAAAGAAGTTTACGTTTAAGTATCAACACGACTTTGATCAGAATGGACTTATTTACTGGATTGGAACAAACGCCAAGTGAGTAATGTTTCATTATTTAATATTTTGATAAATTGTTCTTGACAAACTTATAAATATCTATTACTTCACAGCACATGTTCCGAGTGGGTGAACCCCGGACAATACGGCCTCGTAGTGGTAACATCAAGCGATGGACGCAATTTACCTTATGGTCATTTGGAAGATATACTCAGCAGAGACCCGTCCGCTATGAATTGTCATACCAACGACGACAAAAGAGCCTGGTTCTCTATCGATTTGGGAGTATGGATCGTTCCGAATTCCTATACACTGAGACACGCCCGAGGTTACGGAAAAAGCGCTCTCAGAAATTGGATGCTCCAGGCCTCGAGAGACGGTATCAATTGGTCGACGCTCTATACCCACGTAGACGATTGTTCGCTGAACGAGCCCGGCAGCACGGCCACGTGGATGATCGACTCGACGTCGGTCGGCGACGAGGAGGGCGCCCAGGGCTGGCGCCACTTGAGATTACAACAGACCGGCAAAAACGCATCGGGTCAGACGCACTATCTGTCCGTGTCAGGCTTCGAGGTCTACGGCGAGGTCACCGGCGTCTGCGAGGACTTGGGTCGCGCCGCCAAGGAAGCCGAGGCGTCTGTGCGGAGACAGAGGCGTCTAATCCGATCTCAAGTTTTGAGACACCTGGTGGCTGGAGCGAGGGTCGCCCGCGGTCTCGACTGGAAGTGGCGCGACCAGGACGGCGTGCCACCCGGCGACGGTACGGTGACCGGCGAGCTGCACAACGGCTGGATCGACGTCACCTGGGACAACGGCTGCTCCAACTCCTACCGTATGGGTGCCGAGGGAAAGTACGATCTCAAACTGGTGTCGACGGCCAACGAGCAGGGAGGAGACGCGTCGAAAACGTCGAGCAAGAACGGCAGCAGCGGCGTGCTCACCGGTAGAAAGTCCAACAGCACACCGAGTCTGCCCGACTTTTGCACCGATGGAACCGTGCGCTGCTCCGTGGCCTCGACCGATCAGGCCGCCAGTGCCGACAATCTCGCAGCCAAGCAGGCCGCCGAGTCCATTGCGGAGAGCGTTCTGTCGGTCGCACGAGCCGAGGCCGTCGTCGCGGTCACCGGTGAGAGCGGCGTCAACTCGACCGGAGAGTACTCCGTGGTGCTACACCAGCGACCCGAAACCATGACGGTGTCCACGGACTTGGCTACGATTGTCGAGAGCTTGACGCTGAACAACGACAGCACGCAGCAGCAATCGGCTGCCTCTGGCCACAGCAATGGCAATGGCAATAGCAATAAAACATCCTTCAGCTCTAAGCCAATTTTATCAGCCATTCGAGCTGGAAACAAGGTAAATTCGCAACAACACTTTAAAATGTATGATAATTTCCATTCTGATTCTGACGTCCCGTTTTTCGTTTTACAATGTTGCAGCCTTCTTCAAATAGTCTGTTTGGTCTGGAAGCTGCCGACGTATTGGATCGTATGCGCGAGGGAGCCGACCGATTGCGAAACAACACCAACAGTTTTCTAAGCGGTGAGTTACTAGGCCTAGTACCAGTTCGAATAAGTGTGTCTGGCGATACCGACGATCAAAATTCCATGAGAATCAGACCGGCACCGAGAAGTCACGTAGCGACTAATGTGCCTACCATTAATACCTCAGCTGATCTCACTGGTCAGGAAGGTAAATCATCGTCGATTTTTTACCGACTATATCCACAGGTTCAGCACAATTGTAACAATCAGTACGTGACTAAAACAAAAATGTCATTTCATTCGTTGATTAACAACGACTTGTTAATAAAAATTCAGTCAGTACTGGACCTGAGTATTGTCAGCAACTAATCGCATTGACGACCCTTCGTAACTCATTATTGTCATGAATGTCTGTAGGCTCGAAGGACTGTTGTCCTCGAGACAAAGACGCGAGCTCATCGCAACAACAACAGCAACAACAGCATCAACAACAGCAGCAACAACAACAACAACCACAACAACCACAACAACAACAACAACAACAACAACAACAACAGCAACAACAGCAACAGAACCCAACTACGGGTGGATGTCCTGTCGTTGTAACAACAAATCCCATGTCTGTGTCTGTACCGAATCTTGCGTGCAGTGATGCTACTAATAATACGATCGAGCCAGTCGCTGCCTCCGGCTTATTAGAAACATTTGCCGCGATGGCTCGAAGGCGAACATTGGGTTAGTCACTTGTTAACCTGAGTGCTAGCTATCATTAGTCATTAAAAAAACATCTTAGTTATTTAAGAAACTTCATGGCTCTTAATTCTCTCGCGTATTCAAATAAAAATATATCTTTGCAGGACCAGCTGGTAGTCAGCATATCACATCGAACGCCTTACCTGCCTCTAATTTACGTGGTTCAAATGCAGTCTCGAGTCTGGTTCGTCTAGCTCTCAGTTCAAACTTCCCGAGTGGATTGCTCGGTACGGCCCAAAGCTATCCCAGCTTGAACAGCAGTCAAATTCCGGGTGCGACCAATTGTTCAGGAGCCGGCGGTGGTAGTCTTGGACAACCGCTAACTAGTCTTTCCTTGACTAGCACCAGCAGCGACAGTGAACTGGTAATGGCACAATGAATTTTTTAAAATGCAAAACTAGGGGAAAAGAAAGATTTACCTACATTGATATGTTTACCAATACTAGGTGAGCTTGGAAGAATTTTTGGAAGCATGTGGAGAGGCTGCTGGTGTCGGCGGTGCTCGCGTTGGCGCAACACTTTTGACCGAACTGGAAGACGACGAGGATGGCGTTTTAGCCGAAGAAGAGGATGACAACGATGAAAACGACGAACAGGAAGTCGATGATGATGAAGAGAATGAAGAGGAAGGTGGAGACGAGGCCGATTATCAAGATGTTATGGTCAGCCGAAATCTTCTGTCAGCCTTTATGGATGATGAGGCAGCACCTCCCAGTACCAAGCGGCGAGCTTGGGACGATGAATTCGTATTGAAACGTCAATTCTCAGCTCTTATTCCAGCTTTCGATCCTAGACCCGGTCGAACTAATGTTAATCAGGTAATTTTTTATTTTCGCTTGACTTATTGTTTTCTGATAAATGGGTACATTAAATTTTACGAATTCTCAATTCATTTCATTTCAGACCACTGATTTAGAGATACCACCCCCTGGAAGCGACGCGAAAGCCACAGCCCATGTAGGAACGACCCCCACTAGCGGACCAAAATTATCCCTGTTTTTGAAAGGTCCTGGCCTACCGGGAATACCCGACGTCGAGATACCTTTGAACGATCCTACCGCGAGCATATTCCAAGCGGTGCAGCAGCTCATGCAGCTCACCGAGCTGGGTAGCAAGCAAGAAAAATTACGAAGAATTTGGGAACCAATTTACACCATCATCTACAAAGAGGCGAAGGACGACGAAGATTCGTCGGGTCGTGCAACACCAATCGTAAATTTCTATCCGCGAAACGCGAATCAAAACGCGAACGCCTGCACGGTCGAGGACGTTTTGCAGCTATTGCGTCACGTCTACGTGCTCGGCACGAGTTCACACAGCAATAATTTGAACAACAGTCGTACGATGCATTATCTCGAAGAGAATCACGTCGACAACACCTGGGTGCATCCGGACGACTTCACGTCGAAGAAGATCACAAACAAGATAGCGCAGCAGATTCAAGATCCTTTGGCGCTGGCCGCCGGCGCGTTGCCCACTTGGTGCGAGGAACTGGCCAGAAGTTGCCCGTTCCTATTGCCGTTCGAGACTCGGCGACTCTACTTCAACTGCACGGCTTTTGGAGCGTCGCGCTCGATCGTCTGGCTGCAGACTCAGCGCGACGCTGTACTGGAGCGTCAACGTGCACCTGGTCTAAGTCCGCGACGCGACGACGTCCACGAATTTAGGGTAGGCAGATTGAAGCACGAGCGCGTGAGTGTGCCGCGAGGCGATAAACTACTGGACTGGGCCGAACAAGTGCTGAAGATTCACGCGAATCGCAAGAGCATCCTCGAAGTGGAATTCGTCGGCGAAGAGGGCACGGGTCTCGGACCGACTCTCGAGTTCTTCGCTCTGGTCGCTGCCGAGCTTCAGCGCAAAGATCTGGGTCTGTGGTTGTGCGACGACGAAGACCCGAATCTCGACAACGACCTGCAGCAGGCCGACGACCACACGAACGACCGAGCGAGAGCCGTCGGTTTTTACGTGTCACGGCCGTCGGGCTTGTTCCCAGCACCTCTGCCCCAAAACAGCGAGGCTTGTGAACGTTCCTGCCGATTCTATTGGTTCCTCGGCGTTTTCCTTGCAAAAGTACTACAAGATAATCGTCTCGTTGATCTACCACTCTCGAGGCCTTTCCTAAAACTCATGTGTCGCGGCGACATAGCCAACAACGTGAACGAGCGTATTGGTCTGACAACCTCCAGCGTAGCTACTCAAGAAAGTATATCTTCCAGCATGGCTAGCAGTTTCATCTCGGAAGACGGAGATCAAGACGACAGCAAAGAACAATTCGAATTGGAACCGGCCCCGTGGTACAATGGTATCCTTGATATCGATGATTTGGTCGTAGTAGATCCAGTCAGAGGCCGATTCTTGAAGGAAATCCAGTCTCTGGTCTCCAAACGCGAAAGAGCTCTGTCCGAGGGCGGACACTCGCCGGCCGGGGATGATAGCTTTTTGGGAGAGACGCTCTATATCTCTCATCCGTCTGGGGCATCGGTGCCCATCGAAGATTTAGCTTTAACAATGACATACTCGCCTAGTTCAAAGATTTACCAGTACGATTACGTCGAATTGAAGGAGGGTGGCTCAGACATTGCCGTAACGATTGAAAATGCCAAGGAGTATACGGAACTCACGATGAACTATTGCTTCGATCGCGGAATAACGCGACAATTAGAGGCCTTTAGAGCGGGCTTCTCTAAAGTCTTCCCAATGGAAAAATTATATGCTTTTAGTCCCGAAGAAATTAGAGCTATGCTTTGTGGCGAGCAAAACCCACAATGGACGCGAGACGACTTGCTTAATTATACTGAACCAAAATTAGGTTATACCAGAGAAAGGTGCGTTATCTTTTATTTGTTACTCTTAAAAATTCAACTTCCAAGACTCGTTATGAAATAATTTATTGCTCTATATTACAGCCCTGGATTCCAAAGATTCATTAATGTCCTGTTGTCACTCACTGGACAAGAACGAAAGGCTTTCCTACAATTTGCCACCGGTTGCTCAGCTCTGCCACCCGGTGGATTATGCAATTTGCATCCTAGACTGACAGTTGTAAGAAAAGTTGATGCAGGATCGGGTGGTTATCCATCAGTCAACACCTGTGTACATTATTTAAAATTACCCGAATATCCGACTGAAGATATTCTTAAGGAAAGACTACTTGCGGCGACTCGAGAAAGAGGTTTTCATCTTAATTAAAAACATTATATCGTGCAAAACATTTATTATTTCAACAATAATATAAGTGCTAAATGATGATTTTGTATATCTACGGAAAAAATTAGGTAATAATTGCGTGAATCATGATAAAAATAATTTTCTGAAAATGTATGGTTTTTGCGTGTGTATAAGGTGATTACACGAACGTTTCAAAATAATTCTAAGTTTAATTTTTATCGGTCAATATTGAGTGATTCCACACTGAAAAGATGTAATACCTGTTGTACATGTATGCATGTGTGTATGTTGGCCCATTTACAGCATTAGGCTGTAGGTGATTTTTCTACGCTTTCGGGTTATAAAATTAACCGCGAATTTCGTCCGTAAAAATACTGACATAGTCGATTTTTGTAATATATGAAATGCTGACAAGCGCGTATACACATCCTTCACTCTCTGCTAATTATTAGTTTACCTATTATATTTTAAAAATACATTAGAATACGTTAATTTGAAATTTTTCAATTTCATGATTTTTGAAGCTTTATAATATTTACGATTGAAACAAACTATGTGGTTAGAGTTAAGTAATAAACATCACAAAGATTTAGTTAAATTAACCAGGTTACCAAATCAATTTTTTTGTTCTTATTGAATTTTACATGAATTTCGTTGAGCCTGAGATTATAATAAATATTTATTGAAGTCTTTTGAAAGTGTAAACGTTTTGGATGTCGCCAAAAAATAGGAGTATATCTTAGAAACTGAATCATATTGACAATTGATACTCCTAATATTTAAATAAAAATAGAATATTTGTATGTCTGTGAAGAAATTCAATCGACAAAAGTTTGAATACTTGCTTCAAGAATGTCAAAAAATAAAGTAGGTACGTTTAAAATGTGATGATGAACATAATATAATTGATGTATGCGCGAATAGAGAGTGAAAATCCCCTTAACAATATCAGATTTAAAAAAGTAAGTAGTTGCTAATTAAAAGCGATGTAAATTATATTACGAATAATGGATAATATAATAATATTGTTGTATGAAGTTTTGGGAAAGTAAAAAAAAAAAATTAATTATAATGTGTTGTAAAGAAAAAGAATTATTTTTACTATTTAAGGAAAAAATTGATTAATCAATGGTATAAAATGAAAAAAAATAAAAGGAGGAACGAAATAAAATATTACAATTCAAGTCAATCGTCGTAGTAGCTGAAAAAAACGATCTCAATGCCTGTCAATGACTCTCTTTGTTTTTCATTTAGCCGCGGGAATCTCAGTAATGAACTTATAGAAAATAACGATATTTGTCCTTGCTTCTTCATTTTCACGAGACATTGGAAAAATCTTCATTTCTTCGTCGAGTTGTGTGTACGAAAAGCGTAGTAGACAAGAACCATTTTGTAATTCCATTTATCGTCGTGCGATCGCAGCGGAAAGAGATTCAAATTCAATGTATTTATCCGAAGTTCTGGAATACACTAAAAAAAATACAATAATAAAATCTTTAAAAAGTACAAGCAGAATAATCACGTCAAGAATTTTCGCAATATCTCTCTCTCTCTCTCTCTCATTTAAACAACAATATATCTTCGTTGCGAATCAAATTTCGTAAAATGCAGTTATATAGCGTCCGGAGAAAGCGCGCGCGCACGGCAACTGATTGGTGCATTCATGGTGCTGCGAGGCAAGTCTCCGCATGCTGCAAAGTGCAAACTACTGTCGTTGTTACTGTAGTGCCGAACTTTCAACGCGATATGGCGTCCGGACGACTAGCCTCGTCGTAAGCAGCAGCAGCAGCAGTAAAAAAATTTTCGAATTCGCACTGCATCGTACGTACATTCGACTTCGACCGTGTAACAAATTTCTCATCGTCGTTTTCGAAGACTCGCGCGTCTAACTGCCTGCGAAGACATTTGAACCCGCCGTGTCGAGTGGGTGTTCGGTGGTGCTACAACTGCGTCTCTGGCGTGCTTTTTTGTTTCTGTGCTCTTCTATTCTTTAATTTTCTATACCTCGTCGCCAAACAAATTACGCTCGGGCTCGCGACCGACTCTACTGTATATATCGCACATACTACATCGGACTCGCGGTGCTCCTGCTGAGTACTGACTGTGGGGGCGCGCCTTTACCACACACAATACAGTACTTACTACACATACATTAGCCTGCCTTTTGCACATAACTTTCTCTGTCTCGCTTCTGCAGTCTGAGCGGATAGTGTGTGCGAGTCGTCGTCGTCGTCGGTCGCCCGCCTCTACTTACTACTATTTTGCATCGATGCAGCAGCAACGGCAGAGGATCATTATCAAGCTCGACGGGCGCACGTTGAGATAATAATACATATAGGAAGTGTTTCAGCTCCGAAAATAAGGGAGAATTATAAATTATCATTAGCCCCAGTAATCGGTCACAGTAATTGGTAAACAGTAAATCCACCTTAGCAGGCGGCATTGATGGTAATGCATGCAAGGAAACCACAAAGAATCAGCGATGGGTACGGTGATACACTTTTCTTGTTAAAATTGATTATAATACTCTTGGGCTTGTGTGAAGTCTCTGCGTATCTCTGTGTGAGATAATTTGTGTGTTAGATTATGTGTGTGTGTATGTGTGTGTGTGTGTGTGTGTGTGTGTTTACGTGAGGGCTAGTGGCCAATGCTCAAAGGGCCGCGCGCGATCGATTTAATTTCACTGCACTGCATCGCCCAGATAATGGGCTTAGACTATTCTAAATTGCACTTTTCATAAATAAAGCATCTGATAATGAGAACTAGAAAATCACGATAAATTTAAATTGAAATAAAAATATTCAATGGAAGATTCTCACCAGTTCAAGATTACTAAAATTACTATGTGCTTAATGAATTGTTATTCAAGTTTTGTTTTTTGTTATTTTTTTATAACTAAAATAAATGCATTTTTTTTTTCCAGGTACTTTGAGAAACACCAGACCCATCCCTATCAGGTAAATATAAAAGTTCAAAGTTTTTAAGTTAGCTATGTCCTGTTTTGTCTTTGTCTTTGACAATATATACAACAAAGATATTGTTGTACTAAATAGTAGATACCGCTTATTGGCAAATATGCTACAACTACACCCAAATTTAGAAAAAATCATGGCATTATATATGATCATTGGGAATATTTAAATGTCTATACCTAATTGTTGAACATGGCTCACTGTATCTATTAACATTAAAATTAACAGTGAATAATTATCTTAGACCTTAATGCGAATGCGTCAAATTTTATTTACAAATTATCTCCAGTTGCTTTAGAGTTGAAAATTTAGCTTTATTACCCTAACATAAATCAATTGTTGCTTTCTTTTTATTACAAATGAAACACATTACTGGCCTTGATTGTTGGTAAAAAAAAAAAATTGCAAGCTATTCGTGTGCTCTCCCCTGTATCTCAAGTAACTTGAAAGAACAGCTCCAAAAATGCCCACATTCCGCGATTCTTCACCCGACTCGCACTCGATGTGCATTTAAATATATCCTCTCTCTCGAGAAAAAGAGAGAGAGAGAGAGAGAGAGACAGAGAAGTTGGTAACATATAAGTCGAACCAAAACAAATAAAACGTCATTCCATCATAGGCCGCGAGTGTATGTATACTTATTCGTGTGCGTGTGCGTGCGAGGATACATATTTTGATGAGTGGTTTAGTAAGTCGCGCGACCTTTGGCCTCGCAGAATCGTGAGCTTTTAACCAAAAAAAAGCCTTACGTCGATTCTTCGTAAAATATGCCGCACCTCGTGCATAATAGACACACAGCGCACATTACCTGTACAACACAACAAAGAAGAAAAGAACAAACAAATCGTTTCAAGAATACTGGTGGTAAGTGGAGTACTTCTAGTAGCGAAAAATCGAAAATGTAAACAAATAATAGTAGAGGCATGGGGCTTCTTTCGTGCCTGCAACACTCGGATATATACACAATAAATTTTGCATCGTCGACGCTACTGGATAAACTATATAAGAGCATATATGAAGAAGGGGGGAAGAGTCGACTCATGCAGTGGCTCGGTACAACGGTGTGTAATGTTCATGCACTTTGGAGTTCACGCGGTGCACGCATCAACCACTATACGAATGATCGCACTGATTCGCAATGTACATCTGTATAATGCAACAGAAGAAGATTTATTAAACGTTTGAAGTCAGCTGCATAATACGAACACACGAACTCTCGAAATTCATAATAATGTGTGCTCGTCTGGAGCTCGATCAGCCGATTAAAGTGTTCAGTGCCTTCCTGATATACAGCAGTATGTGTCGAGTAAATACACATACAACACCGAAACGTTTATCGACATGGCAGCAGCAGCAGCAGCAGCAGCAGCAGCAGCAGCAGCAGTAGGCGATGATGATAATTTGTCGCGCATCTGTCATTATTGGTAGTAAGCGTTGCCGCTCGTCGCCTACTGTTACTGAACTTGATAAATACACTAGTCGTATGGTAATATAGGTTCAACAAACGATCCGATGCTTATAATACTAAACAACACGGGGCCAGCGACAATAGCAGCAACAGCAGCAGCAGCAGAGATAGTCGTCGTCGTCGTCGTCGTCATGCAGTGCTAATATAACAACCGCAGCAACAGCGCGAGACAGAGCGAGACAGAGAGAAGGCACTTTATGTGTACACACACATGCACACAACGCATAGCCGTGTGCGTAGAAGTATAGTATACACTATACATATAGCTAGCTTTATAGCTCGAAGACTGCTAGCTTACTATAGTGCCGTGCCACATGCGAAAGAAAGAGAGAGACAGAGAAGAGTTTTTGCACAGTGCACAAGGCACATAAGCAAGGGGGGCAGAGGCATAGACGCCGGAACGAAGAGAAGAAGGCACAATATAGAGAGAGAGAAAGAAAGAGAGTGAGGCAGCAGCAGCAGAGAACAGAATATACAGAAGAGAAAAGAGCCGAGGATGATCCGGGCGTAGTGTATAACAGCGCGGCGCAGCATAGAGAGAGAGAGAGAGAGAGAGAGAGAGTTGCAGCATTTGTGTCTGTCTCCGTTTTCGTCCGTGTGTATGCGTGTGCCGCAGCAGCAGCAGCAGCAGCAGCAGGCCAACGATTCTCTGCCGTGGTCGGTCGTCGTCGACTCTTCCTCGGGCGCAGAGCGCACCAGCAGCCGGAGAGAGCGAGAAAGAGAATCGGAGTCGTTGTACACGGCGGCGGCCAGAAGAAGTTGTGCGTGTTGTATATAGTATAGCTCCCGGGCAGCAGCAGCAGCATTACTAGTTACTATACGCGGGCGACAGATACATTATTTTTTTTTCATTTTTTTGCTTCGCATCGTTATTATTATTTTCCCCCCGCGCGCGCGCGCGAGTGGACTCTCGCCGTGCGGCTGGCTGGCTGGCTGCTGCTGCTAGTAGTAGTTTTATACACTGATGTGCCTTCGCTGCATGCGCACTACTACTATACCAACCAAATGGTGTATCATAAGAATCTCTCTCCGCAAAATCCGCTAAAGTGAGGATCTCGAGGTATCGTCGTCGCTACGGAGCAGTCGAGGACGACGTCGACGAGGAGGCGGCGGCGGAGGCGGAGGCACTGGAAGATCCGAACTGGAGAATGTCGTGGAGGCACCGACAGAGCCGATCCGTCAAGGACGACAGTTTTCCTTCCTCGATCAAGTCGTCCACGCGTGGCAGCTACAAGGATTCGGTACTATTTTCTTTCTTCTTCTCTTTTGGATCGTTCATTTTTTGTGTTTCGATAGAAATGCAACAGCACACTCGTACATACACACAGACATACATACACGCACGACATATATAAAATAATAACACGGACGTACACATACATTCACACACACAGGGGCATACGCTCGCCCATCATCATCATCATCATCGTGTGTCTACTGAGGTTGTGGGCCTTCCATAATACTTTTTTTTTTAGCAAGCCCCCGAATGCAATTCTAATGCTTCTCTCTTTTCGTACCTAACGAAGTGTATTCCACTCTGGAGCTGAGATATCGCTGCTACTATATGCTGTGTGCGGTTGTGTATGCTTGCTCAGGCTTTATATGGAAATGAACTGCACTTTGATAGAGCCTCTCTCAGAGTTTTTCACGTAACGAGGCTTTTTTGTATAGAGTCTTTTCTCCTTAGCGAATTCGCAGGGATTAAATCGTCCCAGTCGTGAAGAGCACACGACCGCGTTGTTGATTGTATGCTTTGGCCGTATCATTTTTGACACTTTGACTCGGCGAAAATCGACTACCCAATCGCTAATCAATAAACGTCTATTGTTCCATTATTTCTAGGTTAGACTTATTGAGCCATAAAAAAAAACGTCGTTCTATCCAATTATGTCCTTTATGTGCTTCAATTTGTTAACCATTAAAGATACTCTGTTGAGATTCAACTTTTTCTAAAGTTCTAACCTTATTTGTCATTATTTTCAGAACACCAAGTACAGTAGTTCCAAAAGTAGCTATTCATCCTCGAATCCATCTGACAGCAGGTATGAGGGGAGAATTCGTGATTCTCCAAATGGCAATTCCTACAGCCCAGCTGGTGGTCTGGGCATGGGACCCGATAGAGATAGTCCGCGAAATTACACTAAGCCAATATACAAAAAGGAGAGAGAAAACAGAGACTACAAGTTGTCCTCCTCTAGGGATAAGTATTCCGGTAGGTTATTCTGTCTAAAATCTGATCATTGTTTATTGAATTGCTCATTATATAATGTCACTTTTGTTAACATCAGAAAGAGTTAATGCATTCAGCACTTTCTGTCATAGTTTGACTAATCATATCTATTTTGGAGTATAATGAGGTCAATGAATAATGTATAATGCTTTTTATGAGCTAGCGAAAGATTGTTCAGCATTGTCATGTATTTTAGATTGCACGAGATCTCCAAAAGAAAAGAGAAGTAGGGAGTCTAGAGACTCCCACAGCGACAGGACCAACCATGATAGGAATAGTGGAGACGTGAGTAACTTTTTTATTACACAATTGCCATTTTATCATTGTTGGATACGTTTTCATTAGTCCAATAATTATATCATTCATAAAATCATTCATAAAATCATATAAACAGAAGTACTATTGGAAGTATAACATTATAAGCTCAATGAATGATCTCGTTTATCGTTACAGATACTCCATCCTATAAAAATATCTTCAAATTCATCGAGGGATTCCTCCCAAAGAAAGCCAACACATAATTCATACCAGGTAAGAGTTAATTCTATTTGAAAACTATCATTTTAGAAATGTCTCGATGATGCTCGTTGTGAACTGCGAATTAAACTTTTCTCAATACCCTTGCTGTTGATAATACAAAAATAAAACAAAGCATGATAACATTTTAAAGGACAAGCGTGGAGATGAGCGGGGAACGATGGAGCGTACGGCGAGATTCGGTGATTGGTCAGAACACATGAGCTCGTCGGGAAAGAAGTATTACTACAACTGTAAAACTGAAGTATCTCAATGGGAGAAGCCACGAGAATGGGTCGTCAGAACGGACAGTCGACAACGCCAATCGAACGACTACTCGTCCTCTCGATCCAGTGAGTACAATCGAGATTTAGTTGTAGCTAAATCATCATTTATTAATTCACGATTAATGTAACATCAGTGAAAACTATTGATCGCCATTTCTAAAGAAAGCCCAACTGAACACACGAATCGACGTTAGATGTCCCATACTTTGCAGGTCATGATAAACATTCCAACTCATCGCGGTCGAACAGCACCAGCGGCGGTGGTAGCGGTGGCGGTGGTGGCCAGAGCAGCAGCACCCGAGACATCGGCAAGTCCTCGTCGTCGCGCGGCCAGTCGGACAAACGTACGAACGACTACTGGAGCAGTCGAGAGGACGGGCGCGATCGCGATCAGCAGCGCGCCCACCAGGACAAGGACCAGATGATGGGCGGTCGAGATCGCGAGCGAGAACGCGATCGAGACCGGGGTAGCGGCATGGACGTTTGCCGAGACGACTCGGCGATGCTAGGCGGCTCTCAGCAGCAGCAGCAGCATCAGCAGCACGACCGGCAGGCCCAGGACATGGACATATCACCCGGAGGCTCGACACCCACGTCCGAGCCGGTCGTTGTATCCGGCGGACACGATGCCATGCAACAAGGACCAGTTCTTCTAGCCAATGGTATCTTATTCGTGTCCGCGTGACGATTTACGCATGTACAAACGTCGAGGCAGCTTTTAATTGTGTTACTTTTTTGTTGGATGCAGCACTGCCGCGTTTGTCATCACATCCAAGTGCGGGAGGACTAAAGCTAGGCTCGCCAACACAAAATCAACACCACAGTATAGGTTCAAGCAACGCGCCTGGTCCTCCGATTTCACTCTCGGATACGCAAAAAGCATTGCAAACCATACAGACACTTTTATCGCGACAAGTAAGTCGATTTTCATCGAGATCCCTTACGTAATTTAATTTTATGGTTTATTAATTGGCTCGATGATTTAATTACAGTCATCGAGTGATGGTAGAAATTGTTCCGGCGATGTTATGACTCCTTTGAAAATTGACACTAGTAATAATGCTCCAATCGAAGGCCCACCAACGCCAACGCACTCAGAAACACTGGACGGCACAGATGCTCGAAGAAGTAATTATTACAATTCTCAGTGAGAAAATGATCTAGCCCCTAAATACATGAATTTTATATTTTTGATTATAGTGAACAGTCCCAGTGGTGTCAATAACAGTATGCAAGGTATAAGTTCCCTGCAAAACATCAGTAGTTTAGGTAACCTCAGTAGCTTAGGAAACGGTGGCGGCTTGCAGGCATTATCGCGCGTGCAGCCACCGCCTACTCCGTCGCTTACACCCTCGCTTGCCAATCATTATCGGGAAGATTTGACTCAGCACGTGCGAGCCTTCCCCGCGGATATTCTCGAGAAGCAGGTGATTATCTTGAAGTTTTTGCGCGTCAAATATAGCTGCTTTTTCATTTGCTAATGTTCTGCTCGATTTATAGGCACAAAAACTGAGCGAAGAAGCACATACAATGGGTAGTCTACAGTGTACCAGAGTATCTGCAGAACTTAAAACTGCTCGATCGATAGTGAGGCTTACGGAAATTCAAGCCACGCTTCAGGAACAAAGGTTCGTTTTTTATATTTAATATATACGCTAAAATTACCTAATGCACCTTAATAGATGAGACCGGGGTTCTCTCTTAAACTTAGTCATTTACATTCTCACCGTAAATATTGCAACTGCTCCCTTTTTCAATATTCAATTATCTTAACCTTTTAATAAGGTATAAAATTGGCCTCATTTTTCAAACTAAAGCGGGAAATAATTTGCTTAAAATTAATACTTTAACGCGTTTTTACAAGAACTTCCCTATTTTCAGGATACTATTTCTTCGTCAACAAATTCAGATGCTGGAAGAAGTCAAATCCCAAAATTCCTTTATGTCTGACGATTCTTAGTGTAAGAAACTTTATAAGAAATAATTATAATGGATAATAATAATTATGAGCTATAATTAATTCAATTTCAACAAACAAAAACAAAAAACATTACTTATTAATATCTTTAACAATAATATTGATAAATTAAGGTTGTACCTAAAAGTTATAATACTACAGAAATAGAAGTGATATATACATAGTATAAAGATTTGATGGGGCTTATTATGTACCCAAAAATAGGAGGCCGAACGAGTCTTATTTAATAATATTGCTAATTAGTTGAACTACCTCCTTGGGTCACACGAGGCCTACTTCAATCGTTACAAAAACTCGTGATGAACATAAATCAGAAATGAACTTCAATTGAATATTAAAATAAGCTTAGTGAAAAAAAACTACGCATACATGAATGAAAACCACACATTTCGCGCCCAACACTTGCACTAAATAATTAGGAAAAAAAGTAATAGTTATTAACTAAGGAAAAAAGAAAATAAATATCGTAAGCGAAAAGTAAATATGATTTACTAGGATTTTTGATTCGACTTACATTTCAGTGACGACGTGTTGTATTCGATCTGTCAAGTAATAATTGTCTCGTATCACCTGCGTTGTATGTGTCAGTGTTTCATACCCATCTCCTAAGCGTCATTGCAGCATTTTCGATTTGAAACCGAAAATTAGCGATCTTTGCTGTTAAATCTCTTAAAATGAAATTTATGCAATTGGTTTTATGAGAAAAAAAATTATAATATCAGAACATTATGGTCCTTTATAATTACTTGTTCACATTTAAATATTTTCTTCCAAATCTCATGATTCCACGAATTGTGTTGTTTTGTGTACAGTCATGTTATTATTGTAATATAATTAGTAAAAGAAATGGAGCGAAAGGATAACTGCTGCGAGTATTGTAATACTAATGCACTTATTTGAATATACACGGTTGATAAGCGTTCTCTTTTTATAATACGATTGTAGCACCAAGGACCGATGCAGATATTTCAAAATTCTTACTTTTGCATAGCGCTTTTATAAATAACTAGTGATTTTGTAAAAGTAATTTATAATATACAGTTTTGTAAATATATCTGTATGTAATTATTTATTCCACCGTTTAAGTTAAAATAAAAATCACAGGATATTTTATAATTTAAATTTTTTCTATATGACTTTTAGACTTTGAACTTAACACGAATTAGACACGGATTTGTAATAAAAATTGTCTTTTGTTGTCGATAACTACTGTTTTCATCATTTCCAAATTCATTTATTATTAAAAAATGAACTCTATTTTCACTTATGTTTTTGGATTTAGTTTTGGAGGAGAGAGGAAAGACATTTTTTGAAGGTAAAATTCATTGAAAATAAAGCAAATATTTTACCAGAAAAATCAGCCATTTTATCCATTGTTTTATTACAATGAATAGTTTTTTTTACATTATTAAATTACATGTTAGCATATTCTTAGGGTATGATCCAAAGAATTTCAGCGCTATGCTCCTTAATACGTTCATTTTTACACTATATTACAAGAAATTGCTTGTGTCAACAATCGAAAAAGCAACAGGAAAAGAACAATGAGAATTTAAAAACGTTATTAAAAAAATGGTGTAAGTTCATCCATTGCAGAGAACTAAAAAATTCTTTGGTTCAGACCTCTGCACTTTCCTTGATTAATTTATAAAAAAACATTTTGCATGTTTCGGAAAATGTTAAGTAATCCTATGAAAACAATGGAGTATTAATTTTCGAATTCTGCACTCTTTCAATCAAATTAAAACATACGGAGGACAAATTCAAGAATTCATTTTAATACAAGATATAACGTTCATAGCAGATCTTTTCTTTGAAACAAAATAATCATTTTTAAAAAGTAAACAAAATAGTTAATCAACAAACTTTATAATCAGTAATGACAATTTTCAAACAAAAGGTCTCAACGAAAGTTCGATACTTGACAGTGCACTCTCACATACGTAGTTCACGATTGTGCTATCGCCAACCAAGGGCGATACATCAGCCTCAACGAATATAAAAATTTTTTCATTTTCTTTTTTCATTCTTATTTTACGGAGGAAATCAAACTCTTTGTCGCACGCAGAGATAATCTGTTATAATATCGCTGCTAGAATTATAAAATTTCTATTTGCAAGGTGAACATTCTCTCGATTTCTAGATGCATCAAAAATTTTTACTTTGAATTTTTTAATTCATTTCAAGAATTATTTTCATTATTTAATAGTCAGTCATTTGTAGTTAAATCGTTCTCTTTCAAATTATTATTATAAGCTAACATTTATATTCGTTAAAAGAGCACTGCAGACTATAATAATTGTTTCAATAAGGCCTCGGATTCTAACAACTTTTACAATTTCGGGCTTTACAATAAAAAGTTTTTCTTTTTTGTCTTAATTGATATTGTTTTTTACAATTGACTGAATTTTCGAAACGTTAAATTAAAAGCTATAAAATAAAGTCAGTATCATGAGATCATAAAACAAATTGCACGAATTAGTCGTGTGATGTCAAAGCATAATTTTATGGTCAAAATTAAACATTAAATAAAAGCCATGAGTTTTTTAAGTCCTTGATTGATAAGTCGTCAGGCGAAGTTGAAATTTAATAATGTAGAGTTTTTACTTTAAACTTGGCAGTACTTTAATCCATCTTTTGGATTTTAGTTGTCGATCGTTTAGTATCGAAAATACGTCTGAAGCTTATAGAGAATGTTCACGATTGGTAATTTCTAGTTATCATTAACATTTACTTATCAGTGGCATAGCAAGAAATTTTAATTATGTTTTTTTCAAATTTATTCGTAATTTATAAAATATCAATCGACTATTTATTGAATCCTTGACATGTCTGATATTTGTTCAAATATTTTGAATGATTTCCTATCATAAAAATAGCGAAAGTTGGAATAAAATTCATCATTTCACTAGAGTTTTTAATAAATTGGCGTGAAGAATATGCCAATGTGATTAAAAATTAAAAATTAACATTGGTTCATTATTTATTTGTCATCACGAATGTCAAGGTATCATAAATTGTTGCAATTGAAATCAATTTTAAACTGAAATAGTAAAATGAGACTCTTATTTTTAATAATCGAAGTGCCAACTGCATCCATTTACTGTTCAAACAGTAGAAAAAGATATAAATATCCAGATTGAACATTTTTTCCAATTCAATCAGTATAATTCTAATCGATCATCGCACATGAAAAAAATAACGCTGCTGCGAGTCAATTCAATAGCACGCATATCATCTCATGTGATGATGATCATTACAGTCTCTCATTGATGAATGGTATGTATGCGTATTCATGAAATTGAAACAATTTTATTTAATATTAAATATATAATTTTTATCCAATCTACATGAAGATCAAAAGTCTTTCAGACCGTCAGTTGCAAAAACCTTTAGACGTTCTCCGGATCTGTACAAATAGTTTATTTTACAGGATAAGAAGCAACAACGAATCGTCGTCTCAAACGTTTTTTTTCCATTCGCGTGTCCTCTATAATTATTACTATTGTTATTTTCTTTTTGCTTTTTGAATTGTCGCCTCCAAGATTTATTGACGAGAATTAAAAAAACATAACACTTGCAGCACAAGGTTGCACGTTGCTTTCATATTCTTCGAAATTTCGAGCAAACACGTCTACGCACTGAATCAATAACGGTTAAGATTCATCGTTACAGTGGAAGACGATGTGAAGAGACAAAAACTTTTTTTGATGAGGAAACGTTAGAAAATATTTTACATCGCTCGAAATTACGAATAAAAACAACTCGATTGCATAAATATTTTAATAAGCTCGATTTTAAATTCAAAAATGATTCATTGCACCACGCGCAACCTTCTGCTTGTTTTTGCACGATGGCTCTTATCACAAAATCAAAATAGTTCTAGGCAGGACTTCCGAAAATCATTATCATCTTCATGCAGTAGATAAACAATTACAATGTGCGCTTCGATCACTGGACACTTCTTTTCACAGTGTGCATGTGTACAAAGACAAAAATAAAATCGTACGGCGAGCTTTATTTTCGGAAGTCCGATACACTTAAACAAAAAAGAAATATATTATGTACCCTACGTAATGTTGATAAATTTGCCTAAAAACTATAATATTCGTAATAAACGCTCAATCTCCCTCCATTATTATTGTATGTAATAATTTCCCCATTGACAGCAAAACACTCAGAGGCTAACTATGTGTATCTATGTACGCACTTCATCTTTTTTTCAAAAACATATGCGTCCGTAATGTTATTTAAAGTTATACATATATTTATATAATTTATAGTTTTTACATATATGTTCTTTCTAACATATACATAATAAAATTGAAACAAAAATGGCATTCAGCTTATTTAACGTATCTATTCTTCTCGAGTATAATTAACTTTTATATATGTATGTATGTGCAATAAGCGAAAACTTTCAGTACAGTTTCCACCCGTACAAATTTTCTTATTTTGTTCCGTATAAAAAAAATATACAATTTCAATTGCGTGGCTAATCACTACGTTGGCCATCATCATCGTGGCTCGACCGTTTTTTTTTGTACTCGTCCGAATGCCATTTTCTCACGTGTACCTAGCTCATGATTTTTTTTCACTTAATAATAATAAATCTATATTACAGTTTTCGTCACTTGGAGAGTGCTACGATATTTTAGTGACGCTCGTAGGACTGACCAGTGCACGCTTTAAAGAGTTGACCTATCTAAAAAATATATAATTGTAATAGTGTTTTACATGTAACTTTTCGTCTTTTTTGTTTATTTTCTTATTTTCATGTCTGTTACTTCCAAAATGAATCGGAGTTGATTATACGCGTAAATGTATAGGCAGTTTTCGAGAAAAAAGACTCGTTCAATAATTTGATAGTGGCATCGTCGAGATGCCAATTTAAATCTTTTTTATTTTTATTAGAACAACGCATATCGTTGATTATAGATTCTTTAATTTAAAGAACCTTCGTTAATAAAACCAGCGAATCTTTTTTCGCGAGTGTATTTTTTCTTCGAATTACATCGCAAAGTGATCCATTGAGAAATAATTAAAGGACAACATTCAAACGCAGTTACAATAACTGCGATCACAGATTAGTATTCAATAGCGTTAAGCATTGTGTCAACACAGAGAAAAAATGAAATAGACCGTCTGACGAAGACATTGAAAAAGTAACTAACGTTGATGATGATACCAGGAACGTTCTCTTGAACTTCAATCGTTATCATTAATTCGTTTCGCGATTTTGTATTTCACTCTCGATCCGGGTCCAGCCTCTTTAGAGTATTTATCGTTGATAATTTTTGAAGTTAATCATTAGTTATCTTCAACACGACTTTAACGCAGAATCACTGAATGAATTGCATGATTTATCGTTAATTTTTTTCTTTACAAAATTCGCACGATGCAACGTTACGACGCGCTAAAACACTAGTACAAAAAACGCACACGAAACGAATCACTTTGTACAAAATGAAGAAGAAAAGTTACGTTCATTTATGAAGAAATAAAACCAATAGATAAGAAATTGTCTTCACCGCACTACATGCCTTTCTCTCTTGGTACAACAATTTCTTTTGGTTGGTAGATCGAATTGATGCTCGCACTCCGTTAAAATGGCTAAAGCTAATTCAACCCCTTCGTTGACGTATCACGTTCTTAACAGTACATTCGATAAAATCTGACGGTAACAATCCATTGGCCTTACTGTCGAGAAATTCGCCGCACTGCTTTCTTGATTTTTCTTGCAGGTTGAGCACTGATAAAATCAAATTTACAAATTAGAACGATGAACGAAAATTTCAATGAAATCGTGTATCTAATGAGTTTAACTTACTTGAATGCCGGAGGAGCACCACCACTACCCGCAGTAAAATTGAACGTCGGCTGGGCGTTAGGGTCAAACGCAATAGGTCCTCCAGTGCTGCCTGGAGCATTGAAGTTAAAACCACCTGAAGAAGGTGCTGAGCTCTGTAAAAAATTTTTTTTAGTTACTATTTTTAAAACTCTGTGAACAACTCTAGAAAATTGAGAAATTAATAAAGATAAACGTACACCACCGAAGTTGAAACCGCTGTTTGCTGCTGGTGCGCTGGCGCCACCAAAATTAAAGCCAGTGCTTGCTGGAGCCGGGCTAGAGAAAGAATTTGTAGCTGCTGCCCCGCTGAACAGAGAATTTTGGGCAGGAGTTTGACCAAATCCGTCGGTTTTAGCTGGCGCGTTGAATGAGAATGATGGTGTAGCTGCCGGGGTACCAAAGCTATTTGCTGGGGTAGTAGTTGAACCAAAGCCATTTCCAACTGGTATGTTGCTCGAAGCGCCAAATGTAAAAAGATTCTTTGATTCGGTACTTGGTGCACTTGGCTTGGTATTCGAACCAGCCGAAAAATTAAACGACGCCGATGGTGCCTGTGCTGAAGATTGTCCGAATGTAAACAATCCTATAATAAACGAAAATAACAAATTCAATGAATTTTGAATCAAATAAAATCTTTCCGGCATTTCGAATTATAAAAAACAATAAATTACCTGGCGTGGGAGCTGATGTGTCGGCTGGCTTGGCAGGGCCACCAAACATTCCAGTGGTAGTACTAGTGTTAGTCGCACCAAAACTTGGTGCGGCTGAAACAGTTGTGTTCAGTGGATTCGCATTGCCAAACAAGCTCGGAGTCGTTGACGGCTGAGCGTTGAAAGTTGCCGCAAATCCTCCGCTTGCCGGTTTATCGCTAGTAGAACCAAAAGCTGGAAGTTTGCTTTCCTGTTGGCTCGGAGTACTGCCAAAACTGGGTATCGTTTTGTTTTCCGTTGAACCGAACATCGGTTGTTTGTTTTCTGTTGAAGAGGCAGCTGGCGTTGCGTTGCCGAACAGAGACGGTAAACTTTCTTTACTTGTCGAAGCACTAAAATTGGGTGTTGCTGCAGTTGCACCAGCATTGCCAAAAGTCAACGTTGGTGTCTTAGTTTCATTTTGTGGTGTTGCCTTTTCGGCCGACTGACCGAACGAGAACGGTTTGATTCCACCAAAACCTGTTTCACTGGGTTTCGGCTGAGCTGAAAAATTGAAGGAAGCTGTCGAAGTGTTATTTTCATTCTTTGCGTTGGAACCAAAACTAAATTGTGGCATTGCCGGTTTTGGAGAATCCGTTGTCGTGGGTCCACCAAAATTGAGAACTGGTTTGGCTGGCTCTTCCTTGGCTTCAGTACTTTTGGTTGTTTCATTTTCTTTGGGTGTGACTGTCAAAGTAGTACTCTTAGACGGGTTGAACATAAAGTTGGCTGTTGGTAAAGTTGTAGATTGTGTCGAAGATGGTGTTTCTTTGTTTGCACTTGTATCATTGCTAAGTGAAACAGCAGGGACTGCTGCTGGAGTCGACGTTCCAAATGAAAATCCAGTGGACGCTGGTTTTACCATAGTCGTAGAATCGGTTTTCTCTTCTTTTTTCTCAGTTGAGGATGTAGCGCCAAATACAAATCCAGACTCAGCTGGTTTAAGAGCATCTGATTTTTGAGCTCCAAATGAAAAACCACCTGTGGTATTAGATTTTTCAGCTTCTTTGTCATTTGCTGGTTTGATTCCAAACTGTACCGTGGCAGGGGTTTCATCTTTCTTTGTGCTAGGTATACCAAAACTGAATCCAGTTGCTGGTGCGGGTGTGTTCGAAGTATTGCCAAAACTAAAACCATTCGTTTTGGGCAATGTTGATGAGGCTTTGCCAGGAGAAGCATCAGCTTTGTCAACACCAAACTTGAAACTGCCGGCATTGGCTGGCATGTCGCACTTGAATTGCAAATTCGATTTAGAAGTCGAACTTCCTGGTTTAGGTGTTTCACAAGAAATGCACTTGCTAACATCAGGTTTATTTGGAACCATGCATGTATCACATGTCCAAGTGCCTTCTGGTTTTTTAAATTGATCCCCAAAACTACTCTTAATTGTTGGCATAGATGTAGTGTTGGACGCTGGAGCCGCGCCTGGTTTAGGCGTTTGACAGGCTGCACATGTGACGTCATTTGCTTTGTTTGGAACCATGCATGTATCACAAGTCCACGTTCCTTCTGGTTTTTTAAACATATCTCCAAAACCGGAACCTTTGTTTGTTACATTATTAGACACAGTTTCGGTCGTAGTCTTGGTACGGCTGGGGCTCACAAGGAAACTACCTGGTTTTGCAGTATTGCAACATGGGCAAGTAGAAGCTGACTCTGGATTGCGAACCATACAACAAGGACATTCCCATGTAGGTTTTTGCGATTTTAAGGCATTGAACAGTGGAGAATTCGAAACTGGCATCCCAACTTTATTTGGTGTGACTGATGACAATGAGTTTGAAAATGGTTGTTGCTTGTCTTTTGCCATGAAAGTATCTTTCATCGGCGGTAGTTTGGAATTAATTTGATTAATACTGGGTCGAGATTTATAAGTTGGTTTGGAAACTTCGCTCGATTTTTTCTTCTTCATTGGTATTTCTTGAATATCTGAAGAAATAAGTTAATTAGAAAATAAAATTTATTATTGATATAAAACATAATAACGACATAATAACGACATATTTACCATCATCATCACTACCGTCAATAATTTCAATATCGTCTGAACTATCTTGTCTGTGTCTAGGACTCTTGCATGAGGTGCAATTCGTTGATTTTCCACTATTTTTAATCAGGCATTCATTACATTCCCATCTGTCTGTATCTTCCTCAACTACAACTGGTTTTTGAGCAAAATAATCCATTACACTAGCGCCTTTTTTCAATTCACTTGCTACTTTTGGCATTGGACTGGATTTCTTTTCCTCAAATTTGCTGTCTTTTTCTTTCATTTTGATCGTAGTAGATGTCGGTGCAGTCCACATGAAATTGGGAAATGATGAAGTGCGGTTCATCGTGTCATTGGATTCAACGCTCAATGTGCGTGATAATTCATGAGACTCGTTCATCGACACATTACCCGAAGTCATTTTACTTGGCGTAATTGGTTTACTAAACGTAAAATCATTGATGGTTTCAAGATTTTTTGCGTTTTCATTAAATTTAATAGGTGAAGCAAATTGGAAGGAGTCATCCTTATTTTGAAGCCGATTTTGTGGCGTTGACGGCTTGGCAATAGTTACTGGCTCCAATGATTTTGCTGGAGCTGAAGGTGTACTTGGCTTTGTGCTCTGGGGTAATGCAAAGTCAAAACGAGGAAGATTTGTAATGGGTAATGCTACTGAAGGAAGATTTACAGCTTCTACAGTTTCTTCTTCATCAAGCTTAGATTTCTTCTTGGCTTTAAGTAAGTTACGCTGCGGCATTTCTTTTTCTTCTTCCACTTCTTCATCAATCCTTTAAAAGAAATAGTTTTTTATTTAATGTTTCCTGAATTTTTAAAAATACTTTTTAATAGTTATTTAATTGTCTTACCTTAAATGATATTCTTGGGTAGCAGGTAAGAGTCCACTGTTACTTCTGGCATTCATGATTTTTCTGGCATTAGCTGTGGTGTTTTGAAGCCTTTGCTTTCTTCTTAATCTAAGAATATCTGGTACAGTTGGAACATTCAGTTCACGAGTGAGGTGTCTCAGTCCAATTTTTGGTGTTGATGTTTCTTCTTCTCTCGCACGCTTACGACTAACTGACGGTGACATAATATTTCGCACAGGCATTTTTTTTGCATCAGTCAATGGTGAAGAAAATTGTTCTAGAGTTTCTAAAATTTTTCTTGCAGTGTGACTCATAACTGATGAGTCCATTTCAGATTTGTTTTCAGATGGTTTTACTTGAACACTTGTACGTTTTGGAGCTTGTAGATTCTGTAATAAATTAATATTAATAATATTTGTTAATTTGCATTAATCATAGAATCAAAAGAATAATAACTTACTAAAGAGTCAGATAAAGTACTATTACTTCTTCTGTAAAGATTTGCAGCATTAGCTCCTCCAAACATTGTGTTACCCATGTAGAAGGGCGATGTTAATGATGAAGACCTTTCCAAAGCATTGCTGGTTGCCAAACCTGCATTGAAGCTTGGCTGCCTGCTACTCAAAGTTTCCCTAGTAGAAGAATCTAAAAAGAGTGATCTTGAAGATTGCAAGTGATTTGCTGAAATAATTTAATTTTGTTTAGTATATAATTTGAATGATTCATCAATAATAAACCATAAATATTTCTTAACTTACTAAAACTAAGTTTTTCATCAATGTATCTCCTTTTGCTTCCAAAAGAAGAACTAAAATGGCTTATATTGGATGGTGCTTCTTTATTTTGAGGAATTAAGGAGCTACAACCACTTGTGCTTTCTCCTGACTCTGAATTATTGTCAGTACCATTAGCTGTACCATTGCTTCTTTCTGACATTAGTATGTTTAGCGTTGGTCGCGTATCAGGAATTTTGTGGGTTTTAGAAATTGGAAATGCAGGGGTTGAAGATACAAAGTTATGTAATCTTTGTCCAGCTGTTGAAGGCTCTAGAAAGTCTTGAGCCTAAAAAATAATAAAATTTGAATTTAATAAAAAGTTTTACGATTATCAAACAAAATGTTATGGTTATATTGAAAGATAATTACAGTGTCATTGTGATTTGACTGTTGTTCTTTGGATTCTTTTTCTGCTTTAGCTAGATTCCTGTTTGTACGTTTTATAGAAAAAGTTCCTGGTGGATGTGTGACATCCATGCGTATACATGGTCGCTTCGACGGTGGTGGTTGTGATAGTTTATCTTGATATTGATCATTGTCTTCACTGGCTTGTAGCTCTTCTTCATCATGTGAATTATTGAACCACTTACTGATCCATGAATTTTGTGGCATTAGATCTGAGACTTTTGTGGCTACTTTTCTGACAAACGACTGAAATAATAATGCATCGTGTTAGCCATCTTTGAAAGCTTTCTCTTTATTTGAATTGTATAATTTTAAATTAGCCTCAAGCATTCTGGGCTAGTACAGTACATGGTATTCTAAAGGTATTTATAAGTGAATATGGGGCAAAGATAATTAGCAGCGGTGCTGAATAAAGCTAATGACATTTGTGTCATTTTCATAAGTCATAAGAAGTCAACATCAACATCATGAACCAAGTCTAAGCATATTTTTCTGTATATGAGTCGAGAACGCACACAGGCGTACACAGATATACACGTGCGTGTGTATAACTGCGTCGATTCCTGCACGCTGCGAAACATTTCGCAATCCTACAAATGCCATGCCCCATAGAGTCAATGCGGTGGCATGAAAAATGCGTGCTGTATCTATCGCTCGCTCGGCGGGGCTTTGTCTAACGCCACAAGCGCCTATGTTATATATCGAGAGCAGCAGCGTATGTTATACATATAAAAGTGAAAGCCGAGCCGAGAGAAATGCATTTTTATAGCGTATCACGAGGTCGGAGTTTACGCGAATGCAAATCGTATGCAGTAGCGCACACGCACACATGCTCATCATCACAGGTCGCAGATATATATATGGAAGTGGCGTGTGCACGCGCTTCATGAGGATGAGGCAAAAAGTAGCATAAATTGAGAGGTTATAAAAGCGTGGAGAGAGAATGAGGCACACGGAAGGCCGAACGAGCGACAGAGAAAGCAAGCGAGAATAACGCGCGCGGGAAACATCATGGGGCAAAGGGAGCTCAGGAGAATGAAAGAGAGAGAAAGATAGCGAGATAGCGAACAGCAAAAAGGCTATCCTACTGTGGCTAACGCAAAGTGCAACAGCAGATTATAATTAAAAAGACCCACACGAAGAGCGAGAGAGACGCGAGAGTAAATAACGAGTATACTCATAGTCTTCTCTCTCGTCATAGAATTTGCACTAATACGAGGGTACTCACGTTATTAGGATCGTAGGGTGCATTCCTATTGCTGGTCGACGATCGTCTACTCGACGACGACGACGACGACGACGGACCCTCGAGGCTATTGTTGTCCTTGGCCATTGCTTAAGACGATATAATTCGTATGTAACTGCTACTACGCGCGCCGTGACTGGGTGATAATTGTAATAAAAAAAAAAGGAAAAAAAAACGGATTCCTAAATTTCTGCACGCGCACGCACGCACTACACACGCACGACACGACGCACACACTGACGCACGACACTGTCTCTCCGTGCCGTGTGCCGTAACTCTGCAGATATCTCCGCGTGCTGCCCAGTGCTGCTGCTGCTGCTGCTGTAGAATCCAACGACGACAACTATATACGACCGACGACGACGACGACGACGACGACGACGACGACGGCGAAAGACGATGACGCACTCTCACATACACACGCGGTGGCGATGTATCATATACGTTACGATATATAATAAAAACGTTTATTGTACATGCGTAGTCGAGAGGGTAAATTCTACCACATGCACACACTTGCTTTTTTTGCTCCGAAAATCACCGTGTTCTTTTTTTTTTTTTCTATCTTCGATCCTTTACCACCTCACGCGCTTATCACTTTTGCAACGTGGTGTATAGCGTGTAGTTATACATTTATTGAAAAACGGCAGCGCGAGAGCGACGAAGGCACGCGGCTATAATATATAACGCGTTTATGTATGTGTGTGTGTTCTCCTCTATACGCGCTCTATGTTACGATATATCGCGCGACGAGAGAGAGAGAGCCTATTCTCTATACTCCTCTCTTTCTCCTGTTACTGGTTTTATATACAGCAGAGAGAGAGAGAGAGAGAGAGAACAAAATGCTCTTTCGCATAGAGCCACCACCTGTGTCAGAGTGTGTGTGTCTCTTTCTCACGCTCGGCGCGAGCGACGACGCACCACGAGTGTCCTCGATGACGACGTTGTTGTCGTTCAAGCTGCTACTGTTGACACGCGTTTGTCTTCTGATAAGATTCATAAACCAAACTTCATATGCTCGAGTCGAGGAAATGCAGCAACGAGACGAGTACGACCGCGACGACGTTGAGTGGTCCTCCTCGCGTGTGCGCACTGTAACAACACGAGAGCACTGCTACTGCTGCTCCGATGAACACGCATTGACTTTTTTGATGCAACAAATACGTATATGTGTTTTCTCGATTGTTTACACACACACACGCACACTGTCTAATCCCGCGAACGCGAACGCGAACGACGACGACGACCAACGACCGACGACGCGACGTCGACGTCGAGAGTGGATGAGAGATGGATATTAACGTTGGTGTACGCGCGCGGGAGAGTGGGATGCGCGACAAAAAAGTCAGTTTCTTCTCTCGTCGCAGCGCAACTTCGCACTGCACACGCAGGAGGCTCTAGGGTTATAACGCGCGATATCTATCCTATAATATTTGCACTACGGACTACGGAGTACGGCACAGCACAGTGCGCGCCGTGCCTCGCGCAGCCTAGTACATATATAGGTATATTGTAGTAGTAGAGTGCAAAGGCAGCAGCACTGCATGCGATGCACGCACACACACACACACACACACACACAATTACACAAATGTATAAGCGACGCGACGACGACGACGCAGTTTCTTTGCTCTTTGCAGCAAACTATACATAGGTATATTAAACCGTCTCTTTCTTTCGCCTTATTATGTATGCGTCGGTGCGGATATCGTATTTACAGGTATATTAGAATGCGGAGTCCTCTTAGCGACGCATTTGTAAAAACGTCCTTTTATTTATTATGGATAAATATTAAATAACGCCGTGAATGAGATTTGCGAGGTTGTGTGCGGCGCGCCTGCATTCGCGTTTGCACGCGATGCACGCGGCCGGGCAACGTTTTCTCAGTTTTGCGGCTTTCGCTTCGAATCTCGTTTATTTCATGAAAAAAAAACCAACGTTTTGTATAGCAATATAAAAGTATATCGTCTCGACGGATCGTGGATTTTCTTGGCATCGTTGCAGTTGAATATTCGAATTCACAACGACAAATCGAATACAGTCTTCTTCTTTTGTTATGAACAATAAAAAATTCTCAGATTTACTCACCTGTAACAGTAGGTAGGTCAGTAAATCTCGAGGATAATCGCGATACACGATGGGACGACTTGACGAAGAAGAATAAAACCCTGTCAGTATTCGGTCAAGTCTCCCAACGCATATAGGACAGGACAAACACACAAACGTTGACCATAAATTTCTGCGAATTGGTCTTTTGAATTTCTCGGCGTTCCTTTTGTTTCTAGTACCTTTCGAGTTGGCACTTTTTTACGAACGAAAATCCCTATCCACGTATCTCACTATATCGAGTTCAACATGCATGATAATAATAGCGTTCCATATGCAACCAACGGCTCATCGTTCGTTGTTACATCAGTTTTCCTTGGAGTCTGTCAGTAGTGTACAGCAGATCGCAGCAGTTGTATCGTCGGATCGGTATCAAAGATGCAGGCGTCAAATGCGTTTGACTTGGAATCTGTAAAGTCGGAGCAATCCTCGCACGCTGTATAACGATCTATTCTCCAATTACGATATGTGAGTGCATTTCAAGTTAATGTTAGAATATTATCGGCCGCCAATAAGTTATTACAACCTAAATTGTGCGCACGGCATGCAACGAACTGAAATATGACGAAAAATGTTATGGCGATTCTCTGTAGGAATACGATTGCTTGCAATTTCCGTTTTATTCTAAAGGTTGCTGGCATGAAACGTCTATCTCCGTGACTAAATAATACCAATGTAAGTACTTCTTATCTGTATCAAGCGTAGTAAATCTCACAAGTTCCAATCGAATTCTGAGTGAATTCGCCCTTCTTTCTGAAAATTATTTTTAAATACATTTTGATGCAACATATTGAATTCCGAACGATCAAATTTTATTCGTAAACACTTGACACAAAAGCAATTTATCTTCATAGCTCAAGTACTGGACCAATTCTTCGAAAGCATAACAGGAAGTTTGCCCTGTGTCAATTGCATTATATACTTTAATCCAAAATCCGTAAAAACTTTGAATTGATAATCGTCCAGAAGTCTGAATTTTTCAATAAATTATATCTATTTTGGGGATAGATGCGCAAACTTCCAAAAGAGACACACCATTTATTATCTTCAATTTTTTTAATTTCTACTAAAATTTCAGCATCATATTTAAGAACGAATTTCTCTTCGAAAATTTTTCTCTTTGAAATTTTTCTGCAGTTGTTGCAGGCAATCCTTTCAATAACACATCATCATCATCATCATCATCATTAAATTTATTTTTCGCAAACTCCTGAAACGAACAAAGTTGTGCCGAGGAACCTGTCAAGATATAAACTGCGTTAATTGCACGAATGTTACAAACTATTTTTATTAAATCTTACCAACAAGTAGTATAAATCTCTGATGAATTGTGGGTTCACTAAAAATAACTTTATTGACCAAAAATTTCAACAAGGTCAAACAGCTTGATTCATTCGTTTTATGTCCTTTTTTAATTTAACAATCTAAAATTATAACAGTTTTCATTATTTCGTTTAACCATTTTACGCGATCATTATTATATTTCCTGCGGAACTTCGAGAGGTCGATATACTTTGCATATCGGCTCCACGTTTTAAAAGGGCCTTAACCACACCCAAGTTATTGCTTAACGCAGCTAATTGAAAAGGTGAATCGCGATTATCGAACGAACGAACTCGGCATCTGCGCGAGAAACTGTAGGGAAGATTTTTCCAGCCATGGGCCGTGGAATCTTTCTCCGAGCTGATACGCCACCGCCTGCCGATAGTGTGAGCTGTGATATCATCATCGATGGATTAATGAACCAAGATTTGTTGAATATTTGCTTGGCGGCTTGTTGAAACCAAAACTCGCGATGACTCTTGCATTTCGTGTAACCGCATTACTATGAGAATAACGAAAAATTGTATACACGTCGGTAAAAAATTGCAGCAAGGCTAATATGCGTATCTTTATACGTACGGATGATTGAAAAAAAATCATTGGTATTGAAATATAATGTTAATAATAACAATCGGACCGATGAGTTTTACGAAAAAAATATGTACATACAAAATAACTGCTTGTGATATTTCTTAATTTATAATGTTATTTTTTCATAAAACAAGCCTTATTATTGTTAATGGCAATCCAGACGCTTTTAATCAATAGATGGAATAACTCGATAAATAATGCACTGATCAAATAGGCCTATTTTTCGTTGAAAAAAGCTACATGTCTTATAAGTTTCATTATCTTGTAGCTTTGCTTATTGCAAACTCATATGCAATCGAAAAAATAGCCGTATTTTGTTTTTTTCTTTAACTATCGCATAAGGAAATGTACTCATACCAAAGTTATCTAGTCATCTCAAAGAATATCTCCCATTTTCGTTTAAACGAATTGCTTATTAGAAAAAATAAATTATTTATCACTGGTTTGGCTAGGGTACTTTTGCTGCGCATGTCCAATGCACCGAATTTAGTGAGCGATGCTCAGCGTCGACTTCCTGCCTAACTTTCTCTTTCATCTTGGGAAGGTATCAAGCTTCAATATCTAATAGCATCTAAGCAGTTCAACTCCACATGTTGCGTCGTTCTAATCGTTTTACGAATACACAACCTATAAAAGAGGTCTCATCTACACGTGTTTTTAAATTAGTGAAAAAATATTGAAATTTGTAATTTTTAGTGTTTTTTTGGTGTTCGTGAGTGCTTATAAACATGTCCAACAACGAATCCAGTGTAAGCTATAATAATAGAAAATATCTAGAAGTGTACGGGTACTTGTCGAAAAATGTCACGTGGGAGATTCAAGAGGATCGACGTGAATTTCTTTATCAACTCGATGCCGTCATCAAAAATTGGAAAGGCCAACTTCCAAATCTTCTAGACTTCTTCCGGAAAGAAGTGATTTATTGGCTTTTGATGGAATCCGCCACAGACGCAGATGAAGACGCAAATGAAGACGAAGAAGAAGACGAAGATGAAGACGAAGATGAAGACGCCAGCGAGACACCAGGGGAACGATTCATCGATTTTGTGGCTCGCAGCGGCTACAAAGACGCGCCCGAAATGGATAAAGACGGAAAGCCTCTGTTGCGTCGCACCACATTAGTCCATCGTGCGTTTCGAAATAATCGCAGTTACTACTTAGTCTCTGATCTCTTTAAAATATACGACAAATTTGACGTAAATTACATGGACGAAGATGGATTAACACATCTTCACGTGGCTTGCTGGTATGGCCTCGACACCATCGTCGAAAAATTCCTTGAACTCGGGCAAGATCCCAACGGCTTTTCTCAAGACATGGGCGCGAGATATCCTGATCCGCCGCTATACCTGGCTCTATCCAGAGGCCATGAGACGGTAGCCGAATTGCTGCTGAGAAGAGGCGCCGATGTGCTTCGAGTCAGTGCGGACAGAACAACTCCTGTGCACATGCTTGTCGAGAACGATCACCATGTTTCCTTCCTTCCGACATTTTTCGAGATTAAACATCTGACGTTGGTCAACGCCATGAACCATGTTGACCTTTCACCGTTAGATTGTGCTGTGGTGTTCAGGAGCAAGAAACTGATGGAATTGCTGTTAAGACACGGCGCGAATCCAAATTTGCGCAACAAATATGGAAATGCTCCATTGCATACCATTTGCAAGCTATGCTGCTGCATTGACTTGGGTGAGTTATTGGAGAAATTTTTCGCCATCAACGACGAACTCGGTAACACAGTCCAGGTCAACGCTCAGAATAAATACGGTCTCACACCATTGCACTTGCTTTTGGCTACGCTGATTGATAGCGAAACAATCATCGCACGCAATAACACACTCCAAGATTACAACTATCGGGTTGACACACCATCGCTCTTGGTTCTGCAGAATAAAAAAAAAAATGCAGTTGAACTGTTGCTGAGAAGGGGTGCCGACCCTAATTTGGCTAGCAAGGAATTAGGAGTTACCCCTCTGCACTTCATATGTACGGATGACTTGGCGGAGATGTTATTTGAGATCTGCGATGAAAAACATCAGATAGTCAAGGTCGACGCTCGGGATTATGAGGGTTGGACACCATTACACGAGGCAATAGCTAATGACAACATAAACTTGGTAGAAATTTTGCTAAGAAGAGGCGCTCGTCCGAATATAGTCGACAAGCAAGGATCGACTCCTTTGCACTATAGTTGCAAGAGAGACATCAATAACGAAAACATGGCAAAGATGATATTTCAGATTTGCGATGAAAAACATCAGATGGTCCAGGTCGACGCTCAGGACAATGAGGGTCGGACACCGTTACACGAGGCAATAGACAAAGGCAACATAAAATTGGTAGAAATTTTGCTAAGAAGAGGCGCTCGCCTGAACTTAGCTGATAATAAGAAAATTACTCCTTTGCACGCAATATGCAAGAGAAAAAATGGCGACGATGGCTTGCTGAAGAGATTTTTCGAGATCAACGACGAATTAAATCAGCTGGTGGAGGTCGACGCCAAGAACGAGGAGGGCTCGACGCCGCTACACTTGGCTCTATCCCATGGATGCAAAAAAATGAACCAATTGCTGTTGCAAAGACACGCCGATCCAAACTTGGCCAACGCAGAGGGTCATACTCCTCTGCATGTTATATGTCAGAGAGAAGAAGACGATGTTGACTTGGTGAAGATGTTATTCGAGATGAGTGACAAATTGAATAAGCCGATCCAGATCGACGCCCGGGACAAATTCGGCTGCGCACCATTGCACTTGGCTTTGAATGGCGGCCACGAACAAATAGCCGAATGGCTGCTGAGAAGAGGAGCTGATATAAATTTAGCCAACGTGAAAGGATCGACACCGTTGCACATGATTAGCGCGGGAAAAATGGACTACGCTGACTTTTTGCAGACGTTTTTCGAGATCAGCGACGAGCAAAGGCGGCCGGTGAAGGTCGACGCACGCGACAATGAAGGCAAAACGCCGCTCCACCATGCTATAAGTCACCGACACAAGAAGCTGTTTGAATTACTGCTGAGAAGAGACGTCGATCCGAATGTGGCCGATAACGATGGTTCGACAGCTCTGCACACGATTTGCATGGCCGACGACGACAACGGCTGGGCGACGATGTTGTTTGAAATCAGCGAGGAAAGGAATCGACAGGTGCAGATCGATGCTCGGGGCTTGTACAACTTAACACCACTACACCTTGCACTGGTAAAAAAAGAGCTCAGGGAGGTGGCAGAATTGCTTCTGAGAAAGGGCGCCGCTACGAATTTAGTCGATTCGGAGGGCTCGACTCCTCTGCACACGGTTTGCAAGTACGCCGATGACGATGACCGCGTGAGGATGTTGATCGAGATCAGCAACGAAGAAAATAAGCCGGTGGAGGTCGACGCCCGGAATAAGTTGGGCCGGACGCCGCTACACCGGGCCCTGGCCAAAGGAAACGGTCAGGGGGTCAGGTATCTGCTGAAATTAGGCGCCGACCCCAACTTGGCAGACAAGAATGGATTCTCGCCGTTGCATGTCATCATCAAGCATCGTTACGACGACGATAAATTGTTGAAGCTGTTCTTCGACGCCTGCAAAGAGGTCGATCGGCCGGTGCAGGTCGATGTCCAAGACAAGAACGGCCGAACGCCTTTACAATGGGCCGTAGCGAATCTGTACCTGAACGTGGTCGATGTACTTCTGGATCAAGGCGCCGATCTGTCCAGCTTCGTTTTTCCCAGCAAGAGCTTTTTCGTCGAGAGATTCGGATCGATAAGTGAGATGGACGAACGTGAACGGCTTGGGTTCAGATTAGCATTAGCGTCTAAAATTGTTGACGTAGTAGAGCGTCTCGAGGAAAGAGGATATGAATTTAATCGTAGCGAAGCCCTGGATATCATGAGTTCGTTCGCCGAGTACGGATTGTTTGAAAAGTCAGTGGACCTTGACGAATATTGTTACGACGACGAAGAATTTGTGAGCAAATCGAAAGAGATAATGGTGATTCCTAGTCTGTCGCTTCACGACCTTATCCGATTGAGCCCGAAAGAGGCGGCAAAACAACTAAAACATGAGAACTATGTCGAGTTAGCGCGCTCGAACAAATTGTCGGATCTTCCCGAAGGCCACAGGGAGGTTTGTGCTCGGCATCTGTGCGAAAAACTGTCCAGAGAATTTTTTTGGCCTTGGGCACTGGATGCGTTCTATGAACTGCAACGCTACCAGCTACCGGTCAACTGCTGTGAAATGATCATTAAAAACCTAAAGAACGAGGATTTATATAATATTTGCTTGGCATCCATACTAGCACCGGCGAAAGCTCGTGATTGCTCGCTAGTTTCGTTGTCATAACTATGTAGATAACAAACAATTATAAACGATATCAAAAAATTGTAACAAATTACTTGAATTCGAAACCTAATAATAACATCGATTCATAATAATTTAATATATAGAAACAATAACAGTAATTTAGCTTGTATGGATCTCCAAAATCTCTTTTTTGGATCTACCCATGTAAATAGAAAAAGAATTGTCATAATACTTATTGCTAGAGGGAGCGTGAGGCGCGCTTCTCAATAACTTTTCTCAACTTCTCATGTAATTCTGTAAATTTTTTATATCAGCAAGCGCCGACGCGTTAGAGCATGCCGCTCACTGCTCAATTATATATTTTTTTATGAAATTTATTATTTCTATAATATCTTATGAAATGTATATATTATAATAACACAAATAAAGACATATACACTGATAAGGAAGAAAAAACTGGCTTACAGCAAGGTGTATATCATGATAATTCAATTTTTTTTTATTGATTTCAAAACTGCATATTTCAATAAAGCGTATATTGTTTCACTTAAAATCTACAATGGTACAGTAATTGATAAAAAAACATGTATTATCATCATACTTTCAATGGATTTACAACATGTCCAGAAAATAATACAAATCTACGCTTCATATCGACTATTTGATAAATAAATGGTCTGTCAACTTTGAGAATTGGTGTCAGTTTTCTCCAACTCATTACTACGTCTGAAACCAGATTAAAATCCTCATTACGTCAGTTTTGTTTAAAAAAATTTCAAATCGTGTAAAATTGATGTACTTACAAGAAGCAGCACCGGCCTCCGTACCAAACTCATCGACAGCGATAAAAGCCTTTTGGACTACTTTATCATTTTTATTCAAGTAAAATCTTCTATCTTCTGTGCCTTTCTCTTTGAAAAGAGTTTTCTATTGGGCTTTCAAATATGTCGCACTCAAAAGTACGATATCGGTATTCCCGGAAAAATCAGCTGCAATAAAGAAACTTTTTTGAGTGACTTGAAAATGATATTTGAAAATTCAAAACGTTAATATACGTACCGGCAGCAACAAGATTTTTTATCTTGCCGTCAGTCTTCTCTTCGCACCACTTGTTAATTTTTCCTGCAAATTATTGACATAAATTTTATTCGCTATTTTGAGCGTGACTTGTGGAAAATTCTGTAAAAATTAGTACTTCAGTTATAACAGTAGTTGCATTGAAAATAATGTTTCAATTAATGATCTAAAATATGTTTTAATTTAGGTACTTCATAATTCATCAAGTAGCATAATTTGTATAGATTTCATAAGTCACCTGAAATTTTCATTTTCATTTTTGTAAAATTTCTTTCAAAAAACAGTGCGTATATAATCAAGTCACGATCCAACTCTTGGAGTTTAAGAAGTAGCTTGAATACTTGCAGTTTCATACACATGAATTCTTTCCGTGTCTTTTTCGCTGTTTTGACAAATTGCTCTAATCTGATCGACGATGTTATGGAAAAAAAAACTTTCATTAATTTTACAAACACCTTTCACAGTATTAATTAAATCCTCAATTTTCAAATATTTTGAACATGAATTATAATTTTTACAGTAGTTACGGACTTTTTTTACATTTCATCTTAAAAATAATAAATTGTAATGTATGTGTCAAATGCAGGTACAAATTTTAATTTCATTTCTGATACTTACTATATTCTATAAATGCCTTATAACCTTCCTGTAATACATTTTGATCCTCAGGTATAGCTGTAGGGCTTGACGCAGTTCCTCGTGAGTCGAATCTTCAGCTCCACAAGTAACCATCGATACTACATGAGCACTGAGTGGTGAGCTGACGAGATTTTCCTCGAACGCATTGGCTAAATTCTATAATAATATAAAAAACAAAACAAAAATATGAAATAGCAGGCCTCTCTTCCTTTAGGCAGATGATTCTTGAAAAGTCAAAATTTTCGAAAAATTAAATTGGAAGCATTAAAATAAGACCGTGAGTAGATAAAAGTTCTCAGAAAAAGAGTACAACAATCATGAGAGCTTTTAGTAATTTTAAAAAAATATAAAAACCATTTTTTGTCATATATTAAATTAGTAATGGTTTACTCATCGGGGTTAAGAACATATCGTTACTACGGATCACGTCTCTCTGTTGTAGGGAAATATTCAATCCGTCAGCGAATTCATCAAAATTTTTTACTAGCACACGTTTGATCGATGTAAGATCACGTATCATTACGTGAGGTTTGTTCATACGAACCAAATCACTAAAAAATGGGACGTAGTAATTGGTAGTATGCAAAACCTGATTCATAATGAAACACCATGTGAACTAAATATTCATAAAATGTTAGAAATGATTAAGTTTCTGTACGCAAAAGTACGTTCATACTCGGTTTTATGCGTGTAGCGTATATATTGATATGTGTTTGTGTGTATGTGAGCGAGCAGACGTCCGTCACCGGTGGTCCAGTGCGCGTCGTAAATATTCGAGAAAGGTGTAAACACGAGCAGTATAGAACGGCGACCACAACGATATGTGCTTGCTACTTCAAAGTCTTTTTTTCATTCTATCGAATTATTATCTTAAACTAACTATAATTTCAGTAGGTTATAATACTTGAAAATAAAAACTCGATGTGTAGAGCCGTACAGCAGAGACCAACTCGTTTGTCTTTTTCTCACGCGATGTCGCGCGATATCAACAAGTACCTCGTGTTATGGTTGTGAAATAAGCTCGTCGGCTATTGTTAAAGTGTCTTTGTTTTTGATTGTAAATTTACTTCAACATGTACATGCCTACAGCAAGGAGAGATATAGTTATATTACTTTTCATCCAATAACGAGACATAATTTTCATGTTGTAAATAGAATCGATTTATTTAAATGATTAAGCGTCGAAAAATAGCCAACGGCATTTGTCTATGTACATTAAAACGATCGATATTTATATGCGCGCTAATTCAGAAAATAATCTACAAGTTTAAGTGGTAAACATTGTTTCTCAGTCAATACGATAAACATTCGTGACAATAATAATAGTTTATACAAGATTTACATGGGCGCGTGTGTATGGACACGTACTTAATAACAGAAACACGAGACTCATTGCTTAGACGGCGATGTTGGCTGCTGCTCGCTACTCGTCGTCTGCTCCTTGGCGTAATTTTTCAAGATGAGCTCCAGGGTCTTGGGGTGCTTGTACTTGGCCGCGAGGTGTATCGGCAGTCGACCCTCGTCGTCCTTGACGAAGGCGACCCTCTGGTCCTTCTCGAAGACGTCCTTGAGCAGCTCGTCGTAGCTCTTGGGCTCGATTTTCTTCTTCTCGTCGGCTGCCGCTGCTGGGGGGGTGACATCGTCGTCGTCGTCACCGTCGAGCGCCGTCGTCGAGCAATGGTCGAGCTCCTCCTTGGATCGCTTGCCCTCGCCGTCGTTCTCGTCGATGCTGCAGAGCAGCGTGTGGATGGCCGTACAGCCCCAGGTGGTGATGCCGCTGTAGTCGGCGAACTCGGGCAGCAGCTTCTGGAAGATGTCCTTGCAGTCATGCTCCGCGGCCAGATGCAGCAGACTCTGGCGGCGCTTGTCCAGGCCGGTGACCTGAGCGCCCGCCTTGACGAGCTTGTCGAAGATCCCGTTGACCTCCTCCTTCTCCTCGGGCCTCTCGATGCTCTCGTCGAGCAGCGAGTGCAGGACCGACTTGTGCTCGTGCGTGTAGCTCTCGACGTTGGCCCCCGCGGCGAGCAGCAGATCGACGATGTTCTTGTTGCGGGTCTGGGCGGCGACGTGCAGTGCAGTACGACCCTCGTGGTCCTTGGCCTCGAGGTCGAGCTCGGAGCCGCGTCGGTCGAGCAGCAGCTTGAGGCTCTCCTCGAGTTTCAGCTCGGCGGCCAGATGGAGGACGTTGCGGCCTCGCGAGTCGACGCTGTTCATTGGCGCGCCGGCGTCCAGCAGCTTGACGAGCACACGCCGGCAGGCCTCGTCCTTGCCCTCCTTTTGCTGGATCGAGTCGAGGAGGGACTCGTCGAAGACGCCCAGCAGCACAGAGCTGCCGTCGGCCGTGCGGATCTTGGGGTCGGCGCCGTGCTCCAGCAGCAGACGGACGTTGTCGAGGTCGCGCGACTGCGCAGCCAGGTAGAGCGGGGTGCGGCCCTGATGGTCGCGGGCGTTCACCAGGTCGAGCTCCGGCACGACGTTGCTGATCCTGGGGAGGGTGTCGCTCCGCTGCTGCTGCTGTGCCGCGGCCTCGCCGGCCTGCTTGGAGCGATGGACGCCGCCGATGCCGGTGATGTCTGCGTCCCCGACGACGTTGTTGGAGCTTTCGGCGGAATCGATTTCCTGCGCTTCCAGCCGCTGCTGGTTGGCGAGCTCGCGCGGGGACTCGTCCGCTTCCTCGTCCACGATCTTGGCGCAGGCAGTTTGGTGAACCATCTTGTTCGAACAAAAAAATGACAAATTTGAGTAAACTTGATGAGTACGCGTGTGCGTCGATTTGCGTTGATTTGGTTTCAGCAGGTGGGGACCGTTGCTGTCGCTAGTCTGAGCGTGAGTGACGAGTCGGATGTCTGTCTCGGTGAGCCGTGCTGTTGAGCTCGCGAGACTTGCGGCGAGAGAGGGGCTAACATCACCGAGTGTGTGTTTGTATGTGAACGTCGATCGTACGGGGGTTTTTGATTTCGGCTTTTGAATATGAAATTCATGCGTTGATTAGTTTCGTTAATGTCTGGTAAAAAATTGATGCGTTGGTGTATCGATAGCAGTACACGCGCACGATCGGTATTGCATCGTTCGTTGCGAGCAACGTCCGAAAAAATGACACGTATCCCCTGTAATCATCATTCATATTATTTTAACGTACCAAACCGTTAAAATTTAGACCATGGGGGAAAGGGAAAGAATTTGAGTTCTCGTAGAATATCGAGATCGAGAAGCGATGGGCGGAGCGACGTTGCAAGTGGCTCGATTTTGTCGTCGTCGATTCGAGGCGTACGAGCAGTTTGCCGCGCGAACATGTCCCTGAGTACGATAGAACTGATAGAGGTCGCTCACAGAGCTCGACTGCCAGGGTGAGCTCTAATTATACACCGAAAACAAATTTTTTTTTTCATAACTCCCAAACTGATCAGCACCATTATCACTATTTTTGACATACGCCAGAAATGAACGAAGATGGGTCAGAGAACCTGTGAAAATATGAACTGCATTAGTTATACGAATCCTACAGTTTAATTCATTGAATCTTACCAACGAGTAGACTATCATTCCGTGCATCGCTGGGTATACTAAGAATAACTTCATCGACCAAAATTGTCAATACTGTCAAACAGCTTGATTCATTCATTTTATATCCTTTTTCAATCAAGCTATTTAGGATTAAAAGAAATGTTATTATTTCGTCAAACCATAGGTAGGATGTCTCGTATTCATAATCAAACTTGGAGAAGTTAACACTTTGTACATCGGCTCCGCGTTTTAATAGGGCCTTAACCACATGCAAATTATTGTTGAATACAGCTAAGTGAAGAGGTGAATCTCCATTATCATCTATGGCATTGACATCGGCTCCATATTTTACAATTTTTTTGACAAATGTGATACCCACTGAGTTTGCGCGATGCTTGCAGCTTGCATAGTACAACCATAATACCGGCGAGTGACATTTCTTTCCCGCGTCGTGTCATCGAGCACGTGAAAACCCATTTTGACATAATGTCTGAAATTTCCAACTATTGACGTCAATTATCGCATGTTTGCTTTTAATATTTTACCGATTTAGAATAAAGTAGTTTGTATCGTCAATGGTGATTTTTTTTGATTAATTATAATAATATCTCTAGTAAAGATTTACAAAACATTTTCTTTTGATTATACAACAGCATCAACGATCGCACAATTAACTTCTCATCGTTCGTTGGTACATCAGTTTTCCTTCGAGCCGCGAGCAGCGAACAACAGATCGCAGCAGTTGTACCGCCCGATCGGAGCAGCGATGCAGGCGTCGACGCTCGACTTCGGATCTGCTACCGATCGTGCAATTTTTGAGGCAAGTGCGTGTCAAATTGTTGCTTGAATTTCAGCGCTCATGACTTATTACAATAAAAATTCGATGAAAAAAGTGACACGATGCTGTGAAAATGGTTCTACCTCGACCTATACAATTATTTTTTTTTATTTTTACAAATGTTATCACCAATCATAAATGATTACGATCAAATTCTAATCCATTTTAAATTTATAAATGTCTCATCGCATAAACTTGACACTCGAGCAAAAGCCGTCGACGAAAGTTTTACATTCCCCGCGTTATAATAATATTATAATTTTGGGTCGTTGACACGAAATCCTCGTTCCGCGCGCACGTAAGTAGATTCGTTATTTGGTATTCCTTGCGATGAGCCTCCCGGACTTTACGTGCGTGTATCTGTGTACGTCCCTATGTATGTATGCATATCGCGAGTGACCTCGTAATAACAATTTTGCGAGAACCACAGCTGACGAGTCGTGTCACGTGCTCGAGTTATATATACTCTACCGTCGATGTGTGTTTATAATACACGTGTAACGTAAACGGCCTAATAATCTCCTTTTATTTTTGTACATCACATAGCAAAAGATCGATAATCGAGCTTTTCGTATTATAGCCGCGCCTTTTTTCCATCGCGAATTATCAATTTCACAAGTTTCAATCGATCAAGCTATAAGGTAAACATTGGAAAAATCTCCCTGCTTATTTTTTCTCCTTGTCGTTATCGTTGTTGTCCAATGTCAATCCAATTCCATCCAACTTTTTCTTTTCGACTCGTCTCTTGAGATAGCATCAAGTCGAGACGTCAAGTTTGTACATGTACAGCAATACTTTTTCTGCACAGATAGTCAATACTCCCCGAGGGTGGCATGAGGCTTTCAGCTTCATACTGCAATTTTAGTAGATTGTCGTTTTGGAATGTTGCAACTTCATTTTCAGCATCTAAGCAAGATTGTTTGGGATTGGTGGCTTCGTCCTTCTCAACGTAATCGATACGTTACCTTTTTCTGCTTTTCTTGAACATGATGGTGAATTGGCTGCTATTACATGCGTTTACACTCTGGTCACTTTCAATATTTTCTCCATTATCATGGTACATCCAAATATGGTAAAGTTCGCAAGAAAAATTCAATTAGAAACTGATGTTGCACTATTATAATCACTGAGCTTTGTATGTGTGTTTACATTCTTTGACTTATGCTGCAGCCGGCATCGGCCGAACACGTGCTAAGCAGTGAGACCACATGTGCGGTGCGCGCAGCTATCAGAAATACGTGCTTTTTTTGATTTTGAAAAAAGCATAGAGCTAAAATCCTATCAAACGGCCACGAATTACGCGAAAACCACGTTTACCGACACATAGTTGGTACTGATTCCGAAATACCGTAGCAAAATCAATTCTGATGTCAGGATCGGAAAGATGGTAAAATTTGCATTAAATTATGGATTCTCGTAATTTTAAAATGGTTGGGAGGTGAGTTTTGAAAATTTATTAGAGAAAAAAATAGATTTTTAGTCACTCATGTGGAGAAGTTTCCTCTTGAGGTTTTGACATTATTATTGTATAAAATAGAAACAATCGTTTGGGATAATGTAGAACATTTAAAATAATTGTTAAAAATCAGTTTTTATTTAGTTAAATATTTGGCTTAAATAAAAGTTGTGAATTGTTTTTCTATTTTTCATTCATGAAAAAGTAAATACTTATTGACAAGATAAAAAATACATATCGTTGATAATGAATTTTTCATTGCATTGACCAAAACTAAAATATTCATCACAAACTTTGTAAATAAAATGTGGCCGTACATAAAATTTTATATTTATTACTCGTGTTAGAAGGTTTGTGCTCAAATTCAAGAAATCGCATAAACATTTTGCGAGTTTCAATATTTTTTATCAAAAAACAAATGTATTGCGGATTTCCTCATTTTTTTATATTACTGTATTTAATCAAGTTTCATCGTAGAAGAAATATTTATTCAACTTTAGGACTCAGCATTAAAATCAATATTGTAAGAAAGAGAAAAACGCAATTTTTCCAAGCTATGGAGTAATGTTGCATTTTCATTGAAATATTCTTCGTACCTCGTTTTTATTACCATGGCCACACAAACGACACGAGCTGAGTTAGCAGAGCTTTCGAGACAACTAGACTTTGAGGAAAATCAATTTTACTGGCTAAAGAAATTTTTGAAGTTTGTGTTTTTGTGTCCGGTGCAACCAATAGTAATTAAGAAATCTGGAAGATTCATTATGCACGCGAGCTTTCTTTTTTCCATCGCCATAACGGTAATTGAATTAAAAAAAGCTTAATTTTATATAAAATGAAGAAATAATTTGCAGTGCGCCAGAGCTTACAAAGAATTTTCCATAAACGAAATATACCCACCGATGCTGGCAGAGCTCGCTTTTCAACTCATCACTTTGGTGGGCGTGTGGTGCGTTTATTTGCAAACGATATACTCGGAAAACCTAGTGAGAATAAATACAATCCACACAAGGGTTGATGAAAAAAAATTTTTTATACTTAATTAAGCTTTACAGAATGTGCGAGTCCGTGACGATCGATTGGCTTGGCATCAAAGATCCGGAAGAGAAGAACACCATGAAGGTGGTGTGCGAGCGAGGATCTCGCCTGATACTGATACACTTTGGCTTCGTGCTACCATCCCTCTTGGGTTATGTACTGGTCCCGGTGGTTTTACCGTACGTGCTCAATCCTTACTTGCCGGAAAACATGACCCTCAAGAGGAGCCTCTGCGCTCACGTCGAGCTCTTCGTCGATCAGGACAAATACTTTTACCATATTCTCATTTTTCTCATTCACATGGTGATTCTGATTATGCTGATAGTCAGTGCGTTGGATTTGGCCTACACGTCTTGCATTACCTACGTCATGGGCAAGATCATATGGATTGGGTTTGAGTCTATCGTTATTGATTTATTTCGAGTTTTGTAAAATTTCAAAAATTCAACGATAGTTTTTTTGTATTGTAGACACGTTTTTGAAAAACTTGGCGAAATAAATGTTTCTGATGAAAGCTCAAGCTCGAAACGAAAAATGAACGTTTACGTGCACCGAACTGTTATCGGATTGATTAAACGTCATCAAATATGCTTGGAGTAATGAATGACATATAAAATTAACCTAAAGTTTTATTTTAAAATAGAAGTAACAAATTAAATTTCATTTTTCAGTTTTTCTCAGACGTTGAACGATACTTGTAGCCCCAAGTTTTTTATTTCTATCATAGTCCTCTTGAATCTCTTGAGTTTATCGGGATCTATGGTAAGTTTAATGTTAATTAAAAATACTTTTCTCGTGAAAAAAATCCAGCGTATTATCATTTATTTACTTTTCCCTCGCGACAGGCAGTCGTTGAAATTTCTTACGATGCCAGTAGCGCTACTAAAATGGCAGTGGCTTTCGTAATGATATTAATTTTGGTGCTTGTAATCTGTTACCCAAGCCAACTGCTGATCGATGCCAGTAACGACATATATTTCAAGTGGTATTTTATACTTTTTTTTTTAAATTACGATTATATTAGAGAACAAGTGATAAATTTTGTTCCATAGCTACACCAGCAAATGGTACGAGTATCCAGTGAGAACTAGAAGATTATTGATTTTGATGATGACCAGAGCAGCCGAACCTTGTTACATGACGATTGGGCCCACAGTGCCTCTTCATTTCGAGACAGCTAGCACTGTGAGTCCCAATCGACACACGAACACGATCGTTTTTATTAACTTCTTTTCTGAATGTCGAATGCATTTATTTTAGATCATCAATACGGCTATGTCCTACGTTACGACGCTGGTGTCACTTTGCGCACTCTAAGCCAATTGATTTTTATCATTTATGTATGCTTTGTAACGAAAAAATTGTGCATGTTTAAAATCATCGTTAACTTTTACAATTTGTGCTGGCCAGAAGTTCGAATTGGACATTTATCGAGGACGATATTACACCATCACAAAAATTTGAATTCAATATTAGAGTAAAATATTGTTTTAATTATTTTCAAAATATTCGTTCACATTATGCTAATTGATTCATTTTTAATGTACAGTGACTCAGCAGGATCGATATAAATTTTTTCTAAATATTATCTTATTGTTTTCGAATAATTGTTTTCTTTCAAAAACTTTCTTTATCGAAAAAAAAATTTAGCCTATAATCAACCGTCTCATCTTTAGATATATTTTGTTCTGGAAAATCACACAGTTTATTAAATGCTTCATTTTCCCTTGCTTACGAGATCTATTTAACACAAACGATCAGCAATATGCTATTATTTGTTTAGTTGATGATTTTAGGACATACAAGTGATCAAAGAGTTGAGAGCTAGGATCTAAGCAATTCAGGAAATAGTGACCACCCTAATCTTAATATATAGTACAAAGATTAAATAAAATACTTTGATTGAGCGTCATTGTACAATTGAGTCTTTTAATTAATTGCAACAAGTAAGGTTTTATTACATTCAATTTCAAAGAAAAAATAAAATTAATTGTTTCTCTCGACAATTCGTACAAAACCTTCGTTCCCATTACATAAGAGTTATCGCGCTCTGATCATATACATTTATGAGTTAATTATAAAAAAATATAAACTTTTTTATATTACATTCTGCGTATTTTACTTTTACATTCAATGTTTTATTCTTCCTCTATATTTAATACACATTCATCATTTACCACTACGTCAATTTTCACTCCATTTTCATCATAATATAATTCATATGCACTTTTGAAGATGTCCACTAATTTATTTTTATTTTTCACATTTAAACCTCCAACAAACGACCCAATATCGACTTTGTTTTGGGTCAAAACTTCAGTATACTTCATCATTTGTCCTTTTTTCATTGAAGAAAAGATGATACAGATTCATAAAGTTCCTAATAGCATTCAGCCCAGATTTTCTAAGCAGTGATATTATATCGGGTACAGTGAAACCAATTCCTAGTAAAGATTTCAGGTAAACTGATTCTGTTGGCTTAGATGTGCGTTTGAACAAACATCTAAATAGATCCAAAAATGGCCTTATGCGTATTTTTGAAGCACCAATAAAAAGTCCGTGTATAGTAACGAAATCTACGCCATAATTTTCCAACGTTAACAAATAATTCTTTTTGCTACTATCTGGCCTAAACCACAAATTAACAGTCTATTCAGAAAAGTGAATAGCTCCACACGTGTGTTGTGTGTGTATGTGTGAGTGTGTAACTGTATATATCTCGCGATCATCGCGTTTCAATTCATCGAGAGAGAAAAGCTCGTTTGTGCGCGCATACAGAAAATATCAAGAAGAGAGGCGGCCAGGCCGGCGCGAGTCTGTTTTTTTTTCCTATTAAAATTGCGCGCGAATCCATAAAATCAAACATCGCGCGCGCGCGAGTGGAGAGGCTCTGTTGAAAAACGGATTATACAACAATACGTGATTCGACGATTATTCAACCATTAAGTAACTAATTTCTCTCGATTTTCTGCTGATTTCCCAGACGATTGTTATTTACCTCGTATATGTATGTACGTTTGGTAAAAAGAGAAAAATCAGCAGCAGCCCCGCGAGAAGTGAATATTTCTTCTTTTTTTTCGAGCGTTGTCCGCCGCTCGATCATCTCCCGCTTACATACATATTACAAACCCATGCGCCGCCGATCGAACACATCAATTATACACAAATCTGGACAATCTGTTAATGGGATCTATCGACGTTCGATTACATACACGCTCGATTCGTCTTGTCACGTAATATGCATTGAATTCGACAATTAATTGCGAATATCTCGTACACAATGTATCATCGTCTCTTGGATATATGTATGGAAAATTGAACTTTCGAAGAGAGAAGACGACAAAAAAAAAAAAAAAAAGAAGAAGGAACATCGATACACGCGATACACTCGGGTGTGTATAGGGTGAAAGCAATCGAGAGAAAGAGAGACAATCCTGAGATATTTTCGCATAATCATAATCTCGCAAAATATCGCTGTATATTTTACGCGTTGACATTCGAGCGCAAATTTTCCCATTTATGACAATGGTACACGCTCGAAAACATAATGTACGTATCGTTTTGTTGTTATACAGACGACGTATACAAAAGTTAAAAGTAGAGGAAGAAACCGATGACGATTAGAATCCTATTGATGTACGTTTTTAGATACGGACTTCCGGAACGACGACGGATACACGCTGCACACTCTCGTGGGAAATTCGTCGAATTTTTCAATTTGCCGTCGTTCCCCCCCACACCACTGCGCAGCAGATTTCGAATACGCACGAGAGGAGCAGCGACGCGGCGGATTTTGATATTATAATTGCGCGCCTCGTATACCTATAATTTCGCGTTCTGAACAATTAAACAATTGAATCACGGCTCGGGCTCGCGCACACTCGTCGTCGCCTTATTTACAAAAACTTCGTACCTATATAACACGCGTGCGCGTATGCACTTTTCGTCGCCGTGGCACCACGCGTGCATATTATGCTACTTTCTCCTCGATTGTTGTGTTATTATATTGTGACATTACAATACACACGCGCGCGGGCGACACACAGCGATCCATTTTTTTCTCTCTTCTCTTTTTGCTCCTACCGCGGGGGTTACTTACTCATGCAAACATAACAACAACCGTATTATATGTGACATGTTACACACATCATAACGTACCTACACACACGTGCCATTGTGTGTCATTGAGAGAGTCTATATCAACTTTTCAGCGCGCGCGCGCACACACACACATGCATGCATATAGCAAGATCAAAGCTCGAGCGCGAGGGACTTGTCGAAAGAAATTCACATACACACATTCATGCGCAGTTGGAGGTCTCGGTATACCTGCGATTTGCATTTCAGTGAGTTCAAAACGTCTCCTAGATACGCTACGTGTATGTACAATACCTTGACATGTGTACTGATCTTCCTCTACTACTTGTGTGTGTGTGTGTGTGTGTGTGTGTGTGTGTGTGTGTGTGTGTGTGGCACACTGCGTGTGCTAGAGATCCATCGGCTTATAAAATTTGTGTCGTCGTCGTCGCAGGATGACGAGCAGCAGCTCCAAACGTATAATATAAGAGAAGATCGTGACGGAAGGTTATACCTCTGCACACGCGATATCATACGAATTGCAGCTGAGCGCCGTGCGCATACGGTACGAGAAAACCAACCGCGAAATTCCTGCATACAGAGCGTGACGACGACGACGACCGACGACAAATCTACTACGGCCCGATGCCGTCAAAATGTGCACAACAACGACAACGACGACTACAAAAAAAAAAGTACAGATTCCACGATTTTGTATATTATATTATTATAATTCGATCGTGCCCGCGCTCGTACTTTAACGATCGAATCGGTTGTTGACGTTATAGCTGTTTTTCGCGGTGCCGCGGTTTTTCAATTTACGCACATTTAGAGCTTACAATATCGGAATGTGGGTCGATGATACGGCTTCTTCTTCTTTTTTTTTCCTTCTTCCTTCGAAATCGGTTCGTACAATATCTTCGCAAATCGGTAAACGATAACGCAGCGCCATTATTATGGTTTTTTCGTTTATATAAAAATGCGGCAAGGATGTAGATGCGGGCTGCATCGCGTCCCGGAGGAAATTACGCGGTTAGCAGTGTACGATAATTCCGCGACGTTGATTTATTCCGCTGGTCGGTTTCATCGGGAAATCTTGATATTTCATTTTGCGTTCTTCTCCACTTGCTATTCTTTTATATTACATCCGCGCGTTTATACTTATAAGAGCTTCGGCTACGATTTTCCGCCAAATCGTGCTACTTACCTGCCAAAACGATGTGTCCCGGATTACGATCACGGCCCCCTAGCAGCTACTTTTTTCCTCTCTCCCTCTCGCTCCTTTGCGTAATACTTTTTCAGCTCGAAAGTATATATAGTACGTTATAATCGTGAACGGCTATCGTGAAAAATGTAGATAATGCGAATTGCAACTGTGCGCAGGTTAACGGCCTGCTCTCTCTCTCTCTGTCTTTCTTATTATTACATTATATAGCAGCGGGCTGACGGGACGACGACGAGTGGCCAATAAAAGGCGCATTTTTACGAGAGGCTATATGCGCACGCGGAGAGAGAAAGACTACGTCTTTTGCGCTCATGCATCCATCTTTTTTCCTTTTTTTCCGGTTGTATAACGCCGCGCGTATAGCTGCCTCCCGAGAGTTAATGTCCAGATAAAAGGGAGAATATCATAATCGTTCTCGTGATTGCGACTTTTTTTTCCTAAATAATAGATATCGCGTTCGTGTCATAATTTTAAGATTAAATAATGAACTTGAGAAAAGATTTCGCAATAGTCGACAAGTTCCGAAAACGACGATCGTATACACACCTGTTGCTGCCTCTGCATCCTGCAGAACGCAGACGAAACAAAAAGAAAAAAAAAAGAAACTCATTCAATATGTACCTTTTTTGTAATCATCGTCGTAGCTCACAAAAGAGAAGAGCGACGACGTGTACACACGACGCGCGTGCTGCGTTAAAGGTCTGACCCACAAAAGAAAAAGAAGAACCTGTGCTGCGGCGGCGCAGGCCGAGGAAAGTGAGCGTGAGTTCTCGGCATATTATTTACTACACGTGTATATTATATACATACTCGTGTTTGTGTGTGTGTGTGTGGGTCAACTTTGCGAGGAATTACAACCTTATACCGAGATTTCACTACATTAACCCCCCTCCCAACGAAAAAAAGTATATACGTATGTACCCATTTGTTTGACCGATCTTCAGCGAGGCACAATTATTTGGGTATACCCTTTGTCGAAGTTATGTAAAAAAAAACGCGTACGCGTATTTATTAC